AGATGGCACCATGATGCGGGTTCAGCTGTTGCCCCTAGAAGACAGGGTATCCAAGGTCTTGGGCCCGCGCAGGATCAGCAAACGACGCGGCGATGGCGATGGCGCAGAGATCGATCGTGGGTCCGTGGTGTTAGCTTGATGTTGGTTGTGCTGTTGATATCTTGGATACCTCCTGCCTCTGCGGTATTGCTGGACTTCGAGAACTGTCTGGATGCCGCCGTGATTCAATCAGATCCACGACAGCTGCAGTTCGTCCCGTTCGACGTGTCCGTTGTCTTCAACCAGCACGACTCCCTTCATCCTCTGAACATATCGGTGTATGGAAACGTCTCGGGAACTGCGAACGGGGAGTCTTATCCATCGCCGGATGACCCCCAGTGGTCCAACCCGAATGACACTGTCGGAAAGATCGTGGATTTGGATACCGCCAACAACAAATACTCAACCCTTCTGTCGTCAATCGACGTTCTGAGCTTTTCTCCTTACCATGAACCGACAAGATTTTGCGACTCGGTCTTCCAGGGGTCTTGCCCCCTGGGCCCCGTTTTCTACGTCAACTCGTGAGGCGCTCCCCTTTTGTTCGACGCTGTTTCACTCTGGTCTTGCGCACTGGCTAACAAATACCCTCACTGTATAGGTCGGACTTGTCCGCTTTGCGTGCCTTTTCGATTGAACACGATATGCTTTCCTCATACTACTTTTCGACCTTGTCGTCAAGGCTCGTGATCAAGTCTGGCGACGCTGCTGCCACGCAGCTCGGTTGTATATCCGTCGCAATCACCCCGGATCTTGGGTCGTCTCTGAAAAGCACCTTGTCTTACATCCCCCTCGTTATTCTTGTCCTGGTCGGAATTGCCACGGTAACGGCAGCAATTTATAGCCCATGGGGCACCACGGACCCCTTCCACTGGACCAGTAATTACGGTCGTGACGAAGATGTGCTCCGTTTAGTTACGCCTGGGTTTGGAGACTGTCTACAGTACATCCAGTTTGCAGTGTTGACCGGCTCCTTGACCCTTAACTACCCTGGCTTCTATCAGCCTGTGATCAGCCGGGTTGCTTGGTCCGTACTCATGTTCAATCAGAGTTTCCTGGACCCTGGAAACGAGCAAAACCCCGTCAAGGATGGTGTCTATGCCGTCAATGCTACCTACGGATTGGACAGAATGGATCAGTATGTCGGCATGCCTGCAGCGCGTGACATTTGGCCGGGGATGATGGTTTGGCTACTAGTCATCTTAGTCGCCGTCACACTATTTATTCAGGTGGTTTTCGGATTGCGTTCGATCTCTCGTAAGATCGCTAATAACCCGGAGGAGGACCTTCGATCTAAGAACATGCCTTTCACTGTTGGGAACATTGTCCGGGTCGTCTTCAATTTCCTACTGCTCCCCGTTATATCGATATCCTTCTTCCAGTTGGTTATTGCCAGCGAATCCCCGGCATATTCTGTCGCACTCGCAGTGGTGGTCATAGTGATACTGGCCGCCTTTTCCCTGTGGACAGTGCGGCTCATTGCGACTACTCGACCCAAGTCTTACCTTTTCGACGATCTTTCGACCGTACTTCTCTACGGCCCGCTTTACAACACTTTCTGTGACGATGCAGCTGCCTTCGCTTTGGTACCAATATTTTTGACGTTCATTCGTGGTATTGCAATTGGGGCGCTACAGCCCTCCGGCATTGCTCAGATCGTGCTACTGGCCATCTGCGAGGTCGTGTCGATCTTGACCCTGATAGCCTTCAAACCGTTCCCGTCGCCAACCTCGATGAATCTCTACCATGCGTGCTTCTCCATCGTTCGATTCCTGACGATCTTGCTCAGCGTCGTTTTTGTTCCTTCCTTGCGCATCTCACAGGCCGCTCGAGGATGGATCGGCTATATTATTCTGTTCCTTCATGCGCTTGTAATGGTCTTCGGCTTCTTTTTGAACGCTTTGCAGACCCTTATCGAAGTTATTGCACGACTCGCAGGTGCGGGAGGTTACGAAGGAGGTGTTACTCGCGGTGGACTGGTTAAGGTTTTCGGTATGCGGCAACTATCACGGCGTGTGCCCAGACAAAGCGTTGCCACTCGTCAAAGCATGGGATCAGAAGCTGCCATGCTAGCGCACACCGATGACAGATTGTCATCCCAGTTCGACGGGTCGAGACCTCGCAGCCTTTCCGGAAGCTCAGCCATGCTTTTGAACCGTGCTGGTGCAAGTGAAGGGCGGGCTAGCGCAATCTTTGACTCAGGAAGCGCGCACGGTGGAAACCACAGTCGGGCAAACAGTAGCGGTTTCTTTACGCCCTCAACGCCTGGTGGCTTTGCTGCCGGGTACCATACCCCAGGAAGTAACTCCCCGAAGAGCGGTCCCGTCTTTGCGATGCATCCGCATGACCCATACTATCGACCGCCGCGACCTCGCAAGAAGCTCATGGATATGGGGGCTGCCGGAGAGAAGGGTAGAGCATCGCGGCACACACACAGATCTTCAAGTTATGGAGAGATCGATGATGATATTATCGAAGGGCCGTCGGTCTCTGGGAGGGGCACGCCTACTCCCGCGTACATTCCGGCACCAAAAGATGACCTTGACCTTGATGATCCCCGGCAGTCACGTAAGGACTACGCGGTCCGTGAAGTCGACTTCTACTACCGAGTACGGGGACCGCCATTATCTCAGTCTGGCACTCGCAAGTTGAAGACTGGTCCAGCTGATCCCACGGGACCGGTTTCTTCTGCCACCGGCTTCTTCCGTAGTCTGTTCCGTGGGAAAACCAAGGAGAAAGGAAAAGGCTTTGAGGTCGTACGCAGCAGCAGGGCACCACCGCCTGGTCTCTTCCCTGAAAGTGAAGAATTCCATGACCAACATGAACCCTACCGAGACGAACCTGACGAGCAGGCTGCCACCGAGCAGAACCGTGAGGCCTCGGAGAACAATGCTCAGTACAGCGACTCAGATGGTGAAGGAAACGAGCGGTCTACGGAGACGCAGACTGTTCTGCCCAAGGTAGAAACGGGCGGCGACATTGAGCTTCCGAGTCGCGCGGGTTCTCAGCATAGCTCCCAGTCGCCTTCTCGACCGGGTGCCGGACGCCAGGGCTCTGTACGTTCTTTGGCTCCGGAAGAGCCGGATTTGACGCAGAACCCCCTCTCTGTGGTGACGGATATGGCCGCCGTTCAAGCAATCGAACCCAGTCAAGGAGCAGAACCATCTGTTCACAATCCTGGTCAACTCCATCCCTCAGCCTCAGTCACCAGTCGGTTACCGTTCAGTGCTAGTAGTTCGGCCTCCCGAGATCGCAATTTTTCCATTGCCTCCACGACCGCATCTACCACTTCAAGTCGTCGGGTGAATGATGGAAGTAATCGTGTTGAGCGTCCATCTAGTATGGGTTACGTTGCACAGTACCGCACTCAGGATAATATTCACGAAGCCAGTCCAGACGAGCCATCGTTTGCGGGCAGTGCCGCCGAACTGGTGGATGAAGCGCATCACCACGACGAGGCACACTGAAGGCGGCCTTGTCAGTCTCATCGTATCAGCGAAACTATTTCCCAGATGGCAATGCTGTGGAGATGACGAATTTCTTTTCCCAATTGTGTCGTCAACAAAAGGATTATGTGCAAGGAGTTTGTGATATATGGGTTTGGATTTCCGTTAAATAAGCAACCGGATCCTGCAGCATTCTGCTGGCCAGCGTGTGTCTTTTTATTTTTATTTTTTCTTTTTCTCCTCCTCGTTATCATTCTTGTATCCATCTTTGTCTCATATCCACCTCTTCTGTCTAAACCTCTCCTGCTCTTGCATCGTGGCCCCAGTTACCGCAGCCACGGTTTCGACCCCCGTTTCCCCTTGCAACCCGGCCAATCAGGCATGGGTACGGCCTTTTGTGTTCTGCAATCCCAGCGTCGCATATTGTATAGGTTGGCGGTTTCTTTTCGTGTATGGACTGTTAGGAAATAATCTCATTTAACTATAGTGAACGGAGATTGGAGGATAGGCGTTTACAATGGTGCTGATAATGCTACATAGCAACTCTGCTAGTGAAATATTTACACCCATACCAAGCGGATAGAGCGATTGTAGCCCATTGTCACATACTAAGTACGAAGCTGAAAGATAAGTGTGAGTCATGTGAACTCATCGAGCACCGGCCTATCTCTGAAGAGAGGACATCGATCCCCCGGTGGCCTGACTTTCAGAGCTGGCAGATCCACCAGATCAGTGGTCCGTATGCATTGTGTGCCGAGATTCTCCGAGACTTGACCAGAAACACTGATAGTAATTCCCCCCGACGGAACTGGCTAGTCTGGACATCCGTAATTGGAGTCATTGGTGTGAGCCTCGTGGTTGACGATAAAAGAGGCACACACACACAGACAAAGAGCAGCAGAAGCTCACCTTCCGGACCCCCATTTTGCCCCGCGGCCAATCCTCGGCTTGTTGAACGTCAGCCAGCGGTAAAGCGCCTGATCATCACGCCCTCACACATACTCTTGCGGCTCGAAGTCTCTTGTCCTCATCGCAGCCGCGTTGGTCATCCCTTTCCTGACCAAATTATCGTCAGCAGGGAGGAACTGGTGCTGGTGTTTTCGGGGCGCGTGCTTCTCCTTCCAACGCCCGAGTCACGAGACCCCCTCCTGGCCGAAGATTTGCCTTCGACGCCCAAAAGTCCGAACGGTCGATTGATTCCTTTTGCTTTTTTTTTTCACCTTTGCATCCACTGTCTATCTGTTTTATGCTCTCTCCAATTCTCCTCCCTCCTCCTTTTCTTCTTTCCAGGAAGACTGCACCCTAGCATCGGTCCTCCCCCGTCATCCACGCCTGCTACACGCTACCCGGAAACGCGGTTCTGCCTTAATCCCTCCCCCAATCCTGGCCTCGTCGCGCCACTCAGTCAATGACGGTCCGTCGTCCAAACGGCGGAGATTAGTCTCCTCTGCAGCGTTCGGCAGACAGTCAGCATCTTCATCATCGACCTTCTCTACGCCTGCTCCTTTCCCTCAGTTCATGTCGTCCCTGTCGAGTCCGGCGTCTTCCAGATCTGCCTCATCTACCACTGCCGCCGCCGCCGCTTTCGCCGCCCCACCGCCTTCTGCTGGTCTCAGGCCTCATGCGAGCTCGGAGCATTTACGGACAAGTGAGGCCGGTCCTGCACTAGATAGACGCACTGAGAGACGGCGATCCACTCTCAGCGGGTCGGATCGTAAGCGACGGATAGTCAGTCTGGAGGCGGATGCGTGGTCGAGGCGTGCAGTTCCCGAACCGTTGACGGAAGCCGGGCCGAGCAGCAGTCGAGCAGCAGCGATGGATAGCAGGTCTATCCCCCGGTTTTCCGCCTTCCAGGCACAGACGCCTCAGGATCCTCCTTCGTCCTATGCCAATCCTATCGATCTAACATCACCGCCGCCACCGCAGTCCCGGCCGCAGGGTACATCCGGCTCAACCGATAACTATCGACGGGGATCGGGGTCACGTACGGGTACTGGTGATTACGTGGAGTATACACGGCCGCAATGGCAGCCTGATGCGGAGGTGACGAAATGTCCCATCTGCGGGACAACTTTCAGCTTTTGGTACAGGAAGCATCACTGCCGTAAATGTGGCCGAGTCGTGTGTGCGTCATGTTCCCCCCACCGGATTACCATTCCCCGACAGTTCATTGTGCGCGACCCCAATCGTTCTTATGCCTCCTCCTCTTTGATCCCCCCGCGCGCGGCTCCGATTGTTGATTTGGAAGGTGACGACGCCGCCATGTCCCCAACTGCCCTCAATCCTGCCCTGGGAGGCGGGGAGGAGGTGCGGCTGTGTAACCCCTGCGTCCCAGATCCCAACCCAGAACCGCCTCGTGGGTTTGCGACTGTTCGGAGCCGCGGGGAAGCAGAATCGCGCTCAGGCATAGGGCAGGGGGGCTACGCTACTTCCTTCAATCCATCTGGACATCGATCTTATCATTCCATGTCATCGCCCGCTAATCAGCATCCGCATAGTGGAGGCCTGGTGAGTCTCAATTTATGCCTTCTCGGAATGATCTTTTTCCCAACTTACTAACAAAATTACCTGCAGTCAGGTACGTTTCCTTCACGGCCCGGACGACGGACCGTAGGCTCAAGCGATTATACGACATTTGGTGGATTGGGCGGCGCCTTTGCTCCACGGCTGCAGGAACGGCCCAGGCCCATTGACTACGGATCACTGTCTAGTTCCCGCTTCCATCCTGTCTCAATGGGTTCTGGTGCGTCCTCTCGACCAGTCCCGTATCCAGCGGGAGGAAGTGCCAGTTCATTACCCGTATCTTCGACAGCCCGATCTTCGTCCCTCGGGGTAGCGCCGTGGCGTCGGCCTCACGTTGAAGAGCGCGATCTCTGTCCGATTTGTGACCAAGAGCTTCCACCTTTGGGTAACAACGGGGACGAGGCTGGTCGGGAGGCACATATCCGCGACTGTATTGAAAGTCATGGTCGACAGGGTCGTTCGTCTCCGCAGAGCGGCAGCCCAGCGGCGTCCTCACCCGTTCCAGTTCGTCTGGTCGTATTCAAGGCGACGGAGAAGGATTGTGTGGGACAGGACGGAGGGCTACAGGAGTGTACCATCTGCATGGAGGAGTACGAGGTTGGCCAGTCGCTGGTGCGGCTGGAGTGTCTCTGCAAATTCCACAAGCGATGCATCGTTGAATGGTTTGAGCGGAAGAAGGAGTGCCCGGTGCATAAAGTCTCCTGAATGAGCCTGATGTCTTGTTGTTATTTCTTCGTTTCATAGCGAGCCTTGTTTGTACTGTGCAGGTTTTGTTGCGGCTGGATTTCCGCCTTCGTCTTGTCAGCCCGATGGTGGCTTTGTTTTTGGTGAGGCAAATGTTCTTTCCGGGCACCATTTTGCTGAGCCGGCGTCCTGGCCCTGTTTCCCCTCCCTTTTTTTTTTTTTTTTTTTTTTTTTTTTTTTTTTTTTTTTTTTTTTTTTTTTTGGTGCAGCTGATGAGCAGCCGGGGGTGCTTATGCTTGCTTGAAGAGAGTTATGAGTGTCTCTCTGTTTGGTGTTCTTTATCTCCCCCTCATGCTTTATACAACCGTTCGGCGTGTGAGTGCAATTATTGTTGGCCATTTAGTTAGAGCGACTACTGTTTCCACAGGACATTGGACATTTACGAATGCTACACCTTTTACATACTCATTGATCCGATAAGTGAGGGATGGTAATGGATAGAAAAGGGGAATTGGGATGGCATTTGGTGCACACGTAAGCAGCGATAGGAATAGCAGCCTGAGTGAGTGTCCATCTCAAGACTAGAAAATCATAGGAAATCCGTCAAAGAAGAAAATCCGATCTCCATGACTGCTACCAGCAATAAAAATGGACGATGTTTATGGTATGTTTATATAGTTATATCTGAAGTCTGGCGGCAAATTGGGCTCAGTCGCAGTCACCAGAAATCGCAGGCGACAGAAGCCGCCCCTCCACTTGAGGCTCCTTCGCTCGACTTTCGCGTCTCCGCGTTTCTCTCTTCTCTTTTTCTTCTTTGCCATCTCTTTCTTCTCGCACAAAGTGTCGCATCAAACCCGACAGCGGAGCTCCGTTTCCATCAAACGTGGTTTTAGATATCTAATGCATCTTATCCAGCATCTCCTGGAGGCTCCTTATTAAGGCTTAAACACCCCCCCGCCGCCTGAGGCCTCCACGTCGGCTGTCGGTCACCGACCGTCCGGTTCTCCGACCTTCGCCCAACTGCAGCCTCCAAGCGAGTCTGGTGTCTTGCTTTCCACCCCCTCATCTTCTTGTTCTCTCAAATTAAAATGTAAGCTTGATGTTCATTTCGGTCTCCTTACTATCCCTTCTAGGAATAACGCGGCCAGGCGATCGGAACTCCTTGCCGGTCGTGATAAAATCCGTTGGCCATGGCGACCCTCCACCCGTCATCGTGCAACCCAGGCTGACATGCCATAACCCAGTCCCCGCAACCGATGGAGATCGATCCGCGTCTGCGTGCTGGCAGTGACAGCTCTCCTGCCGACGGCACCGCAGCCGGTCGTCCATATATCCCTCCCCCGGCCTCCTCCTCCAGACATCCCGACCCCAATGCCGCCGCTCCCTCCGCTCTTGCACGCAGCAGCAATTACCCCGAGCCACCGTCCCCTTACTCGCCCGCTGACCAGCTGCGATCCGCCGTCTCGTCTGCAAGTGGGCCCGGCTACTACGGCAGCGCCGCGCACTCCCAGTCGACGCCATCTATCTACCGAAGCGGGCCTGAACCTGGCTCTGTGCCCAGCACGTCCTCTCAACTCGACTCCGTCGATCCGAACGATCCGTATGCCGAATTACGACGTCCGCGCGCCTGCGAAGCTTGCCGACAACTCAAAGTCCGATGCGAGCCCGATCTCAGCCATCCCAATGGGACGTGTAAACGGTGCGCCAAGGCCGGCAGAAATTGTATCGTGACCCTTCCCACGCGCAAGCGCCAGAAGAAAACCGACAGTCGCGTGGCGGAGCTGGAGAGAAAGATCGATGCCTTGACGGCAAGCTTGCAGGCCTCCCAGGGCCATGAAACCCACCCTCTTCCGCCGCCCGCGACTCTTGAGCCGCCACGCGAGGAGCATCCGGGAAGGCGCTGGCTGCCATCCGCAACGCATGTCTCTGCTAATGGATCGGTACCTCTGAAGTCACCATCCAGCACGGCGGGGAGCAAGCGGCAACACGGTGGGGAGATCAAAGAGACTGCTCCAGTGTCTTCTCGCACTTCGAGCCCATCCGACGACCAATCATTGTACAATAAGGCTATTAAACAATGGCGGGCTATGGGATACGGAGCGGAGCCACAACCCAAGGATACGGCCAGCGAGGGCGGGGGCGATCTGATTGACAGAGGCCTCGTGAGTGAGACACTGGCTGAGGAGGCATTCACCAAATATATAGACTATATGGCCACCCTTATACCTATGGTGGTGTTCCCACCGGGCACAACGATGGATGAGGTGCGGCAGAAGAAGCCGGTGCTGTTTCACGCTATAGTTGCGGCCGCGATCGGTACTATCCAACCACAGTTGCAGCTGTCCTTGCTGGATGATTTCTACAAAGTGCTTGCAGAACGAGTCGTGGTGAAAGGTGAAAAGTCTCTGGATCTAGTCCAGGCGATCTTGGTGTGCTGCAAGTGGTACACGCCGCCAGACAACTTCGAGGAGGTAAAATTCTATCAGTTGTCCAACATTGCTGTCTCACTCGCGATGGATCTGGGTCTCAATCGGAAGGCGATCCCCAAGTCGAAGCCGTTCGCCCTAGTCAAGGAGCTTATCTCGAAGAAGTCATCTGTCGTCCTAGATCTGGATTCACCCGAGGCGAGACGGACTTGGCTTGCTTGTTATTTCCTCTCTGTGCAGTTCGTATCCCTTCATTAATGATGCCAAATCTATCGCTAACACTTCACAGGGTCGCCGTCTCTCTAAGGCGCGTGAATCTAGTCCGATGGCTGCCATATATGGACGAATGCGTGGAAATACTGGAGAAGTCACCAGACGCCTTACCATCCGACAAGGCCATGATCCAATGGGCAAAGCTAGCCCACATCCTCGAAGATATCGCCGTCCAGTTCACTACCGACGACGCCCCTACCGTATCATCCTTCTCAGACCCGAAATTCCTCTACACGCTCCGAGTCCTCGAAAGGCAACTCGAACAATGGCGTCGAGAAACTCCACCAGAGCACTATTCCCGTATGTTGAATCCTCTACCCCCAATCCTAGGTTAACCACCTACTAACCACAACCCCAGCCATCATGAAACAAGCCTATTGTATCCTCAACCTCTTCCTCCACGAAAATGCCATGCACGTAGAATTCCACCGAGACGATTCCAAATCCGCCAACGACGATCTCGCCAGCCCCACCAGCCCAGCTCACATCAACGCCCTAAGCACCTGCCTCACCTCCATCCACGACGCCATCGACGTCCTCTGCTCCATCGAAACGAAAGACCTAGTCCTAGCCCCGACCATCGCTCTGGCCCGAACGTCCTTCGCCATCGTCGCCCTCATCAAGATCTACTCCATCGTCTCGAGCCCAGACACCCGTATGGCCCAAGTCATAGACCTCAGCAGCCTGAAGACAGAATACTACCTGGACAAAGTCATCCGCCATTACACCAAAGCCGGCGAATCCCCGGGCGGTCGCACCCCTGCTAAATTCAGCGTCGTCTTGACTCTTCTCCGGAACTGGTTCATGAAACGCAAAGACCAGGGACCTGTCCTCAAAGACGCGTTGTCGCTGTTTAAGTGCTCTGATGAAGATAGACTTCAGGTTCGTTTACCCCATCACCCTTCAACCCATCCATCCATCCATTATTATCACATCACTAACTATAATCCAGCAACCCCCCAAACAAGGCCAAGGCCAAGGCCAAACCCCCCTCCACCTCCTCAGCGAAGTCGCCATGGGCGACCCTCAATCCCGCTGTGCAACCAACAATCCATCCCCGAACCAAACAACAACAGCATCAACAACAACAACAACAACAACAACAACAACAACCAACAGCAATAGACCCATCTACACGCCCAACACCGCAACACCCTCAACAAGTAGTTACCCCGACCTTCTCACAACCACCCAACCCCAACAGTCTACATCATCAGACCTGCCCGTCCCCCCTCACTCTCACCCTCACTCCCTGAACCCCAGTCCCACCACTGACTCCACCGCCGAACCACCTTCCACATCTTCAAACTGGGTCCAGTACCCCCCTCAACCTCGCCAATACTACTCTGCATTTAGCCCCGGGTACCAAGATGTACAGGGATTCGGGGCTGATCCGGGTAGTGGGAGTAATGGGAATGGCATGGTGGTGACTCCAGGTGGTGCTGGTGCCAGTGTTAGTGGAGGAGGGGGAGGAGGGCATCCGATACAGGGATTATTTTTCCCCGAGTTGGGGGTGCAGATGGGGTTTGATCCCGAGAATCTTTACATGTTGGGGAATATGCTTGGAGATGAGATTCTCAATTTCCCATTTCAGGCGGATGGGGGGATGGGGTTTTATTAAGTTGAGGTGGGGTGTATTTCTCTAGGTGATTGGATATGGGAAGAGGGGGCGGATTTGTTTATATATGTTGATGATATCCCTCCTCTTCTTGGTTTATAAGTTTTTATCATGTGTATCTATACTATTGGAGTACAGGTCTGGGTATATTTATATACATAGGAAAGAGTCATGAAACTAAGCTACTTTTGTGTCCGTCCGCCGGTACATATGGGACTGATCGGATAAATGTTCCTCAAGTCGTGCTCCAAACTCGAGGATCGGCTCCCACATTAGACTCCCCCATCCTACTGGTAAATTAACAAACCCGTTCGCGTGCAGTACCCAGTCAAGAGGCTTGTCACTAGAGTCAGTGGGTATGCTCATGAGCCCCACTCACTCAGCACGCCATGGCGAATAAGCGAGATAGAATCCCAACAGCCTCCTCCCCGGTCCCACACGTTATTGTGATAAAGTGCGAAAGGAGCCAATTCCATTCGGCCGAGGCTGCATTAGCGAGGAAACAGCTGTCTTGCGGATCGGCGTGCCAGACTGCCAGTGTCTGCAAGCCGGCGTACTCCGGCACTGGCTGGGCCATTCCCCACTTGCTGATCATGATTCGTAGCGAGCCATCGGATAAAGCAGAAACAGCGGTCAAGTGTGGTAGACCATTTGGAGTATTGGTGATGTTCAAGCAATTGTCGGTTGCCAAAAAGTGAATGATCATCACGACGCGGTTGAGAAGCAGCGCAGAATGATCTGATCAGCTGATCAACAGCATTCACCTGACGGTCAAGCGCCACTCTTGGCTTAGCTTCTGTACCATATATGACCATGGCCAGCCATTCTCAGCTTCGGTCCTCCGGAGAAGATCCAGCAAACATGTCTGCGCTAGAGGGTCACGAATCCATGAGCCGCCTGGTGGACCAATTGATCAGTTAGTGGGCTTCCGTATCCAGCAGGTGGGCCACAGCCAGGGCAGAAATCATTACTTACAGGCGCACAGTGCGTGACATGCCATGACGCGCAGAGATATCTCGTCATCAACCGACAGTGCTATTCCGAACAAAATACTCAGACTCCGCGTCATGTTTCCCTGAACAGCACAGGTTAGGCTCCCCACAGAAGGTTGCAGTCTGTAGCGGCGTACCTCGGTCATTTGGATATCTTGTGGACTAGGCGTCGAATAAAGGGCCCTGAGTTCCTGTTGCAGGATCAAGGCTTTGGCCATACAAATATGCTGTACTGCGATCGCTAGAAGGAACGTCAACAGCCAGGTCATCAATATTACCAAGGGTCTTTGACATACCATGGAGTGACTGTGAACCAGACTACGGGAAAAGGTCGGCCAACTCTTGGGTCCGCAGCGGAATAATGCAGTGGTCGAAAGCTATCCGGCTTCTCCAGATCCCAAGCATGGATCCTTCGTTTCAGTGTACTCCTACCCACCACTTCCATCTCCAGCGATGGATTTACCCCATAGCAGTGATTTATCGTCTCAGCAAGAAGCCAAATAGCCTTATGCGTCCAATCTCGATCTTTCTGAGACGAGGTGTGCTGCCACAAGAGGTACAGTCTCTCCCCGAACGGACTCAATGTCAACCGCAGAGGCTTTTGATATGCCAAAGCAAATTGAATATCTTGCATCACAAAAACCCAAAACGAAGCTTCTGCGAGTCCGCCTGATGTAGCGCATTCGACTTGAGAGCTGATATAGACTGAGCCGGCCAGGAGATGCCGTTGTAGATCGTTCGATGGGCTATGAGCTGCTCGAGATATTAGAAAACTTTGCTATCGGACTCGAGGGTTTATCCAAGGGGCACACACAGGAAATCTGCTCAAAGAAGCGCAATATCACAGTAGATGCAAGAAGTATATCAATGCTGATCTCGATCTCTTTATTTTCCAGAACAGGCAAGAGTATCCCGATGCACCGCTCATGATATCCATCTGCGGTATTCGGGGGAATATTATGGTTTGTATGGGAGAGATGACGGGCTGCTATAGCCAAACATGCGTAGAGTAGAAGAGGATTCGTAGGTGCCCGTTCCACCACATCCAAAGAGAAATGTCTCTCATGATCGCAAACATCCAACTAGAAAGCGACGATTAGCCTTAGTTCAACCGTATCGTTGATCGAAGAATGGGGTAAAGCACCCATGGGCCGAGCGTTTTTCGGAAGTGCCGAAGGAGGAACGCCTCATTGAAACTAGCGACCTTCTGTCGATCGCGGAGTTCATCAAATGCAAAAGGAAAATTGACTGGGTCCAGGCCCTGTGGTGGAAGGGCCTTGGAGGGAGTGCTGTCACTCGGGGACAATACAGGCTGGAGGGCATGCGACGACGTGGATGGTGCCGTGGAAGCTAGAGATCGACGCTTGAATGTGTCTTTCCGGGATGCTGATGGAGGGTTTACCGGAAGAACATGATAGTCGGCCGCCGTACGATCCGTCTCGTCCTCGAAGGAGACTACAGAGCCGTCGTCAGTGCAATGTCTCAAACCTTCGTTCTTGCAGAGGGACCAACCCTGCGCAGGCATCCCAACCCATATCTGATCGGGAGGAAACGCGAGGTCGCTTTCTCCGTAACGGGGAGGGCCCTTTGGCCGCAGTGACGGATTTTGCCCGTGTCGAAAAGTGACCTCTTCCGTCTTTGTCGGTGCCGGGATACACTGCCGTCCCGATCGCTGGCATCGCAAGCACGAGGACCCCGTCTTGTCACCTAGAAGACCATGATTAGAGGCGCTGAACTGGAAAATTGGCCATGCCCGTCCGATAAACCGGGCTTCTGCAGGGGAAAGCGAATTACATTTGAGATGGCGTTGACGACAGGTGAGACTGTACGTAGACAGTTGCATTAGCTTGGTCGAAAAGCAGCGGCCGCATGCCGCCCAAATGGCATCCCAACAGACTGGGCCAGGAAAGAAAGAAAGAGAGAAACAAGATTCGCACCAGGGGCCGCCAGGACTTACCACCCCCTCATCACGTTGTTGTCAGGTCGGTCCTCGACAGGCAGTCGCAACAGTAGCCATGGAGGGGCAGAGGCATCAACGGCAGGAGGCAGCCATTGATGTGCGAAAGATAAAGAGGAAGAGGCAGGAGAAAGGGGAGCCAGGCCGAGTCGATGTTGGACTACTCGGCTGCAGCTAAAAGCGACCGCCTCAGCGACGGTGATTAGGATGGGCAGAACAATGTTCAACGGTTAAATGCCCAATGGAGGATGGTTCATGCGGAGTGGAGCGCCGGCGTGATGGCCATGGAGCCCCCAGAGCAAATAAGGATTGGAGGGGCGAGAAAAAGGGAAAAAGAACCCTATACAGAAACGAGAACGGCTCGAGTCGATCTCTCCCTTAGCGTGAACACCAGACCCGACCTTTTTTTGCCAGTCCCTCCAGGTTTCAGCCTTTCAGGGGCCCAAACCGAACCCAAAACATGGCCGGCAAAACGGTTCCCCATCACACCCGAGAAATAAGCCAGCGCGCCCGTTTTTAATTTCCCTGGATACAATATGGGGAGAGTCTAGCCAGGGTTCGGGAAATGATGCCGCTGCTTCGATTGTCGCTACTTTTTCTCTCCGACAGAGCGCATGGTGATGGACACACACGCCCGCCTCTGATCACTGCCCGAAGCAGAAAATCCTCACGAGCTAAATGGGAAGTCCACCAGCGCCGGAACGTTTCGGTTCAAGCTAGCCTAGCGAGGAAGCAATGGACACTTTTTATTGCACCTTTCGTCAGGAGCTCCATCCAACTTTCAGCTACCAGCAACTATGTTTCTTGGAGCTTTGGGGGGAGGGGGAAAAAAGTCTGCGAAGTGACGGACTTTTGGGATGTCAGCCGTGCATGGCCCCGGTGGGTTCCAGCTACCAACAACCAGCCACAGTGACCTTAGTATTGATCATCCTAGCCAGCCTGTGGGTTGTTAGTGAGCATCTTGGATACATCGCCATTGTCCTGTAATGACCATTCGACAGAGGCTTACTGCTAAGTCCCCCTACCCCTGCCACTCGACGGGTCTAGATTGTGACTGCCGGCGCCATTGGCGAGGGAACATGAAGCCCCCTGTTGACCCTATCTGCTGCTCACGCAGATCTTGGGCCTATGTCCATTGATTTTCCCCTTCGGCATTGCTGCTCTCCGGCGAATGAATTTGTTCGCATCACCAAGGTGAGGGGTGTGCCGCAGCTCCAGCCTCCGGATGGTCCGTGAACACTGTTTTCTCCGCTTGTATCTAGTGTGGTATGGTGGCCACTGCCAATCAGGAGGGCCGGAATATTTTCAGGGCAGAGTTACTAGGCGGGAAAAGCAAACGACAGCGCATCAGTCGAGCTGGGAGGCGTTCAGTGACTCGTCAACCCATCGAGCCAGTGGTCTGCCTGCGCAGGAGGCATTGCAATTGCCCATTGTATTGTATGATGAATGGAAGATCTAGACGCAATAGTCTCCTGATGAAGAATCTCTCTCTGGTGGCACCACCGATCCAGCGGTGCTAAGTAGAACCCCATTTTGTGATGGTTTCTGGGATCCCGTGAGGACCTAGCACACGAGTATGCCGCTACTTAGATCCGAAGGAGGAGGTTCAGACCAATGACATAGGATAGTCATACAACCTTTTGGCGCAGCTGCAGCCTTCAGGGAGACTGCGGAGGGTCTAAAGGCTTTGAGGGGGGGGCGCTTGTAGATCATAAAGCTACGTGAGCCAATTGACATCTGATAAGCTTTCCAAACAATTATATATTCGGGCACGAATCGGTCGGAGGAAAGTAAAAAGTGGGAGGAAGGGATAGATTAGTACTAATGGTAAACATGGAAAGAACCATGATCAGAGAAAATAAGATGAGCAGGGGAAAGTGAAGCCAAAAGGCAATAGAGTTTCCATTTCCATCCCTCAAAATTGGGGAACGAGAAGTAAGAGACAAACAAAGAGAAAAAGGAAGGAATGGGAGGCGTGACCGAAAACAGCAGGCGCGGGGAAAGCAGCAGTCAGGTGATTGCTGGCAGCGCATCGCCGCTTCTTCTTTGGGCGGCGCAGCACAGAAATCCCGGATCGGCGATGCATTCAATCACCGTCCGACGTTGACTCTTTCTGTGCGCCCAGATGCAATTGATCCTCCACTGCAGCAAGGGATCCTCGTTCCACGCTCTATCTGCCCTATCTACTACCCCATTCCACGTATCCTTTCGGCTCTTGAAGCTTCTCCGCCCCTCCTTTTTCTGATCGACGGGCCGAAAACGGGTCGGACTCCACAGCCAACCAGACATCGTCATAGCTTGTCCCTCGCGAATACCACCTCGCATATCTACTGCTACATACATACCATACTATATATATCTGGACGCTCGGCGGACCAGAATCACGGGGTAGAGGGATTGTCCGAGGTAACCCACTTGAAAAAAAAGCAAGTCCCTGTCTCTAGCCATGCCTGACATCTCATTGCACACAGTAGAGAAATGTCTCTCAATCGCATCGCCTTCTTGGAGTCTTGGGAACAGAACCCTGCCGCATTCCGCCGTCAACCGAGACCAGAGGACTCTGAAGATGAAGATAGATATCATGACCTTCCGGAGCCTTCACTGTCATCATCCTTTCAATCAAACATTAGTAGTCGTCCAACCTTCCGAGATCGCCTGAACTTTAATCCCTATGCTGGACCCGGTTGGAACGAGACCTTCGTGGATGAGTTCGATAGACCCTATAGAGGTTCCTCGCCCAGGCGCCCTCGGGCTGATGAAGCCGAACCTTTAGAACAACCCGAAGAAGATGACACATTGAGGCCACAGCAACCTGTGGGCTTAGAAACTACGGGAGCCTTTGAGGTTGGCCGTTCGAAACGAATCTGTAAGTTGTATGTCTCAGTGGTGAGCAATACGGACTCTGAACTTTTCCAAAGTGCAGGTTTGTATCGCAGTTGTATACTGCTTGTTCTCTGCAGGAATAGTCTTCGGATTTGCGGCAATCAAGCCCATATTCGTCAAAGAAGGAGTCTACCGCAACCTGTGCTCAAAGGACGAGCTCGATAGCGGCTCAGATGTATGCTATCGACAAGACATCCGGTGCGTCGGCTCAAATACGGATCTTTAACAGCACGTATTTGCTAACCGACTGCTTCCAGGCTGAATCTAATGTTTACGGTAGCCGCCGTTGCAACAAACGTGTCAGCATTGCCCGTAGGAGCCATACTAGACACCCATGGCCCCCGAGTATGTGGCATCATTGGCAGTATCTGTTTAACCGTGGGCAGCCTTCTGCTCGGGCTCGCACCCAAGCTTTCCTTTGATGCTTACTTACCAGGGTATCTCTTTCTATCCCTCGGGGGGCCTTTCATCTTCGTCCCATCGTATCAACTGTCGAACACCTTCCCGACCCATTCTGGTCTTATCCTGTCCACCCTTACGGGTGCTTTCGACGCTTCCAGCGCACTCTTTCTCGTGTTTCGGCTGTTAAATGAGAAGACCGAGGGCGCCTTCACTACATCGCGGTTTTTCCTTATCTATCTCATTGTACCAATCTTCATCTTGACTGCTCAGCTAACGGTCATGCCCAAAACCTCCTACAAGACGGCAGGGGAGCTTGTTCAGCAGGCGGAAGAACAAATCGTAGCGGAGGCAGCTGACCGAGTAGATGAAGCTATTGGTGACCGTAATGAAGGAGAACGGCAACGCAATGACCGCCGTCTTCAGCGGCAGACTGTTATCAATCAAATCGAGGACTTGCTACATGCACCTACGCCCGAGCAGGACCACCAACCACAACTAGAAGAAGAACAGACCGAGTCTATCCCTCACACTGCTGGCGGTGTCTGGGGTGCCCTGCATGGCCGCTCAGCCTTGCAGCAAATTCGCACCCCATGGTTCGTGCTTATCACTCTCTTCACCGTCCTCCAAATGCTTCGAATCAACTACTTCGTCGCCACCATTCGTCAACAATACACCTATCTTCTACACTCGCTCGAGCGTGCCAAAGCTTTGAATTCCACTTTTGACGTCTTACTCCCTCTCGGCGGCCTGATCTCCGTCCCCTTCACCGGAGCCATCCTCGACAATGCTAGTACCCCAGTCGTGCTTGGTATCCTCGTTATCACCGCTACGCTCATTGGCCTCCTTGGTTGCATCCCCAGCATCCTCGCCGGCTATGCCAATATCATCCTCTTCGTCATCTATCGCCCCTTCTACTATACATCCGTCTCTGACTACGCTTCCAAAGTCTTCGGCTTCCAAACTTTCGGCAAGGTATACGGCCTCATCATCTGTCTTGCAGGATTGGGAAACTTCGCTCAGACAGGCCTCGACACCCTCGTCTTCCGAGTCTTCCATCGCAATCCCATTCCCGTCAACGCGATGCTTACAGGTTTAACGTTCCCCGTTGGCCTAGCTTTGGTCGCATACGTCTCATGGCAGACTAAGAAGCTAGCCGCCGCCAAGTTAGCCCAAGAAAATGTCACCGATGGTGCCAATGCTGAGAGTGGACTCGTGGCGGGCCACGACGACCAGGTGAATTCTCGGGACTGGTACGCGGATGAGAGGACACCGCTGCTGGGTGATAGTATTCGGGGGCGTCGATCTTCCTTTGCAGTTGGGGTTCCACCTTCTTGAAATGCCTTGCCTTGGTGAAAAGGTTTATTGCCTATACATCCCTTCCCTGTAGATAGATACATAGATAGTTGCAGCAACTTCTTGGATTATCATTGTTTGGATGGGATGGTTTATCTGCCTAGGGGCACAACCCACAAGTCTGTCTTTGGTCTCTCTCTCCTTTCCCAGTGTTTTATATTTAGTATTATCCAATCCACACCACTCCAGATCGACCATTCATGAATTAATAGAATGATAATGTTAATTCATTACTATATACTATATTCCTTTCTCAATTTCTCTTCCTTCCACCACCTGTATATACTCATAGCTACATACATCTTAAGTAAGATCTAATCTAGTGAGTGTACTGAACTAGTAACCATCTGAAAAACACGCAACTCGCACAACGCACGCACGAACAACAACACAACACAACACAACACCAAGCAGGTATCCGTTATCCCTGCCACACAACCCTCCCATTCCATACCATTCCACTGCTTCTGCTGCTTCGTAACCTCGTAATTCATACTGATCTACCACACTTCCTCAGAGCGGGGTATAAAATATTAAAATATAGAATAAGAGAATAGGGAAACAAAGGATAGACCACTGAGTAAGGCCATGGGAAAGGAGTAAAGATAAATGTAAATAGGTAAGAGAAATAGAAAGATGAAATAGAGATGGCATGTGGAGAGAGTATGTGTAAGGGGGGTATAGTTCACTCCATTCTAACCATAGCCAGTTTCACTTCTGCCCAGAGATCGCTACCCGGTCGGTCGCAGGCACGATCAGACCAGACCATCAGACCGAGGAGTTTGCGGGCGTCGACCCAGGATCTAATGCCGTGGCTGGCGGCGGCTTGGCTGAGGACGTGGACGAACCAGGCTCGTTCGGGCCGGTCGTCTGCGGCGATGCCGCCGAGGACGAGGACCCAGAAAAGGGCGATGCGGGCTTGCGGGTGGCTCCAGGTGGAGGCGAGGTCGGAGATTTGGAGAACGTTTTGAATGAGCTTGGCGAGTTGGCCGAGGGGGGTGCTCTGGTAGGGGAGGGGGAAGACGACGCCGACGCCGTAGATGAGGGCCGCGAGACGACAGGCTTCGTAGATGATTTCGTGCGGCTTGTAGGCGGCAAACCCGTCGAGTTGGCTGGCCGCGGGGAGGGAGAGGAGGGTATATTGGGTGAGGTTGCGTTGATCGGAGATGAGGGAGTAGTCGGGGTTGACGAGGTGGGCTTTGATGTGCTCTTCGACGAGCCTCATGTAGAGATGCATGGCGTATAAGACTTCGACCATTTCTGCAGTGAGGCCGATGTCCCGGAGGGGAGCGTATCGGCGCTCTACATCAATGGTTGTGAAACCGAGCATTTTCTGCAGGCTGAAATTTCGCCGCTCGTGGAAGAGGGGAATAAAAGTGAACACGGGTGGCATGAGGAAGGTGCTGCAGGTCACAATGTCGGAGCTAGAATTGAGGATTATAAGTTAGTATGGAAAGCGGGAATATCGAGGGAGTTAAGACTAACAAGGACAGAGTTGCAGCCAGCCCGGGCAGAGTCAGGTTCTCGATGCCTCCCCGTAACCGCACCATCTGCACCAGACCCTTGATATGAACCAGATTCGGCGGAAGGGCTCCATAGACGTCCAGCCACTGCAAACGTGGTAGCGGCGCATCGAACGGCAGAGTCCGATGAATGCCGCGTCCGTGGTCTTCTGCGACATTATGTGCCATGCAGATGACAGCGAGAATCACTGAATCGCACACCGCTCGACTGGGATTACTGACTTCCCGTGTAACGTTCTGGATGGTTTCCAGCTCACACCATTGCAGGATCCGTTGCTCTTCTGGCAGGAAGGATTCCCGTGAAATCCAGCCATTGAGCCACCGAAGGCGTTTGTGAGACAGAGAGCCGAACACGAAGGCGGTAAATAGAGTGCGGTCTTGTAAAGCGAGGGGTAACCAGCTGGTGCTGGCTGGCCGCGTCTCCTGACCGGGGGAGACGGGGGTCAGGCCGGGCCACAGGACATAGAGACCTATGGATACCGTATGTTAGTGCTCTGTGAAGAGAAATGTAATGAAGGAACAAGAAATGAGCACGAACAGTATTCTTCTGTGGCCGCAATCTCCGTTCTCGCCAGATCCATTGGGTTCGTATGAAACGGATCGACGGCGACACAGCCAAAACTCTCAATACACCCCATGGATGTAGCTGACGAGGGAGCCGGCACGCTGAAGGAATCGGAAGTTGTAGTCCTTTTCGTAGTTTCGATGTGATCATAGGGTGTTTCATCGAGAGTTTGTTGCTGGAACTGCCAGACGGTATCGGGGGATAACTCCATTTCTTCCGGATCAAAGTGGAAATGCGACTCGCCTACCACCCCCGGTACCAAGGGCGGACAGTCAGCGAATCCATACTCTGGAGAAGGTGTGGAAGGATCCGATGAACTACGGCGAATAGGTGTCTCGGAGGGAGGACTGTGGTGTGAGGGGAAGGCCAGGGGAAGGGCGGAAGGCGTGAGAGCAGCGGGGGACGGAGAGCCGTTCGGAGGCGTCAATAAATGAAGGCCTGGGGCGGGCGGAACTGCGCCCTGAGGCGGAGACTGACTGGAGGCATCTGGGGACGAGGAAGACGACTGGGATTGATTGCTGTCGGGCGATTCTGGGCCGGACGAACGATCTTTGGTCTGGTCGGAGATCCATTTGCCCACATGGGCGCGGACCAGCCGCTGGATTTTGATCCGCTCCGTCTCAGATGCTGGGCGCGCATTGACGAAGTGAATGGCGTCCTTCTTCCGCCCAGCGGCGACACCCTTTGTAGACGCCATGAGAGGCTTTGTCTTCTTCTTTTTCTGCTTCGCTTTCTCCCACCGCTAAGGGTCATTGCCGATCAAGAGCACAGGATGCGACGAGGACGGTTGAGCACGGCAGACGGCCAGGGTAGCATTCTGTTTTCGACGAGGCGAGGAGGATACGGAGGGATGAAGCGAGGCGGAATTTGAAGCGAAGAAGGGAGGTTGTTTAAGCGCAACAGGGGACGAGGGTGTTGGTGGTGGTGGTGGTGGTGAGTATGGCAGGGGAAGTACTAGTCGTAGTCGGGGCGGAGGAGACTTGATTGGGCCGCATCAATGAGGGACGGACGAGACGCGAGACGAGGGGGAAATCATCGGACCGACGTTTGGCGCTGATCTGGCAGGCTGCAAGGAATTGGATGCAGGAAGGCGTGCCTGAACGTGATTCCGGGGAAAAGGAGGAGGAGGGAAAAGGACTGAGGAAGGCGAAGAAGAAGAAGAAGGGGGCGAGGATGGATGACGGAGGGATGGGGAGAAATGGGGGGGAAGATTGCGTGAGCGGATAAATTTGGGTGAGGGGAAGAAGAATATCCGGGAGAGAAAGAGAGGCAGAGGCGGAGGCAGAGGCAGAGAGAGAGAGAGAGAGAGAGACGGAAGTCTGGGGGGGGCGAGAAAGTTGAGTTAAAAAAAAGGGAAAAGAGAGAGCAGCGAGAGCGAGAAGGAGAAGCGAAAGCAGAGCAGGAAAAGGTCCCAGGAAAAGCGGCGCGGATCGTCGCTGAAGAGAGCCAAAAAAGCAAAATCCCCAACCATTGAAAGAGCCAAAGCGATTAATTCGTGCCTGTCAAAAAACTAATCCATCCTGACTGAACTTAGATCCGTCTCTAGTTCTGCGACTAACATTCGCACTACTGCTCTAGTCAACTCTGGTGCTGCTCCGATCGATCCTCTGCACAGTTTCCTCCACACCTCCAGTGAGCGTAAGATGTGCTATCTCTCTCACACTTTCGCGCTCTCCTTTTTTTTTTTGATTTCTTTTCCCCCTTCAATCTCTCTCCACACTTCTCAGAACCGATGACCATCATCATCACTCTCTTCCACTCCCTCGCTCACCCCGACACCTTAAATCGCTAGCTAAAACCCTTCCCTGACAGCCCAGCAATCCCGACAAAACGCACGGTGATTCCAACCCACATCCATGGATCCCAACCAGCCCAGCACCGCCGGTCAATGCGGGGAAAATCCCAAGGTTGACCGCAAAAGTATCTTCCTCGCTTGCGCTCTTTTGCTCATCGGACCCATCCGCTGCAAGCTTCGGCCTGACAGGTCACCCCCTCCATGCACCCTTTTCTTTTCTCTTATCGGGGTCTGGTTCTGCGCTTTTCTCTAGATTTCCGAGATAGCATTGACCTTGCTGATCACTTGTCCGAGATTAGCATTCTCGACATGATAGATCAAAATAGTAGCAAAACCACCCTCCCCCCCAAAAATTATCTACCTTCTCTCATGTAGTTCACATCCAGAACAGTTAAATATGCTCTGGACCGGACACAGACAGGGGCCGGGCCCAGCGTTAGCTTGTTGCAACGCCATCCCTTTAAGGTTAATGCGGCGATGCGCCTCGCCCCTGGAGAATTCGGGATGGGTGGCGGTCCCAGTCCCCACGGCCTGCTCCATCACATGAACAATGGTCGCCATGACGTACTCAGACCACTGCTCGGCGGTTCATAACCTAAACCCCGTCATCGTATCCTTTCCTACATCAGTAACTGATGGGCTAGATGTAATCGGCCGCTGCTCTCTCTCCAGACCCATCCCCTGGTTCCCTCAGGGTGACCTGGGGGTGTCCATGGCTCAACTCGGATTCTCGATGCAGATAATGATTGTATTGTCTACCCTACCGACGGTTATAGCCTTAATAACAGACGTAATATACTTCGTCCATTATCCCCATTTGCGAAACAAACTTCCGGGTAAGTAAACTAGTCAAGCTCAATCAATGGGTATTTCCCCCCTTCTCCAGTTACCGGGTCCTGATACTGCTCCAAGGCCTCCTCAACTGCCGCCATGTATCCAAGCACCTTCTCTTCCTGCCATCTGCGTCCCACCACCTGCACTGCAGTAGGCAATCCCGCCATCTTCGCCGCGTCGTAGTGCTTCCAGGCACCGTAGGCCACCGCGTTGCTGGCTCCCAGCTGTTTCAGCACCTTCTTGTACGGACCAGACAGAGCATCCTTCTTCGCGTCCACGTGCGAGACAGGCACGACACCGGCTGTGTAGTCCAGCAGGTTCCAGAGGAACGTGTATCCGCATGAGGATACCGCATCGTGCATGGCTTTGTGGGGCAGAGCCGGCGTCGCATTGACGGGGCAGAGGATGAAATCGTACTGCTGCGTCTCGGCATCCCACCAGCTGTGCCAGGTCGCCCGGAAAGCTTCCCGCTGGGCAGTGAGCTTCCAAAGCTCCGCCGCAGACTTGGGGGCAAACCCGCGGATCAGCGTCGCCCACTTCTCATCCCGTCGGATGTACCGAACCCAAAGGTAGTAGAGATAACGTAGAGGACGGGGCAGATTGCATATCCGCGTCAGCTGATCTGCACCAGGGTCGGATGGCTCAAAGCTGTGCAGATGCGAGTTAAACGTGACGCACCCATCAGAGTTGAGCAGCTGCGAGGCGAGGGAGAGACCAGTAAAAGTGTCAGCCGCAGCGGGGGGTGTGATCTCAGATACAGTATGCCCAGCGGCGGTGAGGGCGGCTACTGTGGTGGAAATAGCACGTTCAATGGCCGGCGTTGGGGGAACGACACCTGCAAGTGGTCAGAAAGGCCCAAGTAGTGTCCTTGATGTCCCCGCTCTTGGAACTTACCATCGTTGCTCATGAGGCCGATCCTCAACCTTTTGTTTTGGGCTTCAATTTCCTCATCTTCTCTCCAGGAGATAGGGTGGACGGTATGGTCGTAGTTCCAAGGCTTCATTCCGACAATAGCTTTGGTGAAATAGGTGAGATCGTTCAAAGTACGGGCCATAGGACTGAAGACACTGGCAACACCTTCCTGGCCAGCCATGCTGGTGTTGACTCCGACCTTAGGCCAGCGGCCAGTACTACAGCGGAGGGAGTAGATGCCGCTCCAGGCAGCGGGAACGCGAACCGAGCCAGCGACATCCGACCCGATACCGATGCGACCACCAAGAGCCAGCAGAGCACCTTCACCACCCGTCGAGCCGCCAGGAGAGTATTCCGGGACATGTGGGTTAAGGCAGTGACCCCAAAGAGCGTTTGCTGATTCGAACGACAGAAGCGTCACGGGCAGCGCCGTTTTCGCATATGGGACCGCACCTGATGGAGTTCATCATTAGCGCAGGGATACTTTCTGTGATGTTTCGCGGCACAGGTCACCTACCAGCATCCTTCAACAGCTTTGCCATTGGACCATCCTCCTTATACGGTTTACACGCGAACTTGGTATACCCCAGAGTAATATCGAATCCTTTGACTTGCACCGAGTCTTTCAAAGAGATAGGCACACCCGCCAGGGGACCTTTTAGGTTTACTTCGGACTGAGCCCATGATTCTGCCTCAGGCAATAGAAGCTCAGTCACGCAATTGGTCTTTTCGTGAGCCTTGACTGCAACCTTGCCGTATGTGCGTAGGACATCTAAAGGTGCCAAGGAATCATTCTGGACCTCATATACCAAGTCCTGGATAGGCTTGTTAATGATAACCCTGTCGATAGCCGAGAAGGGCGCATGATAATCGGGAGATAGCGATGCAAATCGAGCCGCCCGTTCCCTCCTCTTGAGGTCCCTGTGAATGGTCAGTGAGCCGTCGGCTAAGTTGCATGTGGGCTGTGTAGGACTGCTTAAGTTGCTGCGTGAAGGCACACGGGGTAACCTACCGGATGCGACGATACGTAAAGTAATCAAAGGGGGGAAGCATTGTATGTCACCTCCTTAGGAGCCCGTGCAGAAGCCCAAGGGGAAGGACAGAGAAAGATAGAGAGGAGAAGAGCAACTTTCCGCGCAGAAAAAGAGATCCGTCACAACGCAGGGGGGGCGCCTTCCTTTTATTGCGGGGGAAGCACCACACGTGCGGAGAAGCCCGATAAGCCAGACCCGCTGATAAGCGCTCTGTGTCTAAGCTGACTTGTTCGCTTCCGGTGCTGCGTCCGCTGAGCTGTTCGAGCTTCGAACCCATCACGATAAGCTATGGCAGCCATGTCCAGATATATCTAGCACCTGTCCGTTATCCATGCTGCTAATTTGGATGTGGTACAGCTCACTGACAGTGACTATCCTCTGCAAGACCTTCCTGAGTGATAAACCCAGGTACCACACGTGACTGACACAGAAGCCGGCTGCCGGCGCTTGTTTTGCCCCATTCGGCAGGTCCATGCGGATAACGAGCTTCCTAGTATCGTCCCAGTAGTTAAACGAGGACTAGAAGGCGACATTTTGAAATTCTTATCTCCTAGTCTCGTCTAATTATGTGCTACGTACTCGACACTCACTATTAGTCTAATAAGCGCCCCGCTTGTCTCGTTCACTTATAAGCTCAGTTATGGTGATGTCGGATCAGTCGGCTCCTAACACTGCCGATGGTTGATGATCTAAGGACTATGATGAATTATTTTGTGCCTTCGGAAGTTCACACGTTTCATTACTTGGAACCATAGCAAAGATCTCCCAGCGTCTTCTAGGGAGATTCGAGTCAACGTGAAACCCATTATTGTTCGACCATTAAAACCTCAGCCGACGCCTAGTACATGCCAGAATGTCCGCGAGCATATGCCGGGTATTCTTCTCCGAAAGTCAACCTTGAACGCCGTATGGGGTGCTAAATTTACAGATGAGACCTGCTCGTCCATATCCAGCCCGGGTGTCGTATTCACAGAATTTCTCGTCTTTCCAGTTTTTTTTTTGTCTCCTCGACCTCGAGGCCCGATGTTTCTGCCTGTCGCTTTCAGCTAAGATGGTATCAGATGGCCACAGGGCGTTTCCTTTAGAGCATGGACCTTGAGCAACGTTGAAAGCCTTGTGCTCAGCCTTAAGTCGATAGTATCGCGACCAATGCTGTATCCATACACCACAGAGCGACGGATGTTCGTTGGTATATCGCATGGGCCGACAAAGTACACACTTATTGTGCCCCTCACATCGGTACGGCTTCTGTTCCAGGTTTGAGCCAGTTTTTCGATTTCAGCCACAATATAACAACAACAATGGCCGCAACAATTATCGCTACTATGAGAAAGATCAAGATGCCACAAATGAAAGTCCGCCTTCTTTTCTGGCGTTGGGCCTCAATCCAATGATCTCTGTGCCGTATCCCATCAAGGTCAGCCGAGTAAACTATGGAAACATACAAGGAAGTCAGACGTACGTCCAGATGGTGGGTTTCTTCGCTCCTGTTTCCGTCTTTGCTTCTTCGTCGAGGTGTATAGCGGCAGAAAAGCGTTTCCAGAACGCCGGGTCCCGGACAAGTGCCATAATCACGCTGCTCCACTAGTTACCAGACATGGGGTGCCGCAGTGCACTGGGTCCAGAATGAAACGGGTGTCTGTGCCGTATCGATTGAAGCGTCGTACGATGGCTCAGCCTGGAGCGTGGAGGCGTCAAGGATAGTGAATGTCAGAGATATCAACAAGGCTACGTTGACACAGTCAACCAAAATATAAGCGGCAATGGGTCCCTTCCGCTTACGGCTGGAGCGCCAGCGAGAGAGAGAGTGAAGTGAATAAATTTCAGATCAGTCTAATAAGTGAAGGCTTCAGAAAATGGACTAAGTTTGACCTCCCGAATGACGATAGAACGAGGGACGTCAACAGGGAGCGCAAACGCGGGTATAACAGGGATTTGAGAAAAAGCTACAAAAGATGAAATGAGGATGGAACAGGGACGATTGAAGACATTATTGCTGAACACCAGCAGCATGGGATGCTGGATTTGTTGCAACGCTACCGTAGAGCTGTTTGGATTCCACACTGCTCGGCGGGAATGACGGGCCCGGGCCAGGGTCGGCGCGGAATCTGGATCGCCAGCACGCCGCCCAATCACAACCACCGGAATCTGACAGCACCCAATAAAACGAGCATCTTCGGCCCACGGTTCGATTGATTAAGGTACGTGGTCATGCCGGTCGAATTGATCTGGTCAGGCACGAGCAACAAGCATGGCGATCAAGTATTTGAATGCCTATCAACAAACAAATCTCCCAAAATCCGACCGCGTAGCAGCCGTCTCTTCAGGCGAGACCAACGAGCCCAAAGTATGTTCCGATTTCAAAGGTTGTCCCGGTACTTTGAGAGAATGTTATCTTTTCTTCCTCGAGTCTCTCAAAACCTTGATTTTGTCCACATTCTTTCGACTGTCTGACTCGCAAATGTTCGGCAATCTGATCCGTCTCTTCAGGATCGATGCAACAGGCTTTTTGATGAAAGAACTTCAGGGCCAACGAACAGATTAACTGGCGTGGACGGATACTTAGACTTGTGCCTATTCAGTACCTCCGATTCCGTGTCTGAACTCTGGGGACCAAGAACTGCTTTGATATGCCATCGCTATCGGCCATTTTTTCGATAGTGGAGGAAGGTACACGGACGACCAAATATGAATAAATTTTTCTTGGAGCTCATGCGACTTACTCATGTGCATGCATGATTTGACTCACATAGACCATGTGTACAGAGCATACACACATATTGGCAAGCGTGGCCAGGAGAGAAAACGCCCCACCCACCATTAGCCAAGGAAAAGGCTTATCTACTGTCTATTAATAGGCTCTGCAATGGGGAACGCGGGTCGAGTAAGGGGACAAGCAGTTTCAACATTACCTTGTCTGCCCTTCGTGGGGTTGCTGTGAGAGACCAGTGGCAGGAGAGCTATGTTGATTCCATTGGCTGGGACTGGGTTATCAGAATTGAGCTTACTCACTGCGAAATTAGTTGGGCCACCTGGCCTTAGGTAGCCTAGCCCTTCTTCCTCTGGTGCCTTACTCCCCCTACGGCATAAGGCAGGCATCAGCTCGGGTCGGCGTTTCAGCAAGAATGATGCTCACTGGAGGTCTGGAAGAAACTGTATCTACTGGACCGCCCCTATGCATTCACACTCATCCTTGCTGCAGTACTAATGCATGTAATTATCGTTCGGTTTATTGCGGCTATCACGAGGAGATTCGTATACCACACCTGAGTCTAGCATAGACATTAGGATGGCCTCGACACACGATTACCTTTAACATAATCGATCATTGCTACGACTCGTCTTATCAGATCATCTGGAACTGGCAAGAGATAATTTTCCACCCTACCCTCTATCACCAAGGTGGAAGTGTGGTAATGGGCCTGGGCGTTACCTGGCCCTGGCAAAACACTGGCTCTCGGAGAGGGACTTTGTCTCTTACTCAAAAGTGTTTCCCGAGATGGCTGGCCGAGACCATCATCCGAAGATAAGCACCTGACTCCAGTGAAGCTTTGCCGACGAGCAGGTGGCGCAGAAGCAGGTCCTCTTGCTCCAAGCGGCTCAGCTGCCTGGACCTTACCCTTTGAGAAGGTATTCTTCTAATGGTATCATTGTGTGTGCGCCTTCCTTAGACATCTCAAAGATGTGGTAAGGATGGTCTCCGTGGATGTGAGACAAGAGGATATGGCCAAATCCATGCACATGCCATAGGATGTCTTCGTCAGTCCTCGGCAGTCTTCCTAGAGCAGTTTCGAAAGATAACCCGAAGCGGGACTATTGGAGGATGGAGCAGATGTCTCCGTCCATTAGCGTTTGTTGGTCAGCTCAGAAGAGGGTTGAATCATGTCATATAGTTTAGATATGGGCTTGGGTTTGGAGTCACGAGCGGTGCTGATCTAGATCATGTACCTCATCTGAGGCGATTGCATGTAGCTCTGTCGTTTGGGCTGAGCCAGCTGTATCAAGGATAGGAAATCGCCAGAAAGTTCACGGAGGCCAGCAGACCGAGCTCGTCTGGAAACTGTAGTTAAACAGCAGTAGGAGCTACTCCCCTTCTCCATGGGAAGGGAACCCCCTCCAACCCAACCATCACCAGGTGATTTCCGCGAGGGGGCAGACCGGAAGTCAGTCCTTCAAACCTTCAGGTACCCAAAAGCGGCCTCGTGCAGGGCCCCATTTGGCTTTCTGTCGCATCCAGCGCCAACATGGTCCGACGCCAATAACACGAAAGGGAGCAGACGAGGCGGATTGAGTTGGCGTGTCGACAATGCCAGCAAACAGATTTCCTTTGGGCTCCCCCGCAGTGGAGCCAGTGCTCGATGGGTGCCTGACCGCCAGGCCGAAGCCTTGCGCTTGACGGGCCACTAACCGCCTGCGATCACGGGTCTTCACTAAACCATGAAGAGGTGCAGCGGCCAACGTGCAGTTGCGGTGCTGCACCTCACCACAACTAACTAGTCTACCGCGTCCCCCCAGCCTCGTTTCTACAATCCCATCTTCTTCAACCTCCTCCTCCTCCTGCCCCCCATTGATGTCCCCGCCTCTCTCGCTGTTGTCTAATGCCTCTACAACGGGCCCCATCCTAGCCCGGCCATGTTTTCCGCCCATGATCATCAGGGCCCGAGTTATTGGGGAGTGTTGATCAATGCCGATAAGAGTCCGGCCCCGCTGCTGGAACAGCTGTGTCTGGAAATTGCTCGCATCATCGTAAGTCGGGAATGGTTGGAGCTTCCCCTGAGTTGGTGAAGACTAGGAACCCAGGCTTATCTCCAAATGTTCGCATGCGAAGACATCCTTTGACGACTACGCTACCACCGACCTCACTCCAGAACGATTGGCAGCTTTTTATCGCAAGGTGGGCGGCAACTACGACGTCCTCTTCCTCCAGACCAAACCGTCCGCGCTCTCCTTCATCTACCAGCGACTAGGATGCTTTCATAGTATTCAGCCAACCTCCGATCCCTACAAACCCCCCGCTATTCCCGCTCTGCAGCCGAACGGCTTCGTGCGATGGCAGACCATCCAGCTCCTTCTCGATCCGGACGAGCATTGTCATTACCTCCAGAATGCGGTCGAATTGTGGGACATTGAAACTCCGAACGGGGAGTTCTTTCCCAAACAAATCCCGCGGGAAGCTTTTCCAGACAGACCAGACCCGGAAATGGTAGAATGGCACGAGTCGGTCAGTCGACGCTTCGAACTCGACTACATTAAGAGAAATATCCTGCGTGCATCTCCACCGAACTTTGGAACCTACCATTCTCATTTTTCCAACAAAGACCTTCCATTCACCAAAGAAGAGTCCAGCCCCCCGGCGCGCCGTCGCTCATCAACACATCGCCCTCACCTGGTTCCCGAGGAACCCTCCCCTCCTAGTAGGCATCAGAGACGTCGCAGCGGAGAGTATCCACCGTCAGCCACCCGTCGGGTTCAGTCAACATACTTCCCCCGCGCACCAGACGTTGAGCCGCCTCGTCGAGCCCCTTCACCTCCAATGTGGGCCAAGTCTGCTCCCAAACCAAGAGGTCGCGATCGCACGCCGGCGTATTCCCGTCCCGTCAGTCCCAGTACATTGCCAGGAAATAGTGCATCCGATGCGTCATCCGAGGACTCTGGAGGTGCAGTGCGCCGCGCGTCTCCCAGCGCTAGTCGACACCATCGTCATCTGCGTCCCGATACTCCGCAACACTATTCTCACACTCGCCGCCATTCACATGAATCCTACGCCAGGAGACCCGAGCGAGCATTCTCCCCAGATGATCAGCGACGATACATGCATCGGGACATGTACAATGCCAGCTCGGCCAGGCCCTACGACTCCGATGGTCCGCGTCGAGCACGCTCATCGAGGGTATATGCTGAGGAGCCGGTCCGCCCTCCCCGGACTCCAAGGCCAACGTTCCGCGACCACGTGTTTAGCGATCCAGCAGCTGTCCCAGTCAACCATGAAGTGCCAGTATACACGCACATGCACCCTCGCTACATGGAAAGGAATGGCACCTACCCAGTCCGACCGCCTCCCCCACCCGACGTCGACATGCGCGCGGGCGATGACGGCCGACGAAATTACAGAGGGCCTCCCGTCAACGCCAACGCAGCTGGTTTCGGTACTTCAGCAACTCCGGAGCGTCCTCGCTACCCCTCAGGTGGCTATCGGCCCCAGAGATGGGCCAATCCGGTACAGCCATCGCCAGCCCGAGGAATTGCAGTAGGTATGCCGGACATGGAATATCCTCCACGAAGCCGACGGTCCACTATGTATGACCGGTGAACAACAAAATAGCCCTTTTCTACACCTCCAACAAGAATGCTTACCCCTACCCCAAACTCCATCTCTATGCACGACAGCAAAGAACGATACCTCCCTAATCAATACACATTACCCGGACTACAGTACTACGTTACAACCCTTGAAGAATGACGCCACGCACAGCAATTATTGACGATGGCGAGAACGGAGCAGGATAAGAATATACAACTGATCGGCGTTTTACTTGCTTGGGCGGTTACCCGAATGGCCAATACCCCACATCTGAAGATAATGCCACATGATACGATACGATATGATATGATGAGCTGACGGACCTGATGGCGACCAGCTATGTTACGATTAACGACGATACGAGTATTTTTTTTTTTTAGAGAGTTAGATGGAGTTCTGCTGTTCCTCACTCTTCTCTCTGTTGTTTTACTTTACTTTATTTGAATCCATGGGTCACCTTTCTCTTTTACCTAGTTAGTAAACGCTAATTACTATATCTTAAATATCAGATAATCCAAATTGCTTCCCTCTACCAAAGGGAGGTCTTAATATAACAACCCACATATGATACTGACTAAGTTGATCTAACACAAGAGCCACAGGCAGCAAATCAAGTACAAGTATCTCATACTAATAGTTATACAGCACAGTAAGCTCCAGCGACATCCATCTCACATACTGTTATGTCCATCCCCTGCCCCCCAACATATACTATCTATGCTATAAGCTACTCCGTAGTACTTAAAACGAAACAGACTGGAATGCGTTCGAATACTACTACTTATGAACTAATCCTATCTTATCACCTAATAGTACGAAGTTCTGCTACTCATCTGGCATATGACATACAAGTTATACGGCTATAGCAATAGTAGTAGTAATAGTTAGTTCTTAGCATACAGTATTATCATCGAGCCACATTGGTGGTGGTAGTAATAGTAGTAGTAGTAGTAGTAGTAGTAGTAGTAGTAGTAGTAGTAGTATTGATTTGGGAATATAGAAGTAGCGCACTGACCATCGACACATTTCTCCGGCTGGAATCACCTGATCATGGTTGTTTTTGCTGACTAAGGAGAATGCGGATGTAAGTCCTTCGGCTGGTAGGCAAATAAATATATGTGGCTGAGCATGTCGTTCACATTTTGGAGTGTAAGATGGGGAGGTGCAGGTAGGGAGGAGGGAAGGGAAGGGAAAGTGCAATTGAAATATTACTAGCCTTTAGAACATGGGTTTACAATTAAATTATCCAAATGTAGTATGATCCTTCTACTACTATATACATACTGACTTCCGCTTCCATGTGTCAGAAAGTATCTCTATACATATTCTCCATCCCGCAGACTTAGACAGTAAGATTGGCTCTCTGGAAGCTGAACCCAAAGTCTTCGAACACGGCACACTTCTCCGTAACACCTGGATTCGCCACAATCGACGGCGGCATGTCCAGAACACTCACATTTCGCTCCGCGATTTCATACTCGGGCATGTAGTATCCGCGAGGACCGAAGATCTGATAAGTCGATGCATAGGCGGGCCCACGAAGCTTCAGCATCTCCAGATCGGGGTTGGGATTGCGGGTGCGGAAGAATGAACCGAAGATGTCGTTGAGGAGACGGGAATGCAGGATGTCCCGTTTGTTGTAGTATGGGGATACATTCTTCGTCTTGCTGTTGAGAGTGCCCCAGGCAGGAAGCACATCTGCGGAGTGGCACGTGGCGTTGAAATCAGTGTTGGGGGAGCAGATGCTGGGGACATCCACGGTGGTTTGGACGTGACCGTGTCTGACTTCAACTTCCCAGAGGCGCGGGAACGCATGTCGGCCGCCATGGCGGAGGAGATATGCCTGAGGACAGCTCCACTCGCTGTGGGTGAGCGCGTCCGCAACAGTATTCCGGACACTGTCAGAGTCCGAGGCGTTCAGAGGAAAGGCGTCGGTGGCGATGAGGGACTTGATGAGTGACGTGGGATAGGCATAGCTGTAGACGAGCTCAAGAGCAGCTTCGCTTGCCCCAAGGTTCGGGACATACTGATCAACGTAGAGAGCAGCCTCGGTAGTGACTGTTGTGAACATGGTTGGAACGCGGTTGGGTAGCCTGTCCGAAGCAAGAAGACGGTAGAACTGGTCGTCAATGACGCCACTGCCGATGTCATCTACTATGGGCATCAGGGGCTCGATCGATGCGAGGATCTCAGATGAATGCAGCCAATCGCTGGCGATGGTCTCGGTGGAGGCTGTCATGGCAGCTTCGAACTCAGTAGTGTTGTCCAGGTACCGGGTTGCCGGAACTGATCTCAGGCAGGAGATGAGGGCGGTTTCCGATGTGGTGCCGTTGCAGCCAACAGCCCCCGCGACGTTGGGAGTAACAATCTTGGTATAAACTTCACGTGCGAACCAGGGAAGGTCTACGGGGGCGGACTGCACAATGGCACCAGAGAATAGGCCGTGGGCTGCAGTCGAAGAGAGCAACGCAATCACGCTCTGACCTCCGGCGGATTGACCAAAGATTGTGACATGGTTTGGATCTCCACCAAATGCTTCGATATACTTGTTGACCCATTTCAATGCAAGTATCTGGTCGCGTGTACCATAGTTGCCGGTGGTGAGGTTGCCCGTGGTCAGCCACCCTAGAGCACCGACTCGGTAGTTGACTGTTACAACAACAACGTCGTTACGGCTGGCGAAATTCCCTCCATCGTAATCAACCATGGACGCCGTTCCACTGGTGAACGCACCACCGTAGAAGTATACCGCGACAGGCTTGCGGGTGGAGTTCCTGTCATGTGAAGAGGGCAGGACAGGAGAATAGACGTTCAGGTATAGACAGTCCTCCGAGATACCCCCATTGTCGAGTGTTCCAAAGCCCGAAACCGATTGAATGCATGAGTCCGCCATTTTAGTCGCGTCAATTTTCTTGGGACCTGAGTAGGGGCGCGGGGGTGCGAATCGCAAATCCCTTACAGGCGGGTCTGCGAAGGGAATGCCTAGGAACCGAAACGAGCGCCCATCACGATAGCCAGTCATACGGTAATCATCGAATGAGATAGAGATCTTGGACTTGTTCACGGCTTCCCTGTCCTTGTCGGTAGTGGGAGGGACGCTGGAGGTGCAAAGGGCAGGGAGTTGTCGATCACATGGAGCGGGAATGACTTGCTTACGGCTGTGAGAGTATGCCTGGCAGCCATTCGGTGAGCCCTTGGCTATCCAAAAGGAGCTATTTGCCGCCACATCTTTCGCGTAAACCAGATAGTCGAGCTGGTACCCTATCTCTGTGGCGTTGGCTTGTGATACATCCTGCAGCGGATAGAGGGCTTCGCCAATGGATGCACACCTAGATTCTGCGCTGAGGTATGGCAGTCGATCGTAGACCAAGACTGCGGCGGTGCCGTTGTTTCCTGGGCCCAAGTTGTTATACTTCAGAGCTTGGAGGGTACCCAGAGAATCAATGCTGGGGTGGGATCTTGCATCTGCTGGCGGAGCTGGGGCTGCCGAAGCAGAGCCAAAGAGAAGCAAAGAGCCCACGATGAATTGAAGCTGCATTGTCACAGACTTTGGCTACCCAGTGCACGCAAGAACAACCCACCGGGGAAGGCAGCAGCCCTTTTTAAAACCTTCATGGCTGCCAAGAGAGGTGGCCGAGAAATTTGGCCTTGGGGCTATTAGTTATTCGGCATGGCCGGAAGAACAATCCTTTCAGTCGAACGACAGAAACTGCCATAGATGGAGCATATACAGCCCAAATCGGTACTGGCGGAAGCTGGGGTGCATTGTTTTATCGCCAGAACTGCGGAAACTGGGGCATCGGTTGTTCCTGAGAGAAGATTCCATTTATCTAGCCGAGGCAGCCAATATGAATGGCTGTCTCGGCAAACAACCACCGGAACTTGCTTCCTTGGCACGCGACTGCCAACGGTTGATGCCAACGGTTGATCAACGATGATGACTGGAAGGTGTGGAGGCAGTGGAAAATCAAGGATAGCATGAGACTAAAGGAAATAGAAGAACGAAGAAGCTTCCTCAGTGGAGCAACCAGTCAGGCCACCGACTTTCGCCTTTACACTCTTACAAATCCGGCTTAGTGCTCCCTGAACGCTCTAGCCCTATGTTCTGGTGTGCAGCTGATATCAACGACCTGGATGCGTGGTTGAAATGATGTGCCACCCATTCACCAAGTTAACGATCATAGTTTAGCATCATAAATATCATAGCTCTTCGGTGCTTATCGAAACATGACCTTGTAAAATGCACAATGGTGGTGGAATTGTTGTAAGATCTCCTAGGCCGGTATTTCTCCTTCGCGTTGTATGGTAGCGGCGCTCCAAAAACTGGCACTGGTACTTGCAGCGCAAAACACTCGAAATTATCGATGGGTCGCTCGGATAGGGCGCTTTGGTGGGCTTTGGTTGGCTTAGATCTCTAGTCAAATCACGTTTGTTAGCTCGTCAGGTTCATGTGTAAGCAAGCCGAGGCTATGAAAAACCTTCACTTTGTGCTGCCATCCGTACGTCAAGGGTGTTTTCATAACATACTGGTTCATTTTTAGCGATCGCGCGGACTCTTTCGAACAATACTGCTTTGGCAAAGGCTTCCAGGCGACAGGAAGCCGAAACGATTTGCGAGTGTGAAGCGAACTAGAGAAGGAGAATAGTGTTAGTAGATTAGGTGATTTTGCCGCTGACAAACAAGAATTGTAGGGATACTGGCAGCCGTCTCCATCTTTGATAGGAGGAGCTTTCTCTTAATCCACCACTCAGACTAGTGTAACCGTCTGTGTGACATATGAGCCGCAGTAATAGCCTCGAGAGGAGCGAGCCTGGATTTCATGAAATTAGCGGAATCATCTGGAGAGGAAGTTCTCATATGATAAATGTAAGGTGCGAGTGCAGTTGGTTAGATGGATGAAGAAGTAGGTAAAGAGACGAGAGTAATAGGTATTCCACATCCACAAGCCAGATTCAAGACAGGTACGGAACAAGGGAGCTCTAACTTCTTCGTCGAGGAAAACAGGTACAGATTTATACTTACAGTAAAATAAGTGTTTTCATTAGAACTGATAGAGACGAGGTAGGCTTGTTGCTTAGACAGCCCAGGTGCAGAGGCAGAAAGCGGACAATATTAGGCTTCAGTATACAAGAAAGGGTTATCGACAAGAAGGTAGCGCTCTGGATTCACCTCACTGACTGAAAAGCTTGATGGGGGTAGTGACTTACGGAAAGAACTAGTAAGAATCGGTGGGCCGGAGGACCAACTGGTGTGCGGAGGTGGACTGTATGTAGATTTAGAACGGTCATACTTTCAGCAAAGTAGGAACAAAATACAAAATATGGGAGATAGAGGGATGAAATATGAATAGCATCAAGAAAAGGCAAGGAACAGTATAGTATGGTAAGAGCCTCATGGGGTGCGGATGCGGGAAGACATGATATAGACCTGGAGGGAAGGACCCGAATAGCTTCACCACCAGCAGCATCCCACCGACACCCACCAAATCACGCCCCCAAGGAAAGCCCAGCCTCCAGACTCAACACTCGGGCAAATGGGCCAGCTAGAATCACCTGATTCAGAAAAGTAAAAAAAGGGAGAGACAGGCAAGTTCTGGAAAATAATGAGTAACCAAACCCAGGGTAACCGAGTGGCTTAAAGGCAGGCTCGTGATTCTGTCCCCTTAGCCGTGTAGACCAGGGACACTCGGGAGTCCTGGGTACGATTCCGGTCATAATCGAGCGGCCCTTGACACTAAGCTCAAGAACGCGCCCTCGTTGACTGGAAATCGTCTGCAAAAACCCACTAAGCGGTTTTCGTAGCCTCCTATGGGTTGGCACCCCATGGTTGAGGTGAGCTTTTTGTTTTTCTAATTAAATAGATATGTCTCCTACTTTGTTGCGCTGCTAGAGATGTTTGGAGAAAAGAATCCTGGAAATTCTGGGAAGAGGGTATAACAGAGCATGTGTGGATGATTCGAAGGTTGGTACCTGCTGCAGGCAGAACTTTTGCACTTTCCCGTATGGGGTCGTATTCTACTACATCTCCCGCCTATGTTTAGATGCTTTTAGTTACTTCTTGACAAAATCGAACATACATTCATTTTTGCTGCTTTATTTGATGATTAGTCCTGTTTCCGCTTTTGCGTAAAACTAGAATAGCGTCATCAGCAGTCCGCTGTATCAGGCAGTACCTATTTAGCGGCTCTTGGAATAAATTGTCAAAGATAGATAAATTTATATATGCAAGGTATGTCGGTGAGGCGTATCTTAGATTGTATAGTAGATGTAGAATTCGATGTCCCAGGCCCATCCCAACCGCCCAACCGAAGCCTGGTTCTCTATTAAGTTATGCAAAGGGTGCAGCCTGTCAACTCTCCTCCAAATATTAACCCATAGTTTAACAGCAACTTACAACCCGGACCCCCCTTCCTCCTATTTCTGATGAACCAGGCCCGTCCATGTCACCCTACCAGGGACTATGTCACTGAGGACCCTGTAGGTGTTAGCTATACATACAAGCAAGGAATCATGACTCGGAACATTCACTGTATATCAGGTGCTCAAACTATTGTCCCAATTCCGTCCCTGGACCAAACAAAGCTTGTATAATTTTCACATGCCGTGCCGCTTTAGTAGAAGTGCTAGTGACAGGTGTTATATCAGAAGTAAAAAGAAGACTAGTATAGCAGAAATTGGCCTCGGACATATCTGCAGTAATGAAACGATGTTTGGGGTTACTGCCACTTACTAAATACACTGTATCTTCCGTTCGGAGCCCTTACACTCGACGACGGCCTTTATATCTTGCATGTGCTGATTCCCAAGCTGCCCGTCTGTTATTATAGCAAGGCCCTTCGTAAGCTCCCAATCGTATCTCATCGGTCTCTTGAAAGTTCCCCACCAGCAGTTTGTTCCGGGAATCGTGGAGGTCAGAGCATTGAGCAGCTCAACAAAAGCAGGGTTCACTGTGTCTTCGTCGGTTCACATTTTCTATTTATGATCCTGATGCCATCCCTTGTGGATCTCTGACTGCAATATCAATACTGATCCGAATGATCTCAATTCTGGATTATTCCAGTCGTCATTCCTCAACCTTTCAATATATAATTGATATGTTGGTCTTTCAACGAAAAGATTTTGTGACTGAGTGATAAGAGTCGTAGAAATAGCAGAACGTAAGGAACTTAGATTCTCTGGCTCCTTGCAGTCGAGTAGCAGGACACTCTAACTATAAAGGGAACTACTCTTTGTTTACTTTGGATCCCGAGTGCAGATAAGGCCGGGTGAATAATGTTTTGCCGATGACATTGTATGCGTTAGTCGCTGCTGTCCTCTCCGCTCTGGTTTGGGGTATGCGAAATGCATGGTATTGACAACCAGAGAAAAACAATAATATGAAGGCAGGCTGACTGTTTAATGGAAGAATATTGCCAAGCGATTGACTGTGGAAAAGAATGAAAAGGGCATGAAAAATAGATTGTTCCGTAATAGATTGTTTTTGCTACACAGTAAACGCAGACACTGCATAAGGAAAAACGCATGGGGGATAGTGCGGTGAAGGACATGACCGTACTCATCTCCGGGTCTCCAAAGGACGGACGGCTCAGAGAAAGGCGAAGAATTAAATTAATTGGCGCGCTTTCTCATGATGAGTTTTCCTGGACCATACATGTAGGAAAGATCTTTGCGTGTTGAGAAAAAGACACAAGCGAGAAGAAGTACAGGAAGTACTCTTCATTTTTGACTAGTTATATAAAATCAAGAGAATTGAATAAAAATAATAGAAATAGTATATTTGTAATCTAGAGAGCTGGCTCGATTCTATATAGTATAATAATATAGATTGAGTATGGTTAGGATAGTTACCATTACCATGATTATCCCTAATAGAAGGAGATGGGAAAAGAACAAGCGGCTTGGTTGAATACGTAGGATCACAAGGAAAAATAGGGTCAACCTCAAGATATAGATGGATTGATGTCCTAAAGCTCAGATGCGCGTAGTACTTGACAATTGAACAAGTCAGACTATTAAGATCCTGAATGTCGGGGCTTTTCGTAGTGGTGTTAGAATATACCTGTAAAGTTCACTCTATCTTTGATCATTATCATGAAGTCTGTCGCTCTCTGTTCACTGACCAAGAAACACTCGACCCTCGTTCTCATAGAGTCTAGCCATGCAAAGCTCCCTTCCCGGTCCCGCCAGTCTGCCGTCGGGTCGCAACAGCCTTTCCTCGCTCTTATACAAAAACAGCAAGGGCAGTGTATCATTCCTCCAAGCAGGCGCTCGCGCGCGCTGGGTCTTCCAGAGTGTGCCACCCACGAGCGTCGCCCCTGCGACCCAAACGACCAACGGCAGAACTACCCACTGCCAATGCACGGCGATATAAACCGCGGGCATCATCGCGTTGCCCACGGCCCAGCCCGAGGTCGACCGGGGGTCAGCGATGTACGCCGAGTCGCGTAGGGTCTTGGTCATCGCCGCGGCCACATTGCCCATAGCACAGGGGAGTCGGTCGGCGAGGAGATCGCTGCACCCGGTGATATTGCCCCACCCCAGCGCCTCGAGGGTATCGGACGCAGCATAGTTATTGAATGTGGGGGTAAACACTGTGTGTAGGACGCTGCGGCTCGACTGGCCGGAAAAGATGGCTTGAAAAAATGTCTCTATTGTTTTGCCGGCGTTAAAACCGAGCACATAGGACTGGGCGCTGTTGTTCTGCGGGCTGCTTTGGTTCACAGGGACGCCGTAGTCGGCCACCCAAGTGCCCGGAGGCGTAAGCGTATTTCCAGCAGTGACGTTGGCATTGTCGACAGTGACAAAGTTGCTCTGCGTCCAGATGGCAAGTGTCTCCTCACTGTAGGTGTTTTGATGGACGGCTGGGCGGAAGCTACGCACGATAGGATCCAGAAGACATTCGGTCGCCTCCCACAGAGTCCCATTCGGGAGGAGCCCGCCCTCGAAGAGGCTAACATTCGCGTGCTGTGGAGCTATATACTGAATCACGATCAGGCTGGCATTTGTATAAACCTCCGCGTCGGTGGGCGGCACTCCGGCAACCGAGAACGGGGTCATCACGGGGGAATTTGGGAGATACCAGGCGGAGGTGTTGGATTTGGGAAGGGTAAACGTGCAGTTTGTCTGACCGGCGTAGGATGAGTTAGCGGGAAACGTCGTGCAGTTGGGTATCAAAACGCTGGTGACGTTGGTGCAAAGAGTCCGGAATTCCAGGGATGCCACGGGTTCATCCCAGGTACAGTTACTGGACGTGCAGACAAACTTTGGGATTTCCCAAGGTCGGCTTTGATCGTTATTGAAAAGCGAATTGTAAACATTTCCCTTTAGTGCAGGGTCAACCTCAAAGACTTATGGGTTCGCTTTCTGTTAGTCTTGACTGCGTGTCTGGACTGGGGTTTGGCGTAAACATACAACTAGTCGCCATATCGGACCCGATAGTATTGTATATCGAGACAGTTCCGATCCGTGCCTTCCCTGATGGATCTGCTACCATTTTAACGTAGTTGTGTATGAGGTTCTGCGAGAATGGGTCAAATGCCAAGGCTAAAATCATAACAACAGCACCTAACCCTGCGAAATGTTGGGCACGTTGGTGCCAAACTAGTCTTAAACTCCCCCAAGCTCCCCGACTGGCCGAATCGAACAATCGCAGGTGAAGTAGTGGTCTCTTTTGTTGACTAAACCACACCCACTTCAATTGTCCCAATGACTCACCCACGGAGAATATAAGACTCGCTTTGGAGAGAGTACTGAGGGTAGAGATGACCGCGTTCAACGAGATATGCGGCCAGCTCGGTTGGGGCTGGTGATCGTAAACACTCAGAAGGGCCAGCATCGTAGCAAGTAGACCGGCTGAGACGACGACCCCAGCCAATTCAAAGGTAAACCGGTCTGAAGCATCTTTTGGCTCTGGTGCGCTGACATTGGACTCCGGAGGTTTGTCCTCAGCTGAGCCTCGCATGATCGCCGTATCCGAAGTTGATCCAGAGCACGATGCTTCATCCCTGCTGGAAGAGTTTGAAGACTGTGAAATGTTGCCTGGCATCGTCTCTTCGTGGTCGTCGAGCTCTCCGGTCTCCTCCCTGATTACGGCAGATGAGGACATCGCCTGTTCAGTCTCGTGTGGCTCAAGCTCATTGTTTAGCGGCTCATAGGCTGGCAACCGCCACCCATCAAGCCCGCTTGGTGCCATCGTTGAGTATCAGTACAGAAGGAAGATGATGGGAGTTGAATAGGTTGGGAGTTTAAAGAAGGTTATCGCGGGGGTTCAAGAGAGGAAGACAAACGAGGCTGACGGTGGGAAAGCAGCTGGCGTATGCACACTGCTGCACATATAAGCACTAAGATCCCTGTCCACACCATGCCGCCCAGGCGCCGTCTTCTCAGTTTGCTATTTCTACCTAATGAGGCTGAAACTTACGTGCACAGCCCACACACAGATAATTCCTAAGTAAGCTATTCAAGGGACATTGCTTGTAACTACCGGTCCAGACTGTTCGATTCAAGCGCACGGCTCGCACCGCAAAAACCCCATTCTCTAAGGAAGCCATTTGGTTGACACTGTCAGTTTTGAATTTGCATAGTCAGCCTCGAGTATGTCGACAATCACCCCCAAAGAAGGCAGCAATGCATCTCGTCTCGACTAGGTTCCTTTTCGATCGTAAAGATACGTGTAGCAATCTCTATCCATATCAAATCCTGCGATCTGCTTGGAATTAAGGTGAGAGCAATAGCTAGGTAGGAAAAAAAAGGCAGAGCCTTCATTATTGGATGAAGTGGGCGATCAGCGCAGTTATCCAAAGGTGCAGGACTGGCAAGTACGCCCCAAGACAGTGTATATATCTCAGTAAAGATAAAGCTCTCAGCTTAATCGCTTTGACATGGAGTCTATGTCAGTATAGGAATGAGTGCCGACTCTAATGTTGGCTGCTCTTGAGCAGGATGTTTAGAAGGGATGGACTTGCTCGAAGACTCGGTGGCCAGGCTGCGATCTACAAGAGACATCTACCATAGTCAAATTTATTTTAAGTAGAATGTGCTCGGACACGAATGCCAATGGTTGTCTATCACTAGAGATCTTGTTAACTCATACTCTTTCTTCATGCTAAGTTTTGGAAGATTCTGGGTTAGCAGAAAGTAGTAATACAGTTGCAGTTTGTTAATAGTAAAACCTTTGGCATTTTATTGTGCTTCAAATGCGAAACCCAATCAATCGAATGTTGAGTTTCCCTCCGTGGACGGCAGCATTGGGATTGTGGAACCTTTTGATGTCGCAACTAAGCGACCACTGTTGTGAAATTCTCGGTTCGCGGTCAGCCGCATATAAACTTGCAGCCCTCTCTACCGATTTGTCGTTCGCTGTCAATGCGGTTAATACGGCCATACCTACATCAAAGCCCGATGTTATTTACCGTTAGACCTTTTCTCTAAGGCAGTCTCGCAATCAAATGGATTAAAATATTTTTTATTTTTCTAATATCAATTAATTCCTGCTGGATTAATACTGAAATATCTCTAAGAATCTTTACTTAGTTATTATGATGCTTAGATATGATACTTTCTCATTATTTTGCTGTGAATAGCTGTCACTTTACTGTCTTTATGATAATAACAGGTATGTTTATTGGCGCTTTCTGTGACCTGGCTTCTTTTTTATTAATCTTATCTGGCAGAGAAGAAAAGAATTCAGCTATTAGTTCTTCTGCTTGTTCTTTATAATTAATGATAATAGTTCCCTATGCTCTAATGAGCGGCGGTATCTTCCCGAATATTGCATCCTTTCTAGGTTTCAGATACTTGGCGGCCTTTTATATATTATTATTATCTACAAGGGATTCCTTCTATTACTCTTTCTTATATTACCGAATAGGATCATGATCTGACTTCACCACACTTTCCGCTGTCTCTCCCAAGTATGCTATGTTGGGACACGTATTTCTCAGTCGCCTCGCTAGCCAAATGCGCTTCATTATTCTTGGTCTAGCAGTTAGTGCTTTGACAAACAACCTCTTAATCAGATAAAGAGCTAACTATAAATACTATAGATTTATATAGGAAAAGATACGGATATTCTTCTTTGCCTTCACCATCATTCTCCATAAGATCTCACTTCTCTACCTATCTCTGAATTCACCTTGCGTTGATTGGCGCGGCCTCGCGTAGCAAAAACTAATATACTGAATCCAAAGAAGAGTATGGAGCCTTCTCGAGCTTTTTTTGTATCAATGAGATGAAGAGCGAGGTGAGGATAGGCTTGTCCATCAACTGGTCTTGGTTCTGGCTCTAAAGCTCTAGGAACATACCACCAATCACGTCCCTTGCCGTAAGGACATGCGAGATCCTCTTCCAAGGGAAAGGTACTATCGGGGGTTTATAATATCAAATGTTAGCAGAGAAGGTATATCTGCCATGTAGTAAGATTGTTTCCAAGGAAATTACCCAACAAACTCAAGCGGTCGATGAAGCATTGCTTTACGAGTCGCATGGACATGGAAAAGGCTAGATATCTGACTACAACCGGTCTTGGGAGACACTTTGCCGATAAACTGATCAATGTTCGCAAAGAGACATTTCGTAGGATAGGACTTCTGTAACTGACTTGACTCCATGGGACGGAGAAGGATGGGACGGAAAAGGACTGGTGGGGAGATTGTAGAATTATAAGGCTTGGGATCATTCAAGTGCTCAAAGTCAAACCGAACCACATGTTCAACAGACTTAAGATTGTGCATATCCATATGACCATCGACAGGAACACACTTCCCATACTCCGTGTCTCTGCCAAACAGATTGTCGAGACCACGGCGGACCCTCGAGGCAGTTGACAGCATCGACAATGGTCTTTGAGGCATTGCGTATGTCTTGTGTTGGTGCGCACTTTATCTGGCCTAGGTATCCTAGAGCATTTAAATCCCTAGATCATGCATTTTTGAGGGGCAATTTAATGTTTTCTTGCCTGTACGATGTGCCTGTGAGCGATGATATCAAGTGAACGGCTTTTTGTATAAGACAATGATGGGAGTATTCTCCAGGTGGGCACCTCGGTGCGTCTCATTTAAGAATCAGCATCGAGAATTTGCCATCCATGCTGTTTTACTCATGAAATCACTATAGTTAGTTCCATTAGTGAAGTGAAGAGTTTGTTAAGCACCTCCCGCTTGACAGAGGCAGTAGTGGGCATGAATTTGTAGTAGCAGACAGTATTCCCTGTGTAAAGATAAACAGCAGTAAGTAGTTGAGAGAACCTCTCCATGCTAGAGGGATCTAAGGTAATCCTCGTAGTTGAGCAAACACATAGATTATGTCAAGGTAAACCCTTCATTGGAAAGACAATAAAAAGGAAAGGAATACCCCTGGTGGTTTCCTGTCTATGGGATCCAGATACTGTCATCTGAGTCACTTCCCCACTAGCTCAAGGACAGTGCCCACCCCGGTCTTCACCCTCAGGGAAAAGATATATGGAACAATTAAAGAAAAGACGATTAAATCAGAACTATGATCAGTGACTTCAGCCAAACGACAGGAAGCTATCAGATCGGTCATCTCGACAAGATTCATACATTGTTTTCAAGAAACGGGAAGTGAAAAGTATTAAGGAGAGGCTAATGAGCAGACAGAAATTTATGTAAATTGTCTTTCTACACTGGGTGATTTCTCCGCCTATAAATTTATTGCTACAAACCCAATTTATGAAATCTATCACATACTCAACAGGTCAATCCTTCCTGAAATCAATATAACCAGCGAACATGGGCGACAAGACCAGATGAATCGGGGACTCGGGACAATGATACCCCGCAAGAACATGGACCAATCATCGTTTCAGGAAGAGCAGACGATCTTTACTCCGTAATTAACTAATCCCCAATTCCTTTCATCTGCCTCAAACGCACGATATGCAATCTAAGCAACTAGTTTGGACAAAAGTCAACAATAATCAGCTAGCTAGTTGTCTAGTCGGTCAGTCAATCCAACAGCAGCAAAAATGTCACGGTCATCCATCAACCCTGACGACATCAATCTGCTAGCGCAATTCCTGGCCCACGAACAAATCCCAGCATCATCCCACCCCCCAATCAACACCGACTGCATCGTGATATGCGTTTCGGCAGTGCTTTATCCCGCAACGACCGTTTTCAAACACCTAGAGCGCAATCCCCAACTAACTAAAACACTGGTGCTATGCGGTGGAATCGGCCATTCCACGCCTTATCTCTACGAGGCCGTATCCAAGCACCCAGACTACGCACACCTCATCCCAGAAATCACAGGCAAGCCAGAATCTCACGTCCTGCATACTATCTTCACCCGGTGCTTTGATGCCACCTTCATCCAGAAATCCGGCTGCACGGTTCTACTAGAAGATAAGTCCACGAATTGCGGCCAGAATGCCACAGAAACACGGGCATTATTAGCAAGGAATGGTATTCCGGAACCTAAATCTATGATTGTTGTTCAGGATCCTACCATGGCTCGGCGGACGGTTGCCTCATTTGAAAAGGCGTATGCGCCGAGGCCCCCAAACTTGCTCAGCTGGCCGATTATAGTGCCCCGAGTTAAGATGGAGGGGGGTGAGTTGGTGTATGATTATGATGATGTTGATGAGAGTATGCCAGGGGTGACCGGGGGTTTGTGGAGTATGTCACGCTTCTTGGGTCTGGTTCTGGGTGAGATCCCACGGTTGAGGGATGATGAGCATGGGTATGGGCCCATGGGTAAGGGGTTTATTGGTCATGTTGATATTCCTGAGGAGGTTGAGTGCGCGTTTTCTAGAGTCCAAGGGGGGTTAGGAGAGAATTTGGTGAAGAGATAGATAGATCTTTTCCAGGTCGTGTTGTGGCTGTGGTTTTACTATGGGGAATCTCGCGATCGGAACTGCCGAGATATCCACTAGAGACCCATAATCATGATACCGTGCCGTGTGTATCTAACATGTACTGACATAGAATTTGTATTGATTGTATGCGGTTAGCTGCGTATCAATCTGTATATAACGGTACCATTCAAGTAATGTATGATACCATACGTAAGCAGACACGGCATCTCCCATCCGATACACTTTCTTGTCTCTGTTACATCTTCCACCGAACACAAGCTTCAATGTCTGCAGGTACGTAAGCTTGAATGCGAATTTCGTGGCCCCTTATCGACTGATGAGTGCACGTTCCAGCAATCATGAGACTCGCCAACGGTAGACCCTGACTCGTGGATTGCCAAGCGGCCCTGTCGAACCGCTAAAGGGACTTAGTTCTTGACTCTTCGTCAGCTCAGACATGATCATCGCTGCAATATCCCCTTCGAAATAGCCGAGCTCTCGTCAGCGTCGTCTCAAAGCCGGCGGGGTTCCTGCTCCTGACTCGATTTCTCCGTGAATAAGGAATTGCTCTGGAGGGCCTGAGCCAAAGCTTGACCTCTGATTCACGAGAAGAGAATGATCGGCATCGGCCCAGGAACGGGAAACCACCGGGACGAAACAATGACTCCAGAATTAATATCGAAGAAAGCTGCCGTCTCTCATCGTCGTGTTAATCCTTGCAGCCACCTCATATGAGCTGGGGTTATAGGGGCGGCCATGGATTCTCCGGTGGGAGGAGCTGCCCACGAGGTATTTGGCATACTCGATGTCTATATAAGGCCGGCGACAATAGTTGCGTTCCGTTGAGACCAAGCAGAGAGACACTTGCAAAGTAGCTTCTCACCATGCCTGCTCTTCCCATCCTCGCCCTTGCCCTCGCCCCGTTGCTGGTCAACGGCCAGCTCTCCGGTAGCGTCGGTCCGCTCACTTCGGCACACTCCAAGGCTGCGACCAAGACGTGTAACGTGCTGGACTATGGTGCTGTGGCGGACAACTCCACCGACATTGGGTCCGCCCTCTCAGAAGCCTGGGATGCGTGCTCGGATGGAGGTCTGATCTATATTCCTCCTGGTGATTATGCGATGGATACCTGGGTGTCTCTGTCGGGAGGCAAGGCGACCGCCATCATATTAGACGGCACTATCTACCGCACTGGCACCGACGGAGGTAATATGATTCTAGTGGAGAATTCTTCCGACTTTGAGTTGTACAGCAACTCGTCCTCTGGTGCCGTCCAGGGATTTGGATATGTGTACCACCGGGAGGGTGATCTTGATGGGCCACGGATTTTGCGACTCCAGGACGTGAGCAATTTCGCGGTTCATGATATTATCCTGGTGGACGCGCCGGCTTTCCACTTCGTCATGGACGACTGCTCCGATGGGGAGGTGTACAACATGGCCATTCGCGGTGGTAACTCCGGCGGCTTGGATGGGATTGATGTGTGGGGTAGCAACATCTGGGTCCACGATGTATGTCCCACGTTATGTCACAATAAAAAGCGCTCGGTGCTGACCCATGTATCCAGGTCGAGGTGACCAACAAGGATGAATGTGTCACGGTCAAGGTAAGGGCCATCTGGTATGATCACCCCTAGCTCGTGTACTGACAATCCGCAGAGCCCTGCCAACAACATCCTTGTGGAAAGTATCTACTGCAACTGGAGTGGAGGTTGTGCGATGGGATCTCTCGGCGCGGACACCGATATCACTGATATTCTGTACCGCAACGTTTACACCTGGAGTTCCAACCAGATGTACATGATCAAGAGCAACGGCGGCAGTGGGACAGTCAATAACACCGTTCTGGAGAACTTCATTGGTATGTTTGACCCACTCGAACGAGGTATATACAGCCTCTGACTAATGTGGTTGCAGGACACGGCAACGCTTATTCTCTGGACGTTGACAGCTACTGGAGCAGCATGACAGCCGTGGATGGCGACGGTGTGCAACTGAGCAACATCACGTTCAAGAACTGGAAGGGAACGGAGGCGGATGGCGCCGAACGCGGGCCCATCAAGGTGGTATGCTCAGACACGGCCCCTTGCACCGACATCACCATCGAGGATTTTGCCATGTGGACCGAAAGCGGCGATGAGCAGACCTACACCTGCGAGTCGGCGTATGGCGATGGATTCTGCCTCGAAGACAGCGATTCCACCACCTCGTACACGACCACCCAGACTGTCACCACGGCGCCCTCGGGATATTCGGCAACCACGATGGCAGCGGATCTCACCACGGACTTTGGCACGACCGCGTCCATCCCCATCCCTACCATCCCGACTTCCTTCTATCCCGGCTTGACGGCGATCAGTCCGTTGGCATCGGCTGCCACCACGGCATGAAATCGAGTATGATTCAGTCCGTGCCCATGTTTGACAAAGTATCCAAATAGGTGCTGGACTGGTTCGTACCGTTTGTAGATAGTTAATTAGTAAGTAAATGAATAATTAGTAACATTTAACTGGCGGTGTATACCTTTTCAGATGTTTTCATTTCTTTTGCTTCAAGATCTGCATCCCAGAGACTGGAAGAATGCGCAACTTATGCATATAAATGTGTGATTGGCTGGTGCTGAAAAGAAATGAGACCATCGGCCCTGCAGATCCCGCCATCTTATTAAGGTTTCTTCCGTGAGTTTTTCTTTGATGCTCATCTCATCCTCGTGTCTTGTGTAATCATCCATCATTAATCACCGAACATCTTCCTCCGCATCCGGATGTCTTGTTTCTTGTCGCTCTTCTCCCTCCCCATTTCCCCATTCACTCCTCCTTAACTTTCTTTCACTCTCACAAAATGACATCTGTTTGGCAGCCTCAGTGAACGAGATTGTGCTCCCGATCGCAGGTTGAGATGCGACCAGACAATTGCCGCCGATAAGCTTCGCAATTCTTCTGTCTCAACCCCGCAATTCCAAACCGACCGAACCAACACTGAGGATTTTATTCTTTAAGCTGTCATCCTCCATCACCGTGATCATGACGGGCGCATCCAAACCAGATGAGTCAGAGCCGGTATTATCGACGCTGGAAGGGGCATCGAACCCGCCGACGCCCAATGCTGCTGCTGCTGCCTATCGCTACAAGGCCGATCTGCTCAACCGCGCCATCCAAGACATCGGGATGGGCAGGTATCAGTGGCAGCTATTCGGCGTCATTGGATTCGGCTGGGCCAGCGACAATCTTTGGCCCATCGTCACCTCCCTCATTCTCGTCCCGGTGTCCTATGAATTCCACGTCGCCCAGCCACCGTTATTGTCCCTGGCCCAAAACATCGGGCTGCTGGCCGGTTCGCTCTTCTGGGGCTTCACCTGCGATCTGTTCGGTCGGCGATGGGCTTTCAACCTGACCATTGCCATCACCGCCATTTTCGGTCTGGTCGCTGCTGGCTCACCGTCTTTCGCAGCCGTAGGCGTCTTCGCCGCATTATGGTCCTTCGGCGTTGGCGGCAACCTGCCCGTCGACTCGGCCATCTTCCTCGAGTTTCTCCCCGGATCGCACCAGTACCTGCTCACGGTGCTGTCGATCAACTGGGCGCTCGCGCAGCTCCTCGCCAACCTGGTCGCATGGCCTCTGATCGGAGAAATGACCTGCGCCTCCGCCGACCACTGCACCAAGGCCTCCAACATGGGTTGGCGGTATTTCCTCATCGTGATGGGTGGCCTCGCTCTCTTCATGTGTCTAGCCCGATGTCTATTTTTCACTCTTTACGAGTCCCCCAAGTACCTCATGGGCAAAGGCCGTCACGAAGAATCCGTCGCCGTAGTGCATGAAGTCGCGCGACGCAACGGCACCAGCTCCTCTCTATCCATAGACGACCTCCAAGACGACGGGCCTATCTCCAGCAGCACCGAAACAACAACCACTCCCACCCGCACATCACCCAACAACGAAGCCCTCAGCGCCCTCGACCATCTCCGCATGCGCCTCGAACCACTCTCTGCCCCCTACGTGCGCGCCTTATTCCGTACCCCCCGCCGCGCCTGGTCCACGACCCTCATGATCCTCATCTGGGCCCTTGTCGGTCTCGGCTTCCCCCTGTACAACAACTTTCTCCCCTACCTACAGCAAATGCGCGGGATCCAATTTGGTGACGGTTCCACGTACATCACGTACCGCAACTCGCTCATCATCGCCGCAGTCGGCGTCCCCGGCAGCTTGGTCGGCGGAGTGATGGTCGAGATGCCTCGGTTAGGACGCAAGGGCACGCTCTGCCTCGCCACACTCTCCACGGGCGCATTCTTGCTCGCGTCCACGACGGCGAGTACCTCCGGTGGTCTACTAGGGTGGAACTGCGCCTACAGTTTCACTAGTAGTTTGCTGTATGCAGTGCTGTATGCATACACGCCGGAGATCTTTGAGACGCAGTACCGCGGCACCGGGAATGCGTTGGTCGCGGGTGCGAATCGGATTGGGGGTATCTTGGCGCCGATTATTGCTTTGGTGTCGAATATGGAGACGGCGGTGCCGGTGTATATTAGTGGGGGGATGTTTGTGGTGGCGGGGTTGTTGGTCGTGTTGGTGCCGTATGAGACGAGGGGGAGGATGAGTTTATAGTTGTTGTTGTGGATGTAGATGGGGTACAAAGTGTAAGTACCAGGATTAATTGGTAGGGATTGTACGCTGTGCTTGTATGACATGGCAGGCATATTGTAAGAGTACATAAGGGGGGCGGGGTCACTACATTAAATGATGATGACATGCTGGATATGATATGATATGATAGACATTAATCTCTAACAGGCATGAACCGGTGGCCGATGGTGTAGTACTGCTATCGATACAACAGACATCGTAAGAATAATCAATACAATAGGACACTCCGTGTTCTTTCACTTCATCATACTAAGTACTCCCACCTACACCCCTGCTTATTAGCTCCTCTTCATAAATATCAATAGTTAGTCAGTACTACACGCAACTATTCCGACTCGACTCCATCCGAGAATTGGAAGTACAGAAGATTAACAGCACAAACAGAAACATTAAGAGCCAACCTAGGGACAGATAGATGCATTACATGGACAGCATGCACATATGCACATGCACATGCAATGAAATAATAATGAGAGTTTGGAGGTAAGGAAAGAAAGTACATTACGGTTAAGACAATGTTGCTTATGCTTGTTTCTGCACACACGCGCGCGCGTCCGTCTACTAGGTTAACTACTAGCTATGCAAGGTAACTAATTAGGCGGAGATATGTTCCATGGAATAACTACGCACTAATTATTGATTACCAGAATGCTCGTGGATGTCGATGACCTGGCGACGATGGCCTTGAAGAAGATATGGCAGTTCATCATGAAGGACTGAGGGGACAGGAGAGCATGAAAATAATGCTAGAAGAGCAAGCTAAGCTAGTACCAGTACTTATTGTTGTTAGTGTATATAGGATATCAGGTCAAGTTCTCAATAATAGTAGAGTGTTACACCAGACATGTTTCTACATCATATGTGCTACTTCAAGTCATGATCCTCCGGATAAAGTGTCCTAGAAAGGACATATCAAGTCCGTCGAGATACTCCGTGTACCCCGTTAACGTGCCACCAGAGGAATCTGTTCAAATAGCAAGAGCTCTCCTTACGGCTAACTATATGAATGGACGTAGCCTCGCTAAGTAACATTGTCATTGGCGCCACGCTTCAATCCAACCCCTAGAAAAATCATCGCAATGACCCGCTACCGCACATCAAAGTATAAAGGCCCTAGCCGATATGAAGACCTCAGTCGATACGAGGATGTCCTCGGCCAACTGCCCATGCTGCAGGTCTATACCCACATCTTACTCCTTTTCACTATACCCGAAGGCATAACCCGTGATGACATCGTATCTGACCTGATATCGGCTGTCGCTATGATCCGCGAGAAGGTGCCATGGATGGCTGGAAAAGTGATCAATATTGATAAAAGTCCTGGTAATTCAGGGAGGTATATCGTTGTGCCTTGCCCGGCCCCTGACAGGCTCGTTGAAGTCAAGGACGTCTCACATGTGCTTCCTTCATATCCGGAAATCCAGCGATTGAAGGCTCCGAACTACTTACTGGACTCCCATCTGCTGGCACCCACTACGGCATTCCCTCAGCGGTTCGAAGACTCTGAGGAGGATCCCTCCCGTGTGATCCGCCTTCAGGCGAACTTTGTCGACGGGGGTGTGCTTATTGATTTTGCAATCCAACACAATATGACGGACGGCGGGGGTGTATTTGGCTTTGCCCGGCTCGTTGCTCAAGCTATGCGTGGGGAACAGTTCTCCGACGATCTGCTGGAGAAGATAAATTGTGATAGACGCAATATTGTCCCCCTTCTGCGTCCGGAGGAGCCGATGCTAGACCATAGTCATTACCTGCGCCCTCCCGGTGGAAATGTGCAGCTTGTGGGCTGCCCAGAATTAGCCCAGTGGCATGTTGTACGCCTGGCTGCAGCCAAGGTGACTGATCTCAAGACATGGGCCACTCCGCCGCCAGAAGAGTCAGATTCAGATGTGCCATTCATCACAGCCGACGACGCTATAAGTGCGTTTTTCTGGAAAAAGCTCACAATGGTGCGGAACCAGCGAGGTAATACGCCTGAAGACCGATCACGGTTCTCGCGTGCTATGGATGGCCGCAAATTGCTGGGTATATCAGCGGAGTACATGGGCGATCTTGTCCACAATGTGGCAGCTTGGCTATCCTTTCGTGAACTAGTCGAACTGCCACTCTACGCGATAGCATGCCACCTTCGCCGGGAATTGAACCATGCAAACACAGCGTATCATGTGCGAAGCTTCGCAACGTTCATCGCACAGCAACCGGACAAATCAACAATTACCTATGCCGGGGCCTTCAATCCCGATACAGATGTAGGAATGTCCTCGCTCTCGCGGGCAGATGTTATGCATCATAAGTTTGGAATACTCGGCCGCCCCGACTTCGTACGACGGCCTAATTTCTCTGAAAATGTATTACCCAGCCTGCTATATATCTTTCCAATGCGACGGGAGGGAGACTTGGAGATGCTTATTGGTTTGACTGATGCTGACATGGAGGCATTGAGACATGATCCGGAGTGGACTCATGTGGTAGAGTATATTGGATGAGCTGACGGAATCCCTATTGTAACTCAACGATTGAAATCAGAATATCGAGACCTCTTTGGTCTAGGCTGTTCGGCACCAATAAAAAGGAAGCACGAAAGAACCTCTGTAATAGTATTCATAGGGTCCTGTCCCTTACATAGGTCCAAGCAGCATCGATAAAAACCACTCCGCATGGTGTAGTTGCGGGTCTTGTGTTGAGTTGTCGAGCAAGATGGTAAAAGCAGATACTATAAAAGATATATAGCTATATTGCCTGCGTATTGGTTAGCTGCTGGGATATTTAAGGTTGCCGGATTGTGATGGTCTAATCCACCCAGTTTCTCAGTCGGCAAATTGAGTAACCGGCTCAATTCGGCTAGGGCAATAGACTATCAGTTCATCTCCCTGCGGTCGGGCTGAACCGCGAGGCACAAGGGGCAGTGAGGAATAATGACTTAAGATTGGTCGCACTGTTAGCTGGAGGTGGGCATGATCCCGCGAAACTTGAAAAGGAACAAGCTCGCCCGCCTGTCACTCCCCACCACTCACATTCACGAACTCGATGGGCTGCTAACCAATAGAAATGACTATAAAGTTGGTAAAGAAATAGCAGCACCACCTGGTTGACGGGTCAGATGGGCATCGTTGGGCGTGCTAGCGGAAGGTTGCGCACCAAGTGGTCGATGACAATAGGGTGATCGAATTGAAGGCCGCATGATGACTGGCTGGAAGCGAAGAGCGACAAATGCGAGATAGGGCAGTCCAAACTTGTAAGTCTTGCTCTGCAGCCGGTGGAAGTAATAACTTGTTGTACCGCGGCGATCCACCAAAGAACGCAATGAAGAGACTCGAGCCGAATGGCCAAAGCAAGTCTGCTTCTCGGAAGGTTTAGGTTGAGCCTGTAAGCAATTTCTTCCGGAAGTTGATCCGCAACTACCTTTATGGTTTCAGTCAAACATTTCCAGGAGCTAACGAGTGTAGGATCGCGCCCACGTACCAACTCAAGATGTAGCAACGAACCCACTATAAAACTACCAGATATAGTAACAGTGACGACCCATGGAAAGGTAGAGTCTCATTTCATGTGAGCAAGCTTCTTTCTCACTGGATGTCTCTGCCTGTTCGGATATCCAGGCGTACCAAATCAATCATACAGTTGATGAACACCCGTGGCAATTCCTTAGGATGTCCGAGATAAGTCCTACTAAGTTGGCTGTCGCGGGTACCGAATGAACAAGATCGAGGCATCTGGCGTCAGTGGCGCTGTTGCATATCCGAAACAGCAAAGAAGACCCATAAACCTTGTTAGAACGTGCAGATGCCAGGTTCCAGCCAGATACTCAGTGTTCGGTTCCAAACGTATTGGGAAGGTACCCCAGATGCCTGAACCGCTATGATTAGCATGATTGAAGCTTGCCCTGAAGCTTAAGCCTACGAAACCGGATTCGGAAAACTTTAAGTTCCAGATAGATCACATGGCAAGTAGGACATGACAATGGTGTTTGGTAAAAGTGCATAACGGTCATGTTATGGTGGGATTCAGTCCCGGCTACTGCATGGCATAAGTATTGGTTGATATTGTCGGTATGCGCACGCTCAGATCCCTCAATCATATATGGACCATGGCCGAGTCTCCTAAGGAAGTGTTGGTCACACTGACGTGCTTGTCATTCATGTGGGTATTCTAGATTATCGAATTCAGATGATCCACTGCATTCACTGTCATGGTCACAAAACTCATTGGATTTTATCCCTCAAATGACGCATTACCTTTGTCATTATATTGTACTGCAGTTTGGTTAGCATGCCCAACTAGGGTACGTGGCACTTGCAAAATGAGCGCGCAGCCATCGCACACGAAGCTAATACACTCGTGGGAAGGAAATGATTGCCAATACCCCAGTATATAAGGCAGGAGGGTGTTAATAGATGGTCATTTGGAGGAGCACCTTCAAATTCAGTACACAATATGAGCACCGGAAGAGATATCCTTTGTCAAAATCTTCAAGTCCTGCTGGACCGCCGTCGCGCGGAGGGACGACTGTACGAGCCAGCCTCGCCGGACGAGTATGAAGGTACAGTGGACTTTGGATCAAATGATACATTGTCCCTCTCAGCGTCCGGACTTTTGACCGAGGCTTTTTTGCATCAACTCGAAAGACATCCCCACTTCACTATTGGGGCCAATTCCACGCGCGTCTTTGAGGGAACAAGGCAATATATAGTGGATATTGAGCGTGACCTGGCTCATTTTCACAATGCTGAGGACGCTCTCTTCTGTGGATCCGGCTATGACGCCAATACAGCCATTTGGTCCGCAATTCCGCAGCCCGGAGATTCCATTGTCTTCGACGAGCTAGTGCATTCTAGCATCCGCGAGGGCATGAGGCTGGGACGAGCTAAGAGCATTCCCTTCCGTCACAACGACAGTCTGTCCCTGCGGCAACGCCTAGAAGAGCTCCGGGACCAGAATGGCGAAGTCGCAGAAGGTAGACGACTTGTGTTTATTGCAATCGAGTCAATCTACAGCATGGATGGAGATGTGGCTCCTCTTCACGAGATTGTAAAGATTGCATATGACACTCTACCCCGAGGGAACTATATCCTTTCAGTCGACGAAGCACATTCCAATGGCATCATTGGACCCCATGGCTCAGGAGTCGTTTCATTATATGGACTTGAAAATGAATTTTCGATCAGGTTACAAACCTGTGGAAAAGCACTGGCGTCAGCGGGAGGTACGACAACCCATCATTATTCGGAGATTGGCATTGCTAATATTATCGAATAGCGGTGGTATTGTGCAATTCGACAATCAAAGAGGCGCTAATCAACTATGGGCGGAACATCATATTCACCACTGCGCCATCTTTCACAGCCGTGGCAGCTGTGCGCGCTGCCTATGAGATACTGGCCACCCAGGAAGGACACAGGGTTCGTCCCGCCACCTTCGTAAAATGTCAACATTACTGATATCCATGTTGTAGCGCCAAAATCGTCTGCAAAAGAACATATGGTACTTCTACTGGACCTTGACAAAACACCCTCAGTGGGAGGATATCAAAGCGCGAAGCATCCTTTCCTTACCGACAGAGAAAACCTGGTATACCAGGCCATTCAAGTCCCCCGTAGTTCCAATTATCACAAAGCCCAAACAAGCTAACAGCTTGTGCAAGAGGCTGCGGCGGGCCGGATATTGGGTAAATGCGGTTGATTATCCCACTGTGCCCAAGGGAACGGGTCGAATACGGCTGATGATCCACGCGGACAATACCCGAGAGGAGATGGATGGGGTAATCCAGCTAATCATGAACTGGGCGATTGAGCAATATCAGCCAGTGGAGCCGGTTCAAGCCATGGCGAAATTGTGAGGTGGGTGTGCATGTGGGAGAGGAATGAAGGAAGTAGCGCTTTGTTTTGGCGGATGATGTTGTGGGTCATGTGTCGACCGTCTATCTTGGGAAACTGTAGTAACTAGTAGTATTTAAAAACTAAAATTCCCGTTGTACCATCTCGAGTCTGTGAGCCTTCATGCTTCTGTAGCTCTTTGTCAGAGTACTGTGAGGCCATTGAAGGATGGGAAAGACATCATCGACAGTACTTAGTACCAGGCGATGCTGCCTGCCTAGTTCTATAGCACAGAGCATGACTTCCACTCCTTTAATTACGTGGCAACTCTCATTCAGCTACCCTCACCTACATCCGTCTCAACAACCGCAGCACACTACAGTTGACATCCTTCGCATATCCGACAGAATCGAATAAAGCCGATGCCAAGAGGTTCAATTCATTATTTACATAAGTTCATAACTATTTCCGTGGCCATATGTACATACAGGATCACACTGACTATATCAACCCACCACCGCTAGCTGGCTTCTGACAGGCACATTATGTCGCAGCTTAGGTGATGGAAATCCCTGAACATTGACCCCCTTCCGGAAGAGCAGACAATGCGTGGAGCCACCGAAATGGAACATACCAATCTGATCACCCTTGGACACATGCTGGCCCTCGGAGACGGTAATCTCACAGGTTGAGACCTCGCACATACCCACACCCAAGAACGCCATGAGCCCAATATCAGGGTTATCGCATTCGATAAATATAACAGCCCGCGTTGCCGTGGCTGTCAAATATTCTTGAGACATAACCTCACCAGCGCTATCAATCCCATGTTGGGTGGATGGATCCGGGTCTCCGATACCCTCGAACAAAGGCTCAGAATAGTACGTTCCATCCACGACGTACGCCTTGACGATCTTTCCCGACACCGGTGCATGCCAGCGGTGATAGCTCAATGCACTCAAGAATGCCTGATAGACCGTGCCGCCCTCGAATTGCTTAGCCAACGGATCACACCCGACCATATCATATACTGAATAGGGCTGGCTCTTGATCCAGAACTGGTCGCGCGCCTTGACATCATACGCCACCTTGTATGGCTGCGACTCACACGCATTGGCAATGACCTTGTCGTCACTGGGTGAGGCAACGGGACGGATACCCTCTCGGAACAACCGAGTGAAGAAATGGTCCCAAGAGTTGAATCCATGATGCTCTGCCGATGGGTCGCAGACATACATTTCCTCGAACGAATGATTGGTCTTCTGCACATTTCCCACCTCCTCCAGATCGGATTTAGCTGTCTCCCCGAACCACCCGTACTTCGAATCATCCAACACCTTCGCCGACTCCGGTGACTTGAGGAAATCACCCCATGCATTAAGAATCTTCTTGATCATGCGGTTGACATCTGGGTCCAGGAACGCAGCATATCCACTCGGGGTGCCCATCGGCCAATCCAAGACCGCATTAATAGGCAACCCCACCAACCCAACACGGTGAGAAAAGTCGTTCCATGAGGGAGCAGTGGTTATGAGATGGTTTAGCACACGTAGCATGTGCTTGTAGTCCTGCATCTGGGGACAGCCAGTGGGATCAGTGGTGTACGTTCGGTTTCGGGGGAGTTCATTGAACATGGCGGAGATGAGCAGGTATACGCGGGTGTTGTTCTCAATGAGGTCCTGAAATTCCTGAATCACTGGATGAAGGTCGTGAGATTCCTTGCTGTCGACATGTGCGATGACACCACCTAGCCATTCATGATGGGCATCGAGAGTAGAAGGCATCCATTTTCCAAGACTATCAGGACCATGTTAGTCAAAATACCTCCTATACAACACATCCACAGTAAGCAAAGAAAACACATACTGATGCAACCGAGGCGTGTGATTCTTATACTTGGGCGCCATCTTTTCACTCCAATTCAATCCAATCCAACTCAAAATATGTCTAATAAAAATGGTAACAAAAACCGATAGTAATCAATATCAGATCAGACAGCCTTGGCAAAAGCTTATAACAGAACACAGACAACTCAATGGACCTTTTAAGGCGTTTATAAACTCCAACAGAATTCAAGAATCAGCTGTAATCAAACAACAACATCAGCAATTGCATCATGATGATGGCAGCGACAGGGGGGTGGATCCATAGTGGATCGCATTTGGATCCGTCGTGAAGCTAAAGTCGAAGCCATCCCCGGCCGTGATGTCATGTTCATGGCCTAGGCTTAGCCGTCTCTCCCGCGGAGTTGTCGCTGACGGGGTATAACATTATGCATGATTAGTTCATATGTAGATTACTGGCACAGCTCTATCATCCTAGCAGGCATTATAGATAATCAAGCATGCAAACGTAAAACGAATAATAGAAAATTCGCAAGTACATGCCTAAATAACTTCTCCGTAAATCCGTCTATGGACCAGAATCATTCTGCCATCCGTGAAAAAGGCGGTAAGAAAACGTACAGTTTGCTGACTCATTTTCTCGGAGCTGTATAAAACGGATATCCGTCTATATCCGTATATATCCGCACTTTTCTCAGCGAGGTTCACTAGTTTCTGCCAGGTTTGGCGGTGAAGAGAGCGGTCTGGTGGGGTTTGGGGAGGGGGTTGTAGATAAGTCTATGTAGGAATCTAGGTCCGTGCTAGAGTTCTAGGACTATCTATAATCTATATTGTATTCGTATGAGGAGTAGAGTAGGCTACAAGTGAATCAAGTTCTCAATAGCGGATAGTTGTATGTTAAACAGTAGATTGCTACTTTGGCTTAGACACAATGTGTTGTTTGTATTCGCTGTTTAGAGTACAGCTTTGATAGTACGTATCATGCTAATCACTATACAACACAGTAAATGGTAAACTGAATATCCCCAGTGGTAGTAGTGGATACACCAAAAGGATATGTCTGGCCATATGTATAGGTTTCCGGCTCTGGGTGCTGTGTGCCATGATCTGATTGACAGCTGCGGTATGCTTCCCCGCGATCCAATGCGAGCGTATATTATTATAAGGTTCAAAGTTCTACGCAGCTAAAGTGTCAGGTTAGTAGATCTCTACGTGGGGAATGATGCCTCGTCAAATGTCCGTTGCCACTTGCTTATGTGGATATTCCATCCCTTCTTGGCATATATCGTTATCTGGTAATAGTCAGCTATTTCCTCTCAGTAAATTGAATCAAGACTCATCTCACCCCCTTACGGTTGGTTGTCTTGGAAGATCGATAGTCAATTCGTGATTGGACATTTTGGACCTATCCTGCTCATATTGGTTACTGGCCATTCAGGATCTGCCCTCACTGTCCTATGTCTAGGCTGTTCCATGTTCACGCGTAGACTCTGGTTCGGAATCCTCATCACCCTCATGATCATGATCATTGTCATGACCTTCAAGGTTATCATCATCCAGATCTTCCCACTCCTCTTCATTTTCCATGGCTAAGGCCTCCATCTCGGCCTCGTCTTCGTCATCAAGCTCATCCCCGAGCAGGCTGACCAACTGCAAGAGCCCTGCCTGTGAGCGCCAGGTATCCTCAGCCCGCCTTTGACGTGGTTCAGAGCTCCAGAGTCCATCGCCTGTCGCCTGTTGGTCATCGATTGGGACAGACTTGCCGTCGGAGAGATCGGGCGCTAGGCTGACAATGCGGATAGCTTTGGTGGGGAAGATGCGAGCAGGCCCCTCGTCTTGTTCATCGTCTGGAATGTCAGAGTTATGTTGGCGGAAGCCGAGAGTCTGTAATTATCAATTAGCTTGCTTCTGCTAATGCCAAATTCGGCAAAAGAGCACATAGGACTCACAGTGTAGGTGGTCATGATCGCATCATCATATAACGCCATGAAACTGACCGGCACAGCAAGCTGTGGCACCGAGCTAGTGAGCAGAGAGTAGGAAGCCCGAGCTGGCTTATTAACGTCCTGAATCTTGTTCTCGTCGTCGAGGGCCACGACATAGATACGATCCTGAATCTCAAACATCACCCGGTGGTTGCGCACAGACAACCAGCCGCCCAGGTCAAAATTAGAACCGTCCGACTCGCATTCGATAAGGGACCCATGTTCTGAAATCCCTCTCTCATTCTGTAGGGCCTTCCGCCAGTTGGAGCATACGAATACACGACCAGCGCGGGAGAAGCCAACGAACAGGTCACCGTGGAGCATACCCGCACCCCATTCGTCGTCACCGTGCCTTACGTGTTCAAAGTCAGTCGGTGGTGGAAGCGGACCCTTCGAAAGCTCAATTGGCACCAAGCAGTCTTTGCGAGGTTTGCTGAGAGCGACCATCTGCTGAGTCGGACCATGTCGCGCAGCAGCGGCTAGTGCAGCGATCGCAGACGGCGAGGTAGCGACCGGCGGAAGGATATGATACATGTCTGTGCAACGGGATGGCTGCAATGCGCCCAAGAACTCGCCGGTCGCCTTGTTGTAGACATGATAGCCTCGGGGGCCCATAGAGTAGATAACAGCGTCCGCGCTCTGATCCAAATGACCGACGGCATCATTCTCGATAGAGATGTGCGTAGTCAGCTTCGGAGGTCGCTGCGTCATATCATACACAAAGCCTTGCCCCTGTGTGGAGACCACACACAGCGTCCAATACGACAACTGGAAGCCTCTGGTCTGACAATTGTGGTCTAAGATCGCAATGCGCCGGAACTCTCCACGTTTGGCACCTTCTTGATCAGCCTGCCAGACCTCAAGCGCATCTCCCTCACGGTCAAAGACCGCCATTCCGTCCTGATACTCCAGATGGGCATACGGGCGAACGGAACCCTCATCACGTTCCAGCGTGGAGGGTAGCCGCCATAGGATCCTGCCCGTATCCATATCCGTAACATTCAGACCACCCGCGTGTGATGTTGAAATGAAGAACCGGCGCTTAAAGTCTGCCCGGAATCGCCAGACAGGATTGTTGCCGACTTGAAGCACCGACTCGCGGGTCACGGGGCGCTCGTTGGCCCAATTGCGGGCGAGCAGCTTCTGGCGCTTGCATAGATCTTTCCATGATGTAGTGTTCTCGAATAATTTGGTAAATGAGGTGGTGCTGTTCGACAAAAATGAAAAGTCGCGGGCGCCACCCGGAGGTTGGGCGGTTTTCGATTCGGAACTGTAGATGGCTTCTCGATGGGTGATGTCGATAAATTGGTGCCAGGGCTTGGAGACGGCGGTCAGCGACGCCACGGCGGAGACCGGGAGGAATTCCACGACGCGCAAGACGATCTCGGGTGGTAAAACTGTAAGAGGGTCTGCCATGTATGAGGGGGCAGACATCTTGGAAGAGAACGAACAGTTAGGAGGATAGAAGAAGGAAGTTGAAGAAGCTGCAGGCCTGCGGGGAACAAGATGGTTTGAAGCCCATCTTTCCATTCTGCCCCGCTTTGTTCTTCACCGCCTTGGTTATCGCTATCGATTGGCGACTGAGGCCATCAACTTTTCACATTCGACCGAGAATGTCTGTTGCAGGGACAGCAATCTTACTCGTGCATCGGATCCTTAAGTGGGCGTCATCGGATGGCTACTAGGACGGCACAGTTTTCTGTTACATCAAACGGAGCTGCAATGTCATCATTGATCATTCTGATGGTTACTACAGTATAGCAGTAAAAGTTAAAACTTGGCTTGGCAGGGGAGCCTTCCACCTTGCAGTAACTCTATAGCTATGGCAGGTATTAGTATACTATACAATCATCCATTAATCTCTGCTATCGCCCAAGCTAGCGATACCACCGGCTCACAACGTCGTCCTCCTCGGTAGTAGACGCCACTCTATTTTGTCGCGTAGCAAGTCGCTTAGCCACCTCATTCGCTTCGTTCAGGCTCACTAGCTTCCGTTTACGCGACTGGGTGATGGCTCGTTCGCAGGCAAATCTATAAATTGCCTGTCTCTCACTTTCCGGCCTATCGGGATACCCAGGAAGGTACGACTCGGGTTTCCGGTCTAAAAGACATGCACTCCGCGTGTGTTCCGCCTCGTACTGCCCTCTGTCGGATAGGATTTGTGGCGGATTGGACGTGGCCTCGGACACCCAATTGTCGGTAGCTAACTCCAATGGGGTGCTTCCGGTCGCATTCTCACGATGGAGAAGATCAGGACGATATCCAATCATAGCCTCAAACATCTTGGGGTACTGATGCTTGACTGCTTCATGAACAGGGGTGTTTCCTGTACCGTCAAACATATCCAGATGCTTTTGACCCGTTGACTGGGCAAACTCGAGGAAACAACGGATAATAGCCAGCTTGCCATCTGTTTCTCGGCCGCGGTCGAATTCCCATCCGCTCGATCCCCTTGACCAAGCGTGATAACTCTTATGCATCCAACGAGCAAGTGGCGTCAGCGACCCCGGGTCATCGGAGGATCGCTCCGTCAGCAGCGATGGGACCAACCGGGGATCGAGCAAGGAAAGAAGCTTTGGTATATTGCCTAGCTCTTCTCGAGCGTTACTATTGATGTCACACAACATTAGGTGCATCAAGTTGTTGCCTTGACGATCACGAGTTGCCTGATTTGCGCCGGCTTTGATAAGGATATTGGCAAAGTCTATCTTGCCGAGGGAGAATGCAAGTGCCAAGGGCGTATGCCCTGCAGCCGATTTCGTCTCCATAAACTGTGGAAGGCGCTTGACGAGGCTTTCAATTAGCTGGCATGATTCCGGCGTAGGCTTTGAAAGTACAGCACAGTGCAGAAGATAGTTGTCTGTTGTATCCAAGTCAGCAAAACAATTTAGAACATTTGTGTTGGCACTCACTCTTGCACTGAAGCCAGTTCAACACGGGCCTCTCCATGTCTTCCACCGACTGTGAGAAGAGCTTCAGTTTGTTTATATGCTCATTCGTTTTGACAAACTCAACGTAGGTTTTGGCCGAGTCTGGGCTGAGAAACCATTCCACACTCGCCAATGATCCTGAATGCGCCGCTGTGAGCAAAGGCGTCTCTTGTTCTGCCGATGAAACAGGTAATCCTCTTCCCGCAGCGGCCCAATCTGCCCTTTTCTTCCCACGTATAGACAACCCTTGATAATATTTCGGCTTCTCCTTAACGTCGATACCACACTTCTGAAGCAGATTGTCGACAGGAAGGTCCGCGCCAGTATACCTGACGATCGCCTCGAGGCAGCCTAAATAACCCTTTGTAATTGCCAGTGGGAAAGCAGAGGCACCAAAATTATGAACCCCAGGCTCGACCGTCTTGTCCCTGTTCGTAAGCTCTTGTCCCAGCCGAAGCAAAAAGACCAGTAGATCCACGTTGTTCTGTCCCACCGCATATTCTACCAGATCGATATACTTCTCAGACTCAGACCCTTCGTCAAGAAACATGTGGGCTGGACAATACCGGGAGAATACTTCAAGAGGCGATACCGAACATTCCACTTGCGTTGCTACCTCTCCTATGTTCTCAATCGTGAATCTGTCATCAACAATCTCCCGATATATGCAATTTTCTTCACCGTCATGGAAGGCATCGATGTCCATCTCGAATCTTTCACGAGCGACAGAATCCTCACGTTTGAATTGGGCTTGTACTATTTCTAGAATAGCCTTTGCCACATGGAGGTGTCCACGCAGTACTGCAATGGAAAACGGTGAGAAATTGTCCTTGTCCCATACTGCAATCTGCAATGGGCCCTGTTGGTTTTCGGCATTAGACGTAACTAGCGTGAGGGCCTTGATGGTATCAAGGTCGCCGCGCCAAGCAGCCTCGAAACTGCTTAACATTAGTAACCTGAAAGCGGTTTCCATTTGTCTTTCAGTGGTAGATAACACTTACAGGCCAAAGTACCTCTGCTTCTTTTCATCGGTGAGGTCTGGTACGCAGAAGTTGGTTTCGACCCTGAAAGGCTCTGGTTCTTGGCCCTTGGAGTCAGAGTCGCTCTTATTCCCAGTTCTTCTCCTCTTCCAGGGCTTCTCGAAGTCTGGATAGATGTCGTAGAAAGATTTCGCACCCTTTGCCACCAAGACATTCTCCAATGCCTTATAAGCGTCAAGAGTGGCCCGAGCCTCCAAAGTCTTCTCCTTCACACCTTCGCGCTTTTTATTGGAATAGATCGCCAAATTATACCTTTTCTGGTCCTTTTCGTACTGTGCCTTTGCTCGGCGTACTGCCCTTTCTACAGTCCAACGATGGTATGTGTCAGGCTGTAGCCCATTCAGACAGTCATCAGGTTTCACTAGTTGGCAAGGAGGTGAGACGTCCAACTTCTCGCCATGATATTTGCCCAATGCCCTGATCTTGTCTCGGACACAGTCGAGTACAGACTTTCCCACGGTATAGCTTCGCATATACTCGTTGTCCAGTACCATATACCCTTCGGGGGTGAGAGTATTTGGATCGACGCCATCGCTATGGAGCAGCCGGTCAGCAATTGCTGGTAGGTCGTTCTGGACTGCGAGAATGATAGGTTGGGTAAAGTCATGCCGAAAGAGAGCTTTGTTCCTCTCAGATGAGTTTGACTTGATCACCCTATAGATAGCCTGACCGGGATTCACGAATGATTCGAAGTCAATCTGGGGTGTTGCACCAGCTTCAATTAGCTTGTTTGCGGCCATGCCGTTTCTCAAACTAAGGGCTAACGTGAGAGTAGAATGAGCCTTGACATTCCAGGGATTAGACAAGGAGGAGAGGAAATCCATCGCTTTCACTGTTGCCGAACGGTTCTGACGGAAATAGGTTTCGAGAATTTCAGAAGAATCGGTGAAATCACAAGCAACTACATAGTGCAGTGGAGTAGCGCTGTTAATATCTGCCTGTGTTGGAAGTGCCCCAAGCTGCAGTAGTTTCTCTGTCATTGTAATCGATTTTTCGAGAGGCAGTCGAAGTGCCAGGACAAGGCATAAGATAGCAGCTCGCGCCCTATCCTGGCCGGGCCAGAGGAGCTTGACCGGAAGCGCTAGATCAGCTCCAAACGAGGTAATCAGCTCATGAGCCACATCAATATGACCATGCAGAATGGCAAGATGAAGCGCTGATGTGGGAACATCCCAGGCGACTACATCGATGTCATATATGTCCGGTTCTTGCTCGTTTTCAGTCATGGCCAAATCGATGCCATCCACATTATCAGCCTCTTTCTTGACGTGAACGAACGAGTCGGAATCGACACTTTCACTCTCACTAGTGTCGGGCTCCTGCTGACACTCATGGCTATCCCCATCCGCCCGTTTTTCAAGCTGAGCCTGTTCACTCTCGTTTTGCTTGCTCTTGCGCAAAAGCACTCTGACCATCTCCAAATCGCCCCGAGCAGCAGCCAAATGCAGTGCTGTCCGGCCGTCGGCCAGACGCGAGATCATTCTTGCACCATGGTCGACAAGGCATTGCACAATGTCGCTTGTTGAGGCCAAGCAAGCCAATTGCAATGGAGTCCTTCCAGTATGGTCCCGATCGTTAGGATCTATCATTTCTTCTGCAAGACATGCCTTAACTCCTTCGATATCGCATTTGACAATAGCATGGCACAGCCGCTCGGTGTTACCTATGTATGCCATTTCTTCCGCAAAGTCAGCCTGCTCCTCAGTCCCTCACAACGGGTAAGGGTGCACAAACCAGTCCAGTCGGTCTCTGTAATCGGGTTGAAGCTACCAATCTCTTGGCGACCTGGGTTGTCTCTAATAAAAGAGATTTTACCAGAAATATAGATTTTGCTTTCTTTCTCGGCTATCTCTTTCTCTTCAGGAGTCATCGGCTCTGGGCAGCAGCCACAACAGTCACCGATGACATCTACGACATTGCCAAAGAATGCCGGATGTCGGTGGAGGTTAACTTCTCTGTCTTTGGGCTTGTTCCACTCCGCATTGAGCAAGAGGTCCTTCGTATAAATGAGTTTTTCAACTTTTCGAGCTTTGAATCTGGGGCCGTAAGGAATAGTCTTTCTCATGGAGTTAGCCTTCAGATATTATATGAAGATTTCGCAAGCTTACAAAGGTATGGTAGTCAGAAATCTCCTCTCCCTCTTCCCAATCAGGAATCTCATCCACCCAGTCATCCTTGATGTTACCTGACTGCTTCCATCTATTAGACCTTGGGGCTGGTCGTCCACGCTCCCGTCGTCTCTGCTCTATATAAGACTCCCGGTCTGACGACTTTGGAAGCCTCTCCAGAACCAGGAGGCGCGCCAGACCAACTGTCCTACTAAAGCTCCGCTCGAATATTGTCTATAGGCGGCGTTAGTTCGGCTGATTAACAGAGATATAGAAAGGAGGAATACTGACCGGATCTATTTGGGACCGATCCAGCTGCGGCCAGAATATTTCGAACCCCCGATGAGAGTACTTTGAGAGGCGGTTCTCATAAGAAGGCGAGCGTCTGGACAAATCAATCGTATTGATTTGGGTGATATACGAAGCCAAAGCACGTGGAGAGACAAAGACTTGCTTTCCATCAAAAGCAGCACAGGAACAATCGACATCGAACCCAGTCAAAATCTCGGAGACAGATTTGTATATGCGAAGCACTATCTGCACATGGCGTGTGGGATATTGCGAAACGATCGTGATGGCGTTTTTTGTTCGCACTGTGGTTGTTTCGTAGAGGATCGCGTTCTTAACCTTATCCTCAATCTGCTTGATTTTCTCAATTGCCTGCGCTTCATCTAGGCCGTAGAGAAACATATCCACATCGGAGGCCGGTGCAACTTTTTCATGATAGTACTCTCGCAATGACCGCTTCGAATCCCGATACTTTTCGGGAACTGGGAGCAGGCAAGTGACTACTGCACTTCCCGCGACCACGACATTGCTCCAGTCCATGTCGCTCAATGCACCTTCGGAAAAGACGTTGAAGTTGGTTCGGAACTCGTCTAAGGTTGGAACCACTGCCGGAGAGCCATTGGGACGTCGGCCTTCTTCCTTCAAGGGCATGATATACTGTTCTTTAGTCATAGAGGACTCCGAAGATAAGTCTCGAGCCCGTACACGGATGTCCGACCTGCCATTGGAGTCGTAGAGGGGCACGATATTGAGGTGATTGTCCTGCAGGGCTGCATGAGTGCCGTCTTGAGCAAACAGTTTGCGTGCCACCGCATCGTATTCATTGTATGGTGCGATAATTTGCTCGAGAGGAGTGTTCGGGTGACTCTGGATCCAGCTCGGCAGGTCCCGATGTTTGGCGGGCAGTATCGGCAGGGTAAAGGTAGCCGCCATTGCGGTGATAGATCTATAGGCCTGTTGATAAGATTGAGCGGCAGCAACACATGGACAACTTGGAGGAGGCAACGATATGACAGGGACAATAACAAGGATACTCCTATGCTAAAAAGAGCTTCTGAGAGATAAATCTTTCATCGGAGGAAAATCCATTGAGTATTTAACTTTGTCCAGCAGTTGCACCGCAGCCTCCTGAAACGGCAAAGCGTAGGCCTCCGGGGGCAGAAATGCCCACCGCCGCAGGCACGGGACCCACTGCCAGGCTCCGATCAGGCCCTCGGTGGGTGCCTGGGGCGCTAGAATCTTTCTTGTTGGACCCTGAGTCGCCCTTGGCGTGATCCCGTCCCCGCCCACGCGCTGATCAGGATACTGCAGACAGATTGCAGTTACCTGTACAATCTGCATCTTCTAAAACTACTATCCAGGTCGAGGGCATCAGACTCGCTAACATTATGATCATTCAATTGCACACATTTCATTAATCATCTAGCTAAGACAGCAGCAGACGCAACTGACCGAGTGCTTGGGTACCGGTCTGCTGAGTATACTTTGCGAACACGAGAGCAGTATTGCCAGACTTGGTTTTAGTGCGGCTCGGCGCACATATTCCGACACAATCGACACGGACTGTGCACGCCAAAACTTATGAACATCCCGTTCTTAGCAGCGTCATACTGTTCGCTTCCTATCAAATAGGCGGTATGACGCTTTGTTACACGGAATAAGATAGCCGGGTTCGGTGGCATCGATTTGAAATATTCTTGATCCCGAGAGATCTCTATCCTGAAAGCAAGAATTGGTTGTCATAAGAGGCCTAGCTGTGGCTTACAGCGTAGGTGGCCTGGTTGGAGCGGGGCGTTCTATCTGGGGTTCCAGTGGATGCTGCTCTACACGTCTTTGAGAACTGTTTCGAGAGAGACACTTGGTCTGATACTAATCTCACTCCAGGTAGAGCAAGTCAGATGTTCCAAGATACTGGTGGTAGAGAAGATGTCAACGCCATTGCCATGTTTCTAGCTGTCAATAAGCCCGACCTAGACTTTCCGTGTGACGCAACAGTGCCTTCCTGAAAAGTATCATGGAGATGGACCACAGTACGGGCCAAAGGCCAAATATGAATCGGATTCGTATCCGACAGGAGCGTTGGCCTACTTCAACTATATCATTCACATTATATCCTTGTAGCTGTGACTTGTTCCTGATTGAGCACTTCGTCTAGCTCAGGCCTCGCAGTCAATTGAGGTTACGCCGTGAACGGCAGTCATCTGCGCGGGAAGTTTGGTAAAGTACCCTGTCGTGGTAACAGCGTAGGTCTTAGCTTTATAATAAAGCAGTGAGGTCCAGATCGGCCCTATCTCTGGTTGCTAGATCCTGTCTGGGGCTTCACAAACCGGTTTAAGTCAATGGATATCTGTACTTCAATTGGTAAATCCACAAACTCTTATTTGGTAGACGTGCGGGCTCAATCCGTGGTTCAGACACTGAATAGGCTTCATAGGATATGCATATAAGATAAGTAGTCTTGAGGCCTATCTCACGGTCATAGTTCTCTCTCAACTGCAGTCAATGCTAGCACCATTCAGCACCATGGCGAAAGTAGACAGAAAACATCCGTATGCTCTTCTTCAGATCCCAAGCAAACATGCAGCAAGCTAAACATAATCCACCAGGTATCTAACCGGAAACTTCGCTCCCATCAGCACCCGACTTACCTCCAAACCCTGTTACTTCGAGGGTACCATTCCCGAGGAATTCCTGGGCGGCCAATATGTCCGGAATGGCACCAACCCAATCCAGCGCGACAACCCGCGCGGCTTCCACTGGTTTGACGGCGACGGCATGCTCACAGGTGTATACTTCAAGCGCATCTCCGGACCAGCCCATGTTCAACCCGTCTTTACCAACGAGTATGTCCTAACGGATATATACTGCGCGACGGCGCGAGACCGCCGCCTCTACCCCATAATGCCTAGCGTTGTGGCGTTAACTAACCCTGTCTCGTCTTTGCGAATCATATATGAAATATTGCGGAGCATGGCTTTGATCTTTGTGTCGATTTGTGGCTTGATTGCCCGGCCGATCAAGAGGGTGAGTAGTGCGAATACCAGCATTTTTCATCATGATGGTCGTGTCATGGCAACGAACGAGATTGGGCCTCCCATGCGTGTGTTCTTACCACTGCTGAAAACAGTGGGCTGGTTTACCGGTAATATGGCGGAGGGCGAACCTATTGGCATTGATGCGTGCAAGGAGACGTTTGGCAGCCCAGGGATGGAGGGAGCTTTGAAGGAAATGACAACAGCGCATGTGAGTTCATTGAAGACGAGATACATATTTGCCAGTGTTTTACTGCTATGTCCCAGTGCTAACCTGTCGCAATGAACAGCCCCGGGTTGACCCTCAGACTGGGGAATTGCTTCTCTTCCACTCAACATTCATCCCGCCGTTCGTGAACTACTCCATCATACCTGCTAGAACTACCGTGACACCGGAGTTTCGTCTCAATCGGCCCGTGCCTGGCCTTGTTTCAGGGAAGATGATGCATGATTTTGGAATATCCCACCGACATACCATTATTATTGACTTGCCTCTCGAACTCGACCTGTCTAATATCACACATGGAAAGCCGGTGGTCGAATACAACCCACAGGGCCAAACGAGGCTTGGGGTATTCCCTCGGCATGTCCCTGAACTCATTCGATGGTTTACAACAGACCCCTGCGTGGTAATGCACACAGTAAACTCTTGGGATGATATTACACCTGGTGGAACATGGGTGAATATGCTGCTTTGTCGCATGAACAGTGTTGCGCCATTCTACCATATGGGTAATACAGCTGCCCCAGAAGCTTTGAAGCAACCTGATCCACAATGCCGTCTTTATTACTATGAGTTCCCACCCAGCCATGAGGGCACAGCGTCGATCTCCCAGCAGTGGGCGCTATCAGCCATTCCTTTTGAATTCCCATGTGTGCCCCAGCACCTTGAGATGGACCCAACAAGGTTTGTCTACGGGTGCTCAATGCGGAAGGGTAATTTCGCTGCCACTCATATCAGCGCCTTCAAGATTGACTGTCTCGTCAAAGTGGACGTGGAACAGCTTCTCTCACAGGGTAAGACCGAGCGTCTATCTCCAGTGGGCGGCTGTGTAGACGAGCGCTCCATTGATGAAGTGCTCGCTTCAGACAACCCCGACGACCCTATCAAGGTGTTTGCCTTTCCCACGGGGTGGTATGCCCAGGAGTGTTCGTTTGTACCACGGAAGGATGGAAAGTATGAAGATGATGGCTGGCTCGTTACCTATGTATTTGATGAGTCGCAACTGGATGAGAATGGCGAGGCTCCACCTCACTCGCGCAGTGAGCTTTGGGTCATCGATGCTGTTGGTATGAGAGAGGTTGTCTGCCGAGTACTCCTGCCGCAGCGTGTACCATATGGGATGCACGGAAATTGGTTCTCCGAGGAGCAGATCGTAAATCAGCGAGATGTAGAAACGTTTCGCCACGAGTACTAGTTAGTCACAGGGTTTTTTGGGTACTCGCTCAATATGCCCTACTGATGTTACTATTTGGTATATATATAGTCAGCCTCGGATCGGTTATACAGTAATTCTGGCACTCTTCAATCCTCCAAGAAGTCGAATCAAGATAGATCTAGCCTGCAAGATCTACCTGTTGGACTGCATTGCCGCGCCTATGAAGTATACTCTGCTGTTTTCCTTCCTCGGCGTAATCCTCACCTCAGGGAGGAGCAAGTGAGGTATTCCCTCAGTGAAGTAAGTGCCAGGGGAGGGGATGGTTCAATGGATACTACTAACCCAAAACATTGTCGCTCTTATATTCTAACAATGCTGACAATATATCATTCACTATTAGGTAGGACACCATGGAATCGATGTCGTCCGGGTCAATGTATGATAACCAAGACATCGTTGCCGTTAGACTGATCGACGAACCGACTACCATTTAGTCGATGGCCTTGTCCAAACTAATTGTATAATCCCATATCGTTTATTTGAGGCAGATCAAAGAGTAAATCATATCCGAGTAACTCCAGGATACGTAAAGATCGTCTACTTTTTCCCAGCATCGTGATTGGCTTCATGCCGTTGAGGGGTGGTACTGTCGTTAGCGCCGAGCTCATCAGCTGCACTCTCGCTCGGTGTGATTCCTCCCGACACTATAAATGGAGCTTGATTCTACCTTCATCTGCATATTCGTTTCTCATCAGTATACCCAGAGGATGAAGCTGATAGAGTCTCCGCTCAGTCGACACGACGAAGCTCAGTCGTAGCAGATATCACTGCTTATTGTGTACAAAGGTCAACCCCCAACGACGCTTCACCGACGGTGAAGACTCGACCCAGGACTGCAGCAACTACCTGCCATCCTTTAGTGAGCGTCGGCCTGCTATATGATAAGAGAATTGGTATGTCCGTGTACTTGTACACTGCTCTTTCCCTGCTGACAATTCTTCCCAAGAGCACAGGACCGAGTCCATCCGGCCACTAGACTGCGGCATTGATTCCTGTGGCTACTACACCCTTCCTCCGCAGATTTGAAGATAACACCATCAGTACTCGAGCATATACAAGTTCTGGTCCACTGATAATGATAGATGTTATATACAGGGTAGTGCAGTGAGCATTTGAGATCGTACCTAAGTCTCCATCTTTCCTCATTTGTCTCTATTTATCACTGATGTTGTGGGCTCTCCATAATGCAGATACCCACGATCCTGACTACGTTCTGCTCATATACCGGGAATCTATGTACTATGCCAGCACTAAGCTAGATTCTCTGGGAATATAGATGGTTCCGCTCCGTACAACCCCACGAGTTTACTCGAAATTGTCAGATGCTACATTCGACATGGGTTATTGGCCGCCATGTTACAGGCGGCGCAGAGCAGTCACAGAAGGCTCCCTAATTTGAAAGCCCTACATAAATGGAGAGTCATAAGCAAAGATCCTCAATCATTATGGCTTGCTTTACACATGGCCACGGTATCTTCGAGGAACAGAGCTCTGCTTCAGACAAAGACAACGTCTGATGAAACTTAACGGAATCATAACGAGTATATTATATATGGCCTCCGTACTCTCACTGGCTTTGATTCTCTTGATGATGTGACAAGCGGCTAGGATACACTTGGAATCGTGGAGATGGTCTCTGTTCCTCCTGGAGACAGGACAATTCCATGCCGGGGCAACCTGTTGGCGATCCACCCACCACCATCAGTAGATTGACAGTACCTCATTGTCTTGTCGATAACATTACGCAAATTAGAAATTTCTAGTCTGGAGAATTTTGTTTCTTGCTATGATTATGTTCGTTGCATTCGGCCGAGATAAATATGATTCTCCGGGTCGGGCGGGAAGCATCCAGTCGCCGACTGACTCACAGGAGTCGCCGACTGACTACAATGCAAAGTTGCATCCAGACGTCGAAGGATAAATTCGGTATAAGAATAGGGAAAAAAAAATTTTTTTTTTTCTTTAGTAACCCTCCATATTTGCGAAACAAAGCTTCTCAACAAAGCCAGTACGACCAACTGCAGCTGTATAGTGTGAGAGCTCATGCAGCAGAAGGATATCCACAGCTCAGTCATCCAATAACACCATAATGAGCGGACAAGATCCCAATAGCCAGTCCGAAATCACCAAGCATGATACGGGTTGGCGGAGAGTAGTTCGCCATTTCACTCCATCGTACGCAGCACTCGAACATGTCGCAAGTGGAAATAACTAACATGTCTGCACAGTTGGTTTTCGGTTACCATGGGCACAGGCATTGTGTCTATTCTACTCAATACTCTTCCGTACAATGGCCAGTGGCTATACTGGATCTCTGTTGTCTGTTTTGCTTTTAATGTCCTCCTTTTTGCCATAGGGTGTATCATCACCTTCCTTCGCTATACCCTATATCCGGAAATCTTCTTCGCCATGATCAAGCATCCAGTCCAGTCCATGTTCATAGGAACATTTCCGATGGGATTCGCGACTATCATCAACATGTTCTGTTTTGTCTGTGTTCCAGCCTGGGGTGACTGGACGCGCAATTTTGCCTGGGGCTTGTGGATCTTTGATGCAATCTTTTCAGTCATCACTGCCCTCTCTCTGCCCTTCTTACTGTGCGTCTGGCCCTGCACGGAGACTATGAAGCAATCATAAGCTCGACTAACATGACTGCAGAATGGCCCATGGAAGTGAAATGCAACTCTCATCCATGACAGCTGTCTGGCTTCTTCCCATCGTCAGCTGCATTGTTGCAGCTTCGTCAGGGGCCATCGTAGCGGATGTCCTCCCCGATCCACAGCACGCTCTCTGGACCGTGCTCGTGAGCTACGTTCTCTGGGGCATCGGATTACCTCTTGCACTAATGGTAATGGTGATCTACCTACAGCGACTGACCCTGCACAAATTGCCTCCTAAAGCGGTGATTGTGAGCGTGTTCCTCCCACTGGGACCACTTGGTCAGGGCGGCTTCGGGTGAGTCTATGCCTTCCTTCGCTATGTGATCATCGCATATTAAGTAGTATACTACTAGTATAATGAAACTGGGCCAAGCAGCGCAGGAAATCTTCCCCAAAACACAGACCCTCGAGGCTGCATCTGGTCCGATCTTCTATACCATGGGGTTCATGATCGCTCTGATTCTCTGGTCCTTTGGACTCGTCTGGCTATTTTTTGCCTTGGCATCTATTGCGAGGAGCAAGAGTTTCCCATTCAATATTGGATGGTGGGGATTCACGTTCCCTTTGGGAGTGTACGCCACGAGCACGTGCCAGATGGGCAAGGAGCTGCCGTCGGAGTTTTTTCGGGTGTTGGGAACGGTAGGTTTGACCTCTTTTAAGCTTTTTGTGATGTTTCCTGATGTTGATGTACGACAGATCCTCTCGCTTTGTGTGGTGGTTCTATGGATTGTGGTCAGTATTGGGACATTGCGGGGAGTCGTGTCAGGCCGGTTGTTCTTTGCGCCATGTTTGGGGGACTTGAAGGCACGGGACAACGAGAATAAAGATGGGACAAAGGCAGCCTGATTTTAATGAAGGGTTTACTTGTTGCTCGAAGGGGAAAAGTTCTAGAATGAATGTAATTTTAAGTGTTTCAGACGTGCACATCTTCTGAACACGGGCAAACTATAATGATACCGTAACAGGTCGATCCAAAAAGGAAAGCGAGATTTGGATGGAATGGGGGAATGATACTAATACAAGGCTATGGGATACCAGTACTTTTAACACCTAGGTACGAAAATCAATACACTCAGGGAAGAGACAGTCTGGGGACACTCGAATGAGTGTGGAACGTCACAGAGGAAGCATCAAAAAATGCAACAGCAACCCAAATCTATCCGGAATCATCGACTAAAAGTAAGCTTAAACATCAAGGGTAAATTATCATAGGTGGAATGCGGACTTTAGCTGTCGATGATGGAGTTTTTTCATTTCCATTTTTATTTTGTGTCATTATTTTCCATTTTGAATTTTTCTTTTGTGGTGGGAAGGGGGTGGTGGAGGGGCGAGGAATTTTGGGTTATCTTATTTTTTTTATTTTTACTTACTGTATTCGGCTTTGAATAGCATGGATTTTATTATTATGGGTGAATTTTTATTTTTATTTTAATTATGAATTTTTAATTTTCTTTTTAGTCTTCCACCCACACCCCCTCATTAAGTTACTTTGGTTTAGTTACGTAGGACTTGACTACCCTTTAGTGCAGAAATGTCAGGTACGCTGTGCTCTGTTTGTCCACCCAAATTTGCTATTTCTTTTTGAGAGAGTAATCTCGAGTGTCTTTCTCCCGTTTCCTCTACCTATCGAGTCAGTTGTATGCTGACTGGAAAGCTGTTCTCTGCTGCATCACTAAGCAGTCGCCATGAGTGCCCGATGGGTGCCTTCCACACAAAAAATAATGAACCCCGCCCGACCAGCCTGCTTGCGCACTGTGAGTGGCCAGCTGGCCGAGAAGTCACGTGCCCGCTCCCGGGGGGCAGAAAATAAAATCCAAAATTCGAAAATCCAAAAAGCCCAAAGCAAAAAATTAAAAAAATCGAAAATAAAAAATAAAAAATAATAATAACGAAAAAAGGAACGGAGTCCATCAAGATCCCAAACAAATCATCGCGCGCGGCCATCTCACGACTTCAAGATCCATCCAGGCATCGCTTCCTGAGTGGTTTGAGGTCTCTTTTCCCGGCATTCACGGTCTTCTTTGCTCCTGTTTTCCTGGTCAACCTTGCATTGCCTGTCGGGCGCCCCCTCTGACTGTCCCCCTGGGAATTTTGCCTCTCCCAACAATTGCGCTTTTGGTCGCTGTGGGTCCGCCGTATTACTCTCTCAGTCAGCAAAGTCAGTAAGTGTGTTGTGTTGGTTGATACCTCAGGCCACACAAACTAGGCACCGAATCCCGCATTTTGTCCCGTCTTGTCAGTCACGCTTTTTCTGATTCCGCTTTGGGGTGGGAATCCGACTCATTTTATTATTATTATTATTTCGTGTTATCCACCGCCGCAAAATCACAGCAAGCAAAGCAGCAGCAGCAAAGCAGCCGGTCGCACGGCTCTTCTTCAGGTTCAGAAATACGCGCCTCAGTGCGCGTCTTTTTCTGACTGCTGCTGCTCTTTGCACTGGAATTGGTGTTCCCTGCCTCGCTCTTTCTCTCTCTCACCCCCCGAAAGGAAGCGTGTCGTTCGTTTGGTGCAGACGCGGTGGTGGTCACATGCCCGCTATCTGAGTGTCCCTGACAATCAATCAAACTTCATCAGGGAAAAACAAGAAAAACATAATAAAAATAATAAAGGCCATTGAAAATATCCACCACGTCAGGCATTGAGTGAATTTCTTTTCACTCTCATCTTCCTTCCGTCAAGATGATGGGCTATAATGGGCATTCGTTTCATCAACAACGCCCGCCCCAGCAAAATGCGCATCCGCAGCACCAACAGCAGCATCATCTGCAGTCCCCGTCCATGACTGCTGCGGCTGCTGCTCATCCCCATCATGCTCCCGGCATGGCCAGTAATGGCGCCCTTTTTCGGGGTCAGTCGCAGGTGGAATTGGCGGCTCAGTCCCCAGATCTCCGCAAAATGACCCCATCCTCCACGGGCCCTGTAGTCGGCCTCCCCACGGGCGGCCATTATAGTCCGTTCTCCGGACACTACCCGCCACAAGGCTCGTCCGATCTGCTGTCTCGCAATGCCGACTCTGTTGGTCAATTGAAGGATCCCTATCTATCCTTGCAAAGTCTGCAGCGGAATATGAACCCCATGGCCAATTTCCGCACTCATCCCACGATGAATGCGCAGGCTGCCATGTCTCCACATGCGCATGCAATGGGTCTTGCTTCTCCTCAGCAGTCTTTCGACCGACTGCAGCAGCAACATCTGCAGCATCGACAGACGCCGCACACTCATCCCACGACGCAAACCTCTGCTGCGGCGTCGCCGATGCTGACTACCGCCCAACCTCAGCATGCTTTCCAACAGTCCGCGTATCAACAGACACAACAAGTGTCGCCGTACCAGCATACGCAGCAGCAATCCCCTTACCAGCAAGCTCAAGCATCGCCTTACCAAGCGCAGCAGGCTCAGTACCCGCAGGCTCAGTATCAGCAGCCCCCGCATCAGGCTTCTCCCTATCAGACACAGGCTCAGCAATCTCCTTACCAGCAACATGCCCACCAGACGTATCAGCAGCAGCAGGCTCAGCAACAGGCTCAGCAACAAGCACAGCAGAAAGCACAGCAGGCTCAACAACAAGCCCAACAGCAGGCGCAACAGCAGGCCCAGCAAAAAGCTCAGCAGCAGGCCCAGCAGCAGGCGCAACAACAGGCTCAGCAGCAAGCTCAACAACAAGCCCAGCAGAAGGCTCAGCAGCAGGCCCAGCAACAGGCCCAGCAACAAGCCCAGCAACAGGCGCAACAGCAGGCCCAGCAGCAAGCAGCACAGCAGACCCAACAGCCCGCTCATACTCAAGCCCAGCAGCAGCAAGCCCAGCAAACATACCAGCAACAACAGTCTAGGTTCCAGCAGCAGCAGGCTCAACGGTCGCCGTACCAGCCTCAGCCACAGCAGCTTCAGTTCCATCATGCATATCAACGCCAATATCAACAGCCACAAGCACAAACACAGGTACAAGCTCAACAGCCGCAGCCGCAGCCGCAGCAACAACAGCATCCCATCTTGCAGCAGCATCCCCAGCAGCAGCACCATCATGCCTTGCACCAGCCCCAAGCACAGCAGCATCCTTCTCTGTTGCAACAACATCAGGTACAGCAGCAGCAACCATCACCTGCACAGGCAAAAGCGCAAATTCAGCAACAGTATCCACCACATGCCTCCGCTTCAGCTAGCATGTCGGGACCTGAACTCCTTGCTCCAGTACCGGAGAAAGCTGAGAGCACTGGAACCAAGCAACGGAAGAAGCAATCTAAGCCTTCTGCGTCCCCGGCTGCGTCCGCTACACAGGTTAACGGGCAAGCTCAAGCTGGTTATCCAGCTCCTACTCCTGTACCTGCTGCAGGCCCTGCTTCCGCTCCTGCTCCAGTATCTGGTGTTGGTTCAGGCCCCACTTTCACTCCTGCTGGTACATCCAGTTCATCCCAGGGACCTGCCACCACAGGGGCCGCTCCTGCAGCCGGCACTGCTCCAACAAATACTGCCACGCCAACGCCGAAAAAGAGAGGTCGTCCAAGGAAACCCGTTGTGCCAGGAGAAGAAAAGAAACCCAGGCCGAAAAAGCCAAAGAAGGCCCAGACGGTAACAACAACAGCACCCGATGGCACAACGATGGTAGTCCCGGCGCCCACAACTAATGCTGATGGTACACCTGCGGTTGCAGCTCCCGCTCCTGCACCTGCACCACCGCCGCAACCGATTATCGGGCCGGATGGGAATCCCATTCCCCAGAAGCGACGTCGCGGGCGGCCTCGCAAATCAGAACAGGGCAACGTGCCTCCAAAGCCTAGACCGCCAAAGAAGCCATCGTCCAAGCCGGGCACTGGTCGGCCCCGTGGACGGCCACGCAAGGCTGATGTTGAAGCACGAAAGGCTGCTGAAGCGGCGGCCGCCGCCGCCGCTGCAAGTGGCCAGCCTCAAGGTGACCAAGGTCAAGCTGGAGGCCAAAGCCAGGCGTTACAGCAGCCACAGCACTCCCAAGTTCAACCTCAGGCTTCGGCTCAAACACAGGCGCAAAATCAGCCTCAGTCCAAGCCGCAACCAGCACAACCTTCACAACCATACCAGTCATTCCATCAATTCCAAGTCACCCCGCAGCAGCCTCAACAGATGCACGGGCAAATGACAGGCACGTCTAAGGCGCAGACTCACACGAATCAGATGCATACCTCAAGCCAGGCCCAATTCCAGGCACTTCAACATCAATTCCAAGCGCAACCTCAACCGCATACCAATACGCAGGCCAATCAGCAACAGCAGGCGCAACCGCAATCGCAGGCCCGCTCCGGGCAGGCTGCGCAGCAGGCGCAGGCACAAGCACAGCCTAGACAAGTGCAGGCTCAAAACCAAGCTCACACACCGGTTCAGCCTCAAACACGTCAAATACAAGCTCAGGCTCAGCCACAGCCTCAGGCCCGGTCAGTGCAGGCTCAACCGCAGCCCCAGGCTCAAGCACAACCCCGTCAAATGCATCCTCAACCACAGACACAAGCGCAACAGCAGCCACAGCCACAGCCGCGTCAAATGCCAATCCCGGCCCAACCACATGCAGCAATGCATCACCAACTGCAGCCTCATCAGCTGCACGCCCAAGCGCAGGGTCATCCTCACCCTCATCATCCTCAGGCTCACCCTCATCCCCACGCCCAGTTTCAGCTACACCCTCATCTCCATCCCCACGCACAACCGCAACATACTGAGCCAATGACTCTGAATCCGCCCCAGAAGCGCGGTGCGCCTGTGGACGACGACCCGCGCAAACGGGCCTTCATGATGCCCCAGCAGATGTGATTCTTAGCTGAATCATGCTTGTCTGTCTAGCTGCTTTGCTTTTGCCCTCTAGATATCACGAAAACGCACTGATGCCGTCCTATCCATTTCCTGTGACTTCCATGGTTTATTGTTTTAATTTCTGGCTTTTCCATCTTCATCACCATCATCATCATCAATAAACAGTATCTATCATCATTCTTCTGTGGACGTTATTCTGGCGAGTCTCTCTCCTCTTATCCGCCGATCAGTTTATTGTCTTGTTTGTCAAATAGCTTGTGTGTATGTTTTCCGTTTCCATTTCCATCATGATGATCGAGTAACCCAATAACCCCAATTCAGTTAGTCATGTTATGTTAAGCCCTTGCATTATTCGTATGTGTCTTTTGTTCGAATTGTTTGTGTCTTGTTACCTCGTTTATACTTTTCGTTTAAGCCCCTTGCAAGTAAGTTAAGTACAGGTACATGAAATGAAACAACAAGTACGTACATTGAGTTTATTTCCAACATACTGCTGTATACAAACCAGTAGATACTGTGCCTGTTTTGTTGCCTCGGTAGTTTCATTGAATTTTTCTGTCAAGATATTATTCACTCTAGCCAGGTATCATCTGATCCTCTGCCACTGCCTAATCGGTCCCTGACCACGACCACCATATCTTACATCACCAACCATCCATCATCTTGAGATCTAGATAGATCACTTATTAACTTCGACGCTAAGTCCACAATGTATTTCATGCCTTCATCTTTTCTTGTTTGTAACTTACGGGGGATACTCAGATCGGAGATCATCCGACCAGCTATATTGAATCAAGCGGTCACTAAAGCACAGCTGCAGGTCCCCGTCACCTGACAGCGGGGTTGGGTTGTGACTTGGAATTCACTTAGCGCTCGTCTCTCGCTGGCTGTCTTTCATCCCAATCCTTTCATTATCTGTTTCCACAATGACATCAGCCAAGTTCGAGGGTCCAAACTCAGGCTTCCAACTCGCGAATAATAACGGTAGCGTTCATATTACCGTTGGTAAGAAACATCCTCCAAGCATGAGAATTATATTTACTGTTTGATTATTCTTAATAAGATAAGCATAGCTAACACTGCATTTCATTAGAGCAGAGTTCAATTTATCGAGATGAGAGAGTAAGGAGGTTTCTAAGTCTGCTCAACACCTGTCCCTACGAGGACCGGAAAAACAGAAATAACAGACGAGTCCCTGGAACCTGTGAATGGTTCACAAAGCATCCGAAGTTTACCAACTGGCAACGGTGTACAAGTCATGATCTCGCTGGTCTACTATGGGTCTCAGCCGATCCAGGCTGCGGCAAGTCAGTCTTAACAAGATACCTGGTAGATGAGGTTCTCTGCAACGAGAAGCAAACTGTGTGTTATTTCTTCTTCAAAGACGACTTCCCGGATCAAAGGCATGCAGCAGGTGCACTATCAACTATTTTGCACCAGATTTTTGTTGCACGGCCCCAGCTTTTATCAGATACGGTTCTGAAAAAGCTGGAGACCGATGGAGAAAAGCTTGTCCAGTCATTCCATAAATTATGGAACATACTCATGTCTGTCTCTGCTCAAGAAGAAGAAGCCAGAGAAATTATTTGCATTCTCGATGCATTAGATGAGTGTCGAGATCGTGATGAACTTATTGAAGCTGTCACCATGTTTTACCAAGGACTTCATAGAGACCGGAAGCTGAAATTCTTGATGACAAGCAGACCATATCCTCATATAGAGCGCCTATTTTGGAAGCTGCGGACCAGGCTGCCGACGATACACCTAAGTGGGGATGGCGAGGAAGAAGTCCAGAAAATCTCCCATGAAATAGGTCTTGTCATCAGCAAAAGAGTGAGCGATATCGGTAAACAGAGATCACTTGAAGAAGATGAACGCAACTTGCTGGAACAACAATTGACTGCGGTTGAAAATCGAACATATTTATGGGTCAGCCTCACCTTGGACGTACTCGAGAATATGCCGGGTTTCACCAAGGGGAATATTCGACGCGTGATACAGCATCTTCCTACAACTGTTGAGAGTGCCTATGAAAGAATCTTGGACCGGAGCTCGGATAAGAAGAAAGCCAAAGTTCTTCTTCACATAATTACAGCTGCTGTACGGCCTTTTTCTTTGGAAGAGTTATCTTTTGCCTGGGCAATACACATCAATCTAGTTGACACGAATCTCACCGCTATAAGCGATGACTTGGAACCAAAGGAGAGATTCAGAGAAACCCTGAGGGATCTGTGCGGACTTTTCGTGGTTGTTATAGACGAGAAGATCTATCTTCTGCATCAAACCGCGAAAGAATTCTTAGTCCAGAGCAACATATCCACTGTGAAACAAAACTCTCAGGCCACAGGATGGAAATGTGCACTCAAACCAGAGGAGTCTAATGAAATCCTTGCGCTCATATGCATCTCATGGCTACGAAGGATAAATGCTGCTCCAAGGGATATTGAACAAGGGGAATTCGATAAATATTCCTCATGCCATTGGATCACGCACTACCATCAAGCAAATGTACAAGATGGAAACGTGCTAATCATACGCGCGCAGTCGGTCTGTGACCCAAACTCTGATGTGTATCCAGTATGGTCTGAGCTATATGCAAATGAGAATTATATTCCTAGGAGTACTTCAAGGCTTTTGATTGCATCATTCTTCGGGCTTACTGGTGTGGTGAAGCTTCTGCTTGCAACAGGAAATGTGAATATCAACTCTAAGGGTTCAGATTCACGGGCCGCACTGTCCAGGAAAAAGCCGGTAAGGAAGCTTCTGCTTGGAACAAAAAGGATGGAAATGAACTCTAGGGACTCAGAGAAAAGCCTGACTCCGCTATCCTGGGCAGCCAGGAATGGGCATGAGGCAGTAGTGAAGCTCCTGCTTGAAACAAAAAAGGTGGACATAAATTCAAAGGATTCAACAGGCTGGACTCCACTGTTCTTCGCAGCTATGATGGGCCGTGAGGTAATAGTAAAGCTCCTGCTTGAACCAGAAAAGGTGGCTATAAATTCAAAAGTTTCAAAATATGGCTCGACTCCACTGTCCTTGGCAGCTGATAATGGCCATGAGGCAGTTATAAAGCTCCTGCTTGAAACAAAAAAAGGTGGACATAAATTCAAAGAATCTAGCAGGCCTGACCCCACTGTCCTTGGCAGCTATGAGGGGCCGTGAGGCAATAGTAAAGCTCCTGCTTGAAACAGAAAAAGTGGATATAAATATCAAGGATTCAGAGGGCCGGACCCCGTTGTCCTTGGCAGCTGAGAATGGTCATGAGGCAGTAGTAAAGCTTCTGCTTGAAACAAAGACGGACATAAATATCATGGATTCAAAGGGCCGGACTCCATTGTCCTGGGCAGCTGAGAATGGCCATGAGGCAGTGGTAAAGCTTCTCCAAAACTACTAATGCCTACTTTCCTACAGAAGTGGTTCTTCTTATGATATTCTCTAGTATTATTTCAATTCTGTTTGTTTCATTGATCACGTATAGAAATTGGGTAGTCACACCACCGTCTTACTGTACTTTCAAAATCTATTTCATCACTTTGTCGCTACCTTGTAAACGCAATAAGGGGATTAGTAGTTGACTATATAGAAGTTTATACGCTCTCCGTTCCTAAAACAATAGACATGCTGATCTTTCTTAAGCTGATTCTTTAGAACCTTAACAGACTTAGTACTAGATTTATAAACCTCTCTAGTAAATATGTGGATTATCTCTGAGATGATCCACAATCTCCACACCACACATGGACAGGGGCATGAAATCTACTATTTTCTATATGAATATATAAATATTCTCTGTCACTAATCTACATCTCTCATCTCACAGTCTGTATATTCTCTTTTCCAGCACTGAACGTATATCTAGTGAATGAACTCCCTCTCCAATATAATCACTAGCAGCTACGCTATACATAAACATAAATCAGATACCCATAAACCATCTTCCGACATGTAGTATTACCACCTCTACCACACTCTCCAAACCCCAGTACTACTCAGTAAAGTAGTACTTATCCATGTAAATACAATCTTCCACTCATCAATAATTACCAAATCCACTGCACACCTTCAAGTTATTTATTACCTTGTTTTCATTCAGTCAGAAGAATACATGATTAGGTAACCGTCTCAGTTGCATAATCACATGCAAAAGATATCATTAGCTATACATAATAGAGTTTATTCTAGAACTCTCATCGGTATGATTCATGTTTCTTATCACTATGTACCTTGGACTACTATGCTACATGTAGTATAGTATATGTATTCATATGGTTTGTGGAAGTCAACTTGGAACGATCTGACTTCTCACTCTTGGGTCTCAGTCAGTATCCCTTTGGGCATGTATTACTAATTACTAGAAGTGCGGATCCTATTGTGCTACTATGCTGACAATGCTATTCAAACATGATAGTTGAGAATCATATATTTCATAATGATGATTATAATAATACATTATCAATTTGATCTACCTAATATAGATAACTAGTCATTAGTAATACATATGACTTTGACAATTTTAAACATGCAAAAACACTACCAATCATATCACATCACAATCATAAGACAGAACTCTTAAATATGAAAAGCGCACGACGACGACAAATAGGTAGTATGGTATCCTAGAAACGCAGAACAAGGTAAGGACCGCGTTGGGGGGGTATAAGTCCGAAGACGCCGTGCACAGGTCAAGATTCAAGATAAGATAAGAAGAAAGCATTCATTAATCATTAGTGATGCCGTTCAAACTCCATACTCCCGGCGCGGGAACTCGGGGTATTGTCAATATCTCGCAAATGATACGCATCGTCCTCAGTGGGTAGGTCTTTGCCGGAGGGGATGTCACTGATATCAATGCCTAGGCTTGGGGTAATCCGTCGTACAATACTGTTGCATTGGCGGAAGGCACGTCGGGCGGCGGGATACTTGTAGGCCATGTGGTGCAGCCAGCGCAGGGCCTTCTTGGTCTCTCGGGATGTAGCTTCGATGTCGGCGGAGACTTGGTGCATAGGGTCGTTGGGAAGTCTGGTGGGCCAGCTGGATAGGTGGAGAAGGATGGTTGTTGTTGCTTGCATGATGTAATGAAGAATGCACCACCAGGGGGTCATGGTAGTCAACCATGTGATGTCCGGGGTTTCCGGGATACAGCAGAGGAGGGACCGAGCTGAGCGGACGCATGTCAAAGCCATGGCAGTGTTGAATTGCATGCGACTGCTGGAAATGCGACGCGAGCCTTGCCGTGCCGACGGCGGAACTGCTGGGTCGGGGGATGGGTCGCCCGGCGCCAGTCCAGTATGTGTGAGGCACGGACGGCAAAGCGTGAGACGGGAACTGTAGTAACTCATGGCTAAGGAGATGCGTTCTCGCATCCAGGGAGCGTTACGGTCACTGGGTAGATCCAACTGGTCACCGCTGCCCGAGGTAAAACGATAGGCTTCGGGGACCTTGCTGAGCCACATGTCGAGATTGAAGCTGAATCTTCGGATCCGCTGCTCTACCTGACTGGCCCGCTCTCGGAGGCCTTGGATACTGTAGACTTTGTTGATGATCGCCTGGGTAATGGTGGCTAAATCCACGATACAGTGGAAGTATAGCGATGGGCTGGGTTCGCAGGACGGAAGCCAGCTTACATCGGCGCGTGATTCCTCATCCGACTGCAGGAGAGTTAGCTTCAGACGGGTCATGCGCAGGGAGGAGTCTTGGAGAAGAGGAAGGACGTCTGGTCTGCCGAACGCTTCCTCTTCGTACGGAATCGGTAGTGGTGTGGCGCTCAGGCTTTCGCCCACGCAAGAGACCCGGCCGGTGATCGCAGTGAGAAGATGTTCCAGGAGGAATATTGACCACCACAGCCGAATGCGAGCCTCTTTGGCAGGATACTGCGTACGATCGTCTACGAAGCGTAGGTTGATTCCCAGGGACACGGCCGATCGGAAGGCCATACTGGAGAACTTGAATGCCCTGCAGTAGAAGAGGTTTAGCAAGCGATTAGAACAAGCTCTCCCGGAGCCAGACTCACCTGTTTATTTGACACTTGCTGACAAAGTAAAGTGCTACCAGAAATTCGACCTGGATTTGCTGAAGATCCGCATGCTCAAAGATGACGTTCTCGCTGAGAGTCAATTTGCGCGCCCGGTTCAAGTACACCAGATCATTGTAATCCCCGCTGTCTGGACGGCCACTCGTAGCTTGGGTATATCGACATCCAATTGCAAAGATCATGTTCAAGATGGCTAGCCAACGCTGTGGGGGCTGGGCTGGCTGGCTGAAGAACTGTCGATACTGGGACACAAAGGCCGTCTTGCGGACGACATTGAATGACGGATGGACCGAGTCCATAAACGCAGTGAAAAACCGGTTGGCCAAATCCTTTGGGGGAAGTGCGTATGGATCAACAGAGTCCATCAATGGAATACCGATGTCATCCAAGTAATAGCTCATTGCCGCCATCGCTGTTTCCTGCTTCTGCGGCGGCGTCATTGTGTGCCCGCCAGCCACCCCGTCCTCCATATCGGTAGAATCTTCCTTCTTCCGATTTCGACTTTTAGCTTCATCTTCAAGTTTCTGCATCCAAGCGACTTCCGAATTCTTCCCAAAGAAGCCCGTAGCCACCGTTTTCTCGCTGCGATTCAAGTCTTCCTCAACTAAGTCGAGTGCCTCCAGCGAACCGATGGACGAAATCGAAGAATCGGAGTCGCCGCCATCGTCGGTAGGAGATGATATATCGGTGCCCTTTCAGATCAGCCATTGCAGTTAGATATATGTATCTATTGCCTAATGGAATGATCCACGTCAAGATCAAGGAGGCTTATAAAGCAGCAGACCAAAAGCTAGACGCAGAGACTTACCCTAAGGACTTTTCGGATGCGTCTGGCCGCATTCTCATCGACTTCCTTCTCCAGCTCTTGTAATAGGCGCTCATATTGTTCAACCTTCTTGCCTAGGAGTCCAAGTTGTTTCTGATCGCGGACACGCTTTACATCCACGAAGAAGCAGCTGACATTGTGATCAATGCACTGTCGACACACTGGCTTGCTTCCATCACACTTGATCTTCCGCTGTCGACATGGCTCGCAGGCTCTCGCCGAGCGCCGGCGTTGCGACTGGCTACTGGCGCTGGTCGTGCGGGGAATGGCGACTTTGGCAGCTGAGCCCGAGAGCTCACGGGATGACGACGATGAGGATTGATAGGGGTAGGGACCCGGTCGGTCCATGAACTGGGGCAAGGAATAGGGACGAAAGGCCGCAGGGGGTATCCCCGGACTCATCGAACCCCAAGACCACTCGTTGATGCCCCTCACGGCAGCATTCTCGGCATCGATTTGGAGGGGAGTTCCGTCGGCAGTTGCGACGCCAAAGGGATAGGATCCAGACGCGTCTTCCATCGCGAATCGGGGACGAAGAAAATAATACGAGCCATTAAGGCAATGGAGAGGAACAGAAGTCGCAGAGAAGTTGGTTCAGCAGCCACAAAATCAGGGCGAAGGTTGCAAGTCACCTGCTGTGACGTCATTGACGTGGAGCTTGTCCCCTTCAATTGCTGCACGATGAAGGCAAAAAATAAAGTTGGAACGACTGAGTAACAGACTTTCCACCGGACCAGAGTTAGGCGGAAAAGGGGAGTTCATGCGATAAGTCATCTCTCGTTAATGTAGTATAGGAAATTATTTGCTGGCAGCACAGCGTACGGCGCCCGAGCGTCTCTCTCCCGCGGAAATCATAGCTGGCCCACGGAAACCAAAAAAGAAAAAGCATATTCTGAAAACGTAAGATGTTGCATACGTACGCCTCGTAATTGCCATGTGAAAAGATACAAAATCATTCTCCAGAATAGAGCTCGGAAAGTGAGCGGCGACTCCTGTCAACAGCGCGGCCGCTCAGGCGCAATTTCATCCTTGCCCAAGCTCAAGCTCTCGTATCGATCGAGCATGTCGAAAAGACTGAACTCCCCATCCCAGGCTCCGCGGTAGCGTTCATCCATCTCCAGCTTCTGTAATCCTGCGGCATACTCATCCCACCGGGATGCCGATGCCGATTCTTCGTCAAACATCGCTTTGAGATCATCCGAGACCGCATTTGATTCTCGCAGCCGCCTGCCTTGCCCCTTGGCATGAACCGCCTGCCGAAAAATATGGAAGAGAGACCGACCCAATGGCGATCGACTAGCAATATTGGAGAAAGAGCTGGCGAGCGCAAGAAAGTCGGGGTCCAGCACGTCGAATGTCCCGGACTCCAGCAACGTGAAGAGTGCCAGGTTTATCGCATACATGGCAAAATGATGAGCACGACTGATGCCGTATTCTCGTCGGTGGAGGACTGTCAGGGCAGCTATTGCGCGCGCTGCAGATTGTACAATGCCTACAGTATTGTACTTGGGCAGGGGGCTTAGTCCCGGTGGGCTCTCGGGTGTTTTAGGTGCCTCGGAGTTAGGCGTATCTCTGGTCCGCCCGGTCCTGAAGGTGAAGATATTGATCACTAACGTATGGTAGCGCATTCTGTACCCGTCAGCAACCTTGACTTATCTGTAGCTGCCACGAGACATCTAAATGTTCGCTGGAAAATGTAGTCCTCACCTCAGCAAGATGATGTACGGTGGTGGCCTATGATACGGATCGAAGATATCCGGCAGCTTACTATACCAGCCACGCAGCCTTTCATACAGGGTTTCCTGGATCTGACGTAGGTGCTCGGCAGAAGCAGCGTTGGCGTCAATTCCAAAGAGCCGCTGTGAGACGTCTCGTGCAATTTCACACAGGTTGCACGACTCGTTAAAGTAGTGGCTCAAGTAGGACGGCTGAGCAGAGCGATGGGAGGGGTAAGGGTACCACAAACTCGAATCTTCGGCGCTGTACCGATTGGGCCGTTCGAGGTTGACCTTGTCAATAAGGCTGGGCCGTAGGAAATCGGCATGCACAACCCTGTCAGAAGTACCGTCAGTGGTTTCACTTCTGGGAAATAGTTCGTCTGATTAGCTCACGTGTCAATATGGAACAAGCCCCAGGCCGTCCGCTTGATCGAAATATCCATATCATCAGAGATCTGTCCTGGATTCAGACTAAACTTCCTTGGGCCGATGAGACCTAGAGATTCGCCGGTCCAGATGGCTTGGTGGAGCATCCGATAGCCGAGATCGTCTTCGCCGGATAATGCATGCCTTTGAACCGTCGTCAGTGAAGACGCATACAACTAATTTGATTGCTCAACCGCAAGACGACCGACTTACCGTTCATGCAACAACAGTGTGCCTTGCAAGTTAGCCAGACTGAGCTTCATGGGTCCTTCCTCTCTCAAACGCTCCGCTTCAGCGAGAAAATCGGCCCTTTTGGTCATTATATCCCCGGGTTCGACATAGGCTTCAGAGTAGTCTGAGAAGTGCTGCGAATAGGCATTTAGCTGACATTTCAATGACCCTCCACTATGAAGACCAGTATACACACCCGGTTGGATGACAGATGTGGAATTCATGAACAAGAGATTAGAAGACCTACGCAAGCGTTCGTGAGCAGAGCGTTCACAAGGAATGGACTGCAAAATTCCGAATTGGTGTTACCCTTCCGCATATGCTTGAGGAAGACGTCTCGGTCGAGAAAGGCATGAAAAGGATAATCCCAGGTGAAGTAGAGGGACACCAGATGGGAGACGAGGTCAGCATCGCCGGTTACGGTGGTCCAGGGCTCTGCGGGGACCCTGTGAGGGACTTCGTTGCATAAGTAATGGATATCCATAACCTTGGGACGAAATGACGGCCCAGCTCCTTCGACATCGATCACCCGTCTAACCTGCTGTAGCTGCCTTCCCGCCGCGTCACTCACCTTGCTGCATCCCTCAATCCGACCCAGAATATCGTCGATATACGTGCGAATCTCCTCGGCCGTGGCATCCTTCCGGATGAATTCCAGCAGTTTCAGAGCATGTGACTGATCTTCTGCACGCATCACCTTCAAGAGATCATTCAGCATATCTCGGTGATAGCTCAGCTCATCAGCCGTACGCTTTGCCGCTACTCTTCGACGCTGATCAAGCGTCTCATCGAATATGCACTGTCGGTTAAATGCCCGACAGTTGTCACATGGTGCCGTTCCAGAGCACTGACAGGGGATTAGATACGAAGGTCAGCAGCTATCGTTTTGCCACTTTCACCCCAGTTTGTTTCTTTGTCGTCCTCACGGAATTCATAAGTAAGCAAGCCGTACCTTCCGCTTGGACTTCTTACAAGCCAAGCAAGCCATGGACACGCGTTTCTTCGAGACATCCGAAGAGGTCCGAAAGCTATCTCCAGGGGGGCTATCGCCCGAAGGAAATCTGTCCGCGTTAGTAGGCGACGGACCGGGCGCCAACTGACGGTGCTGTTGACTGCCGAATTCAGTCATGTTGCATGTTCGCAAAGAGACGAATGCAGTGAAACGTCATCAAGTGATTCCCCTGAGAGGTGTGTGTGGGGGAAGGGTGGGGATGATTAGATAGAAAGAGTCTGTATGGCTAAACACCCATGACACGGAGTGGCGAACCAATATTAGTTGGATGACAGGGGAGAAAAGGCCCGTTGAGCAGGCACATGTCCCTACCCCTTTATTCTGCAATTTATCTACCTTCCAATGACGTAGATTAAACGAACACCACCTACGTTAGAGGCGTCAGGAAACCATGTCCAAGCAGTGGTAGAATACGGGGCGAGGCCTTGGACGGCGGCCGGGACCGCAGCCATCATGGTAAGACGGCCATCAGAATGGGAAAACTATGAACGTTACAGCCGCGAGGATCTCGACTCAAGCAAGCCAGACCAGTGGGAAACCAACATGTAGCTAGATTTCCGCCCAAAGCAAGTTGCAGGGGAAACAGATGGCAAGCTCAGAAACAAGGCAGCGGAAGCCCATTCCGGCGGATGGAGAGAGCCATCTGCACGTGATATTCCACCACGCCTTGCACTCAATGTTTACTCCTACGACATATGCACATCTCAAACCATTTAAACTCCAAAGGTGAATAATATGAATTGGACATTACGTACGGTGATATCTCCTAGCTAAACGCTGGCCCCCACACTCTGCAGTTTTCTTCTTTTTTCCTCCTGAGAAACCCCTTTTTGACCCAGCATTCCGGCGTCCAGGAGAGAAAAGAGGGCACAGAATGCTTCCCAATTAAAGAACACTAAACGACCAGAATAAATGGCCTTGGCGAAGAAGGAAGGATGCCTAAATTAGTAGATTTTCTGCACCCCGAAGTAGATGCCGCCATGACACGAATGCGCCTCTGCCAGAGACGGAGTCATAACCTGACCCCATCCCAAGCAGCGGCATGAACCCAGAAGACAAGTGACTCCGCTCAAACAGAAATTCTATCAAGCCCACCTAGCCAATTCGTGACTCGGTATCATCCCAGATGAGACAAAGGGGCAACGACGACCTTTTCGGAAGTAGGAATTAAGCGGCCGCCCATGAATGCACCAATCTAGTGTTCCAGAATGCGCAGGGATCCCTGCACAACGCAGTTCTCAAGCACGGAACCCGGAGGGATGTCAATGGTGCTGCCTTCCGTGGCAACAATGATGACAGTGCCCTTGAGCTGCACGTTGCGGCCCAGGTTGACGGCACCGGTGATGGTGAGGTGGTCCAGCTCAACGATGCGAGGGATGCTGGGGATGTGCTTCTGGAAGTCAGAGACCTTCTTGAAGTCGGAACCGAGCTTGATGACGGGGACACCACCGAAGCGGTTGGGGTCCATGACAAGCTGACCGTGCTCCAGGCGGTACAGATCAGACTTGACCAGCATCAGGTCGGAGCAGGTCTTGACGGGCAGGAAGCGGCGACGAGGAACGTTGACACCATGTCCGTTCTTGAAGTGGCGAATGGCAGCACCAACGGCGGTCTCCAGCTGGTAGATGGCCTGGTCGGCCTCACCCTTCTTGTCAGCAGGGATGGACTTCTCGTTGGCGATGATCTCCATCTCCAGCTCGTTCTCCTCCACCACACGCTTGATGGCACGGAGGCTCATCCAGATGTTGTTGGTGTTGAAGTACTTGAACTTCTTGATGGACTTGAACTCGTTGACGTGCTCCTTGGGCACCTGAGCAATTTCAAGCAGACGGGCCTTGCCCTCGTAGTCAATGATGGTACCACCCTTGACGTCAGCCTTGGTCTTGTCGGTCAACTCCATGATGTACTCAGCCTGGGTGTCAACCATGTGCTGGAGAATGCGGAGATCGACGACAGCACCCAGGTTGTCGGCGTTGGACAGGAAGATGTACTCGACACCACGCTCCAGGAGCTTGTCCAGGGTACCAGAGTTGTACAGAGACTCGAAAACGTCACCGTGACCGGGAGGGTACCAGTCCTGCAGGGGAGCGTCGAAGGACTTGGGGGCGGGAAGAAGAGAGTCCTTGATGATACGGGGGTAACGGGACTGGTTGAAGGTGATGATGTCGACGTTGTGGCCCTGGTACTTCTTGATGATCGACTGGGTGTCCTGGTCGGTGTTGAAAGAGTTCATCAGGACGAAGGGCACGTTGACGTTGAAGGTGCGGTTGAGGTGCTCAATCTGGCGGACGGACAGATCCAAGAAGGACATGCCCTCACGGACCTCAATGACGGACTTGGGTCCGACACAGCCCATGGAGGTACCCAGACCACCGTTGAGCTTGACGACAGCCAGCTTGTTCAGGAACTCAACGGAGGCCTCGCTGCCCAGATCATTGTAGTTGACGACCTGAGAGGGCTGGGGAGGGGCGATGCGGTCCCAGTTGACCTCGTTGCCCTTGGCCTTGTCGTTGAGGAATCTGCGGAAGAGGGCGAAGAAGTTATCCATCTCAGCCTCGAAGCGCTTGCGCTCGGCGGCATCGGGAACGGTCTCGGCGAGGGCGTTCAGGGCATTGCGCATCTGAGAGGCAGCCACGCTAGTAGAGGCATTCTCAAAGGCCTGTTTCATGAAGATGGAGGTTAGAAGATATGATAACATAATAATTGCAGTTGCAGTGTCCTGTAGCCGCTGTATCCACGGTGACCTCGGAACGCGGACTCCTTCTCTCACCCACGTATATATGGAATGAAATGCATCTTGCCAAATCAGGAACTGGAAGACCACTCCCAGGAGATAACGTGGATACACAACCATGCCCAAGCCAGGAGGAACAAAGACAAACTGACAACCCCATGACACAACTTGATGGGGAAGAATTCGCATAGAGTATGAGTACATAAAAAGCACGCCTGCAATCACTGGAACGAAGACACGCGGGGGATCAAACATCACGGCAGAAATGCTGAGAAGTCGACCATAGAACAAGAACATTGAGAAATACACCAAGGAGGTAGGTGGGGTAACGAGAGACATGCATTTATGGAACTTCGGCTCAGTGCCATCCTGCAAACCTATTGATATGCAGACATAGAGAATGACAAGCACCATGCATATGGTGCCAGCCAGACTATGTATGTCGGCGGCATAAGGTAGCAGATAATGACTGCCCAAAGCGACGGCCAGTCCAACGACAATATAAGGATAATATTCGTCCATGTTTGTGATAGTAGTCGCTATGTGCGGGAACGAGTGGCAGAGAGATGCAGAAGCGAAGAGCGCGAAAGCTCAGCTGATCCTCTAAGTCTGATCTGCCCAGGGCAATCGCACTCCTCTTCATGCCATCCTCAAAGCTGCTCCTGGCAGGCTTGAAGCCATTCGTAGAAGGCGCGAGCGACAGGGTGGACCACGGGCAACGGTGCAACGAGGAAAGATCACACAGCGACAAGACTTACCATGTGAGACTGGGACTTTCCGTGGTGCTTGCCGAAGGAGGCAGCACTCGCGGAGTCGCTCGCGGGAGCTCTGAGGTGACTGGGCAAAGCCTTGGAAGCCATTGTATGAAGGAGATGTGGGTGTGGGAGGAAAGGTGTAAGGATGTAAACACGGGATTTGAGAGCGGGTAGCTAGTTACTGCTCACTTGAGACGGGAAGAAAAGTTAGTGAGATGTCAGAGAGCTTGAAAGAAGGGGAGCAGCTCGGGAAGTTCAGTGGAGAAGAAATAGGGGGTTGGTGGGAGAATGGAATTGGCCAGCAGGACAATTCTAAACACTGGCTGGGGAGAGGGAGCGAGCTCGGAATGAGGGGTACGTGTGTATGCCAATTGCCACGTCCAAGCGAGTGACGATCGTTTCGGTCATGGGCAACGCTCTGGCGACAGGCCCATTGGTGCGACAACGGAGGGCAAACAATGGATCAGAGGGTAAGAAGAAGAAGAAGAAGATACACATACCAGACTAGATGGGAGCAGCAGCAAGATGGAGCGTGGTAGAGAGAAGGTGATGGAGGGGAAGATGGAGGAGGGGAGGGAAGAAAGGAAGAAGCAATTGAGGATAGATAGAGGGAGTTTGGAATGAAGAATGGGGGAAGGAAAGGGAAGAAAAAGAGAAGCCAGAGAGGAAGCCAGCAAGATGATAAGCAACGCGACGGGGGTCCCTCCCAAGGTATATTTAATTAATTACAACTCCTACTCGATACTATTATTATTTTATTTTTATTTTAGATTATTCTAGACTTGGAGGGGGGAAAAGATGGATGAGGGAAAGATTGGACACCTAAATCATAATGATAAATAATAATACGATGACGATTGAAATCCATCCCATCTGCCTTCTTGGGAAAAGTAAAACAGAAAAAGAAAGTGGGGGGGCAAGCATCAACCCAGCAGGGGCTGCGTCAGGTACCGTTTGATACAGCGTCATAACCACGAACATCTGGTATCAAGCGGGGCCACCGAGGGGAGAAATTACCGTACAAGACAAAGAGTCGGGACGGTGGGTGGGCAGCCCAACATTCCCACCCATAATTCCTTGGTAGGCCAGCCAGTAAGTTATTCTTAGCAGCTCTTTTTGGCCCGGAATCCGCCGTCTGGCCAGCAAGTGAAATGAATTACTTGATATCTGAGACCTTCGATCCTCTCCCTTTTTCGATAAGTTAACCGGGCGTGAATCAGATCCCAAACCATGGTCATCTTCACACACACACAAATAATAATATGATCATTAATTCTCTTTTCTTCCTTCTTCTTCTTTCTTCTGTATACCCAACTACATACATACATTACTGTCATATAGAATATGAAGAGGGGTAAAACTGCATTGACTACCTGCATAGCAACATGCCAAACCCGGGCCGATCGCAAGGCAGCTCATCATCTGACAGTTGTTGGAATATCTCCCTTCCCTTCTAGACCACCCCCGTCAGTGCCCCCTTTTTCAGGGTTCAATAAATACTATTCAAAGCTGCCCCACAGTCCTCGTCACCGTAGTTGCTTGCCCCTCTTATGTTGGAGATTAACAAGCACACCTCCTGAAACAATAGCAGAATAGTTATCATATTTTTTACGCAGAGAAAGGCAGAAATCACAGATAGATAGAATACCTTGTAGGTTACTACAGTAGGTATGAAACTATCGGAAAACGTCCTGCAAAGTGCCCCTCTCTCTCTCTCTCTCTGCCTTAGGATAATACACATCACAATCCCTCCTGCAAAAGCAGTCATGCCTAGCTACTACTACAAAGTATAACGTTCATCCAGAGACAGCAATAGAGAAATCCAATCCATGGAATGTCCATTGATCCACCCAACGAACCGCTGTCATTATTATTATTACTACTTACTAGTAAGTTATGCCATCATGCAGCTATTCGTGTCATTGTTGCCACCCGATTTACCACCTACATATACCAAGTAGCTACTACCACCACCACCACTACTACTACCTACCAAACTGAGAACCAAAGTGAAACTAACTGAGGAACTTGACTTACCTTAGGCACATAGATAGTTACCCAATAAGTCTCATTCCATTTCTAATTATAATTCAGCCTTTACCCCCCTTCCTCCTCCTTTCTACCCTCTACCACTCTACCAACCTACTTACTTCCCCCTAATAACCCAGCTATCCAAACTAGTAATAGAAGATATATCCCAAGTATAACAACCAGTGATGAACCCCCTTAATCACATTCCTAAACTCAAGTCCCAGTATCTAATAGTGACTATTACTAGTATACCCATACTAAGTGGAGTATTCTCCGGACTACGCATCCCCGAAAGATGACTCGCGCCACGAAAGCTCAGACCATCCACACTAAAAACCAAGCTTGCATGTATGTATGTCTGGTTTCCTTGATGCAGTTGCGTACTAGCCTAGCAGTAGCTAACTACTATTTAGTCTAGTAGCTCTGCAAGAGCATTTCCACTACTACTACGACCTTACCCTCCGTCCCTCGAAGTCTCTAGCTCTACAGGAATCGAATCCACCGTATACATGTACATGTATGTATGTATGTATGTCAGTCCAACCGAACCCAACACAACACAAATACCTATTACAAACAACACTACTAGGAATGATGAACTCAAGTAGTAGTAAATAGTAAAAGCAAGATAGTATGAACACCTGGCAAGCCCACAATCATTCCTACTCCTCCGAAGATGAACTAACTAGAAGGGAGGTAAAAAAAGAAAAAATCTCGGCAAAGATCCGCCGCCACCTTTCGGAAAGGCCCGTAGGTAGTAAGGCCGAGACAACTACAAGACAGGAGGATATTTTAGTTACTCTCTCTCTCTATCTATCTAGTGACTGGGCCAGATCGTAATCGAAGCGACTAGAAACATGCTAGCTAGACTAAATCCACTGACTAGCTAGCTAGCTAGCTAGCTGGGTATACACCAAGGTATCTATCTAGAATTCTAGATACATAGCAAGTTACTTTTATTAGTCGCCCTCAAGTAGGTTTTAGTTCCGAGGTGAGGTGGATGGATGATGGAGTGGGGAGGGTGCCAGTTCACTCACCTCACTTCACTCAGGAGGGTAGGACTGACTGACTGAGGGGGGAAGGGCATAGTTGGGTTGAGGTCGAGACCCATCATATGTCTTACATCTTCAGCCCCTCCAATGATGCGAAGAGGCTCAAGCACCTGCTCTCCCCTCTTCCCTCTCTTCTGCTCGTGTCTGGAGTGTCGGTCAGGTTATTCCGTTGACCACAGGGGGGGGTATCGATAGCCGATCCAGCCACGATGCAACGGATACGATGGGCTCCTCTTGACTGGGCGGTGAATCGGGATAAAGTCTAAAGTCACACTACGACAGGACACAAGCCAAGGAACGCCCCTCTGGGTAATCTCGGGTCGATAACTATCTACATAGACTAGATACCCTACACTCAACTAAAACTATCGTAGCAAGAATTTTCCGATTGTCAGCCGCCCAATTCGGCGGTATCCAAGCAACACTACGCTAACTCGAACAAACCCCATGGATATCACATCTCATCTCGTCACGTTAAGCACAATCAAAAGAAAGGAAAAAAAGACAAGGTTGGAGGATCTTCAGGGGGAAACGACAATACAAATAACGAATCATTGTCAAAAAGTGGAAATAAAAATATACAGTGAAGTCGTCAATGGCATATAGTGGCGGGATCAATCTGAATTAAGCTCCGCTGACACTCCGCTTGCTGAGGAAGCTGCGGCGACCAGTCTTCTTAGAGTCTGGGCTGTCCATCACCTCGGAGGCTCCATCATTGTTGGAGTTAGCCGTGCCCGGGCGAAGGTTGGACTCAGACATTGCAAAACTGCTGCGCAGGGTAACAGTGCCAGTGCCAATCTTGACCTGCTTGTCTTGACCGGCCACAGAGCCCTGGTCATCCACGAAGAAGAGCGCCTCGCCCAGCTGCCCGTCCGAGCCAAAGGTGGAATGGTCAACCACCCGCACTTGGTATTGGGCATCGGCCGTGGTGTTGTGCACGCGGCACGTTTCATGTGACGGGTCATAGTAAACAGGACCTCCGCCGGACTTGATAGCCTTACTCTTCAGAACCTCCTTGGCGCCCTTGGGACCAACGGCCTTAATGAAGACTCGCACGTTGGCGTTGGGAGGGTATCCAGAGGCCGAAACGACCGAGATGGTGGCCGTTCCCGTCTCGCCCTTACCAGCAACTCCAAGTCGATCGCCGTAGTGAGACACAACGCTGCGGCTGCGGGAGTGCTGCAAGTTGTTGGTGGTCGCCGAGGCGGGTGGCGTCTCTCCTTCGACCAAAATGGCCGCAGGAGCGAGGGGAGCAGGAGTCTCCTCCTCGGCCTCGTGCACGCTGGACCCATCGTCTCCGCGGAACCGTCCCATGATGCCATTCTTCAAGAAAGAGGACCCTTCGTGCTTGAGGAAAGATGCACCCTTGATCACGTTGCCACCAACGAAGCCGACTCCCTTGACGGGGGCACCGACAATCTTGCCGGGAGCGGCGAAAGTACCAGCGAACGTAGACGATCCTTGACGTGACCGGACCACGTAGGAGGGCTTGAAGAGCAGCTTCAGGCGAATCGCACCCGACTTTCCGTCAAGCGGGAGACTAATCTCCTTCGACTCGAACGGTGTCAGCGAGGTAATGTCGACGTGCGTACCACCCAAGTAGTCTGCCTTGTCACCGAAATCCCAGTCATACACATCAATCCGGCAAGTGCTATTAATCCGGGATTTGATATCGGTCTCAACCATTTCGTTCCACGCCGGATGCAGCGTCTTCTTCTGCACCTTGGTCTTGAAGACTTCCTTGTCGTTGAGGCGGAACTTGCAGTACGGATCACTGAAGCCGTTCCGATCAGCGGACGGCAGATCGGCAGCATCCAAAAAGTGCACCACCAAGGTTCCCATGTTGTTGATACTCTCAGTCGGGTCGAGCTTCATGGTGACAGGAATATACCGGGCACTAACGGTAACCTTGCTCACTTCTCCCTGAGCAGAGCGGAGGGTAAGGTCCGTGGGAGTATACTGCTTCCTGTTAGCGGAATGGCAGTCAGTCAGGAGGGAAGAGGGGCTTTTACCAAGATGCGCTGCAGAGTGGTAAGAGTATCTCCCGTCAGTTTAGCAACCGTGTGGTCATCGCTCTCATCCTTGGTGTTGTTCTTGTCGATGATCCGGAGAGTGATCTTGGAGAATTCGAGTTCACGAACAAAGGCGTCGCCAACTACAATGCCTCGTCAGCTGAGTATCAACAATAGTCTGGAACAGTTACGTACCGTCGTCAATCTTTGCCGTCTTGGTGCGGACCTTGGGCGAAGAGTAGGCAGGGAACATGTAATCATCCATGAGCACTTCCACCTGAACGTTGGGGCGAGAAAGCTGGACTTCATGCACGTTGAACACGATGAAACCAGATTCTGTGATGAGGTCAGTTAGAGAACAGGGTTGAAAGGACATCGAAGCAAACGCACCGTATTTGGTAAGATCCTCCGCAGAGATGTAGGTCTTGGGTACCTCCTTGATCGATTTAACCGACATTGTTTCCGAGTCCTTCGCAGTTTGCGGCCGAGTTCCGTTCGTGTCCAGGCTTGCGCGACTGCTTTGAGCCTCGGGAGTAACACCATTCGTAGAAGTTCCATTAAGAGCAGTGGTTGCCTTGGAGTCCACGCTGGCAGTCTTGGAGTGGCCGCCCACACGCTTGGAATCGGTGCTCTTCCGTGACAAGTCGGTTCCCTCCGCATCACCATTGAGATTCTCTTCCTCCTTCTCCTCATCCTCGGGGTTGACCACGGGAATGGCAGGATAGAATGCAACGGTGTAGTTCAAAGTACCCTTCTGAGAGCGGCCACTACGCAGGGGACTGGAAATGAGCTGCCTTTCATCGTCAACCTCGTATCCGCCTTCCTCGTTCTCTCGGACGTAGTCGGAAACACGAAGGTCAACAGAACCCAGCGTACGGTCGTCATTGATAGTTTCCTCATCCATGACCTCCAGAGTAACCTTCTCGTGGGGGCTGTGGACGGGAACGTAGACCACCTCGTCCCATTCGGGGTTAAGGTTATTCCTGAAAGTGACAGTCCGTGCTTTCTGGTAACCAGAGAGCAGCACCCTTGCGTACGGATCAGACGCGCCGAAGGCTTCCAAGTTACGAAGATCACTTGCACTCTTGAAGTGGAAACGCATGACACCAATGGGATCAACATAGCCGGAGCCTCCAGCAATTCCAGCCAGTGCAACAGGCTTCCAGTCCAAAAGGAGCTTGGCGCGGCCGGACTTAGCACCGTTGAGATGGAACCATTGCTGGCCCTTCTCCATCATCTTAAGCATGTCGTTCATCTTGATCTGGTAGGTACCAATCACCGGGTCCCTGCCGAGGTCACGATCATCCTTGATGACAAGACCGAGACGGGCACTCTTCCTGTCAGTGACCAGGAATTCCTTGGAGGCATTCTGGAAGATAGGGTTGTTCGTGCGCTTCAGCTTCTTTGTGATGTGGATTTCCTTGCCGTTCAACAGGAGGACACCGTAAGGGTTGAGCTGGCCAACCATACTCTTCGATGCGTCCAAGTCCTTAGCCTGCTCCACGGTGAAACGAGCGATACCGGTGTTCATTTCCGGAGGCGGTTGAGTCTGACCATTCTCAAGCTGGGTTCCCTCCAAGACAGGGAAGAACCGGATATCCGCATGAATCGCACCGCGAGATCTTCCGCTTGCCATGACTTCCAGGTAGATACCCTCGTGTTCCGGCTGCTGTTCGAGCCTCTCCAGAGGGAAGGTAGCAGCTCCCAATTCCTTGTCCTTGCGGAACTCGTTCCAATCGTACGGGGTAATAGTCAAAGACTCGGCAAAAGACGTAATGATAACATAGATCGTTTCGTTCCACCTAGGGCTATCGGTATCGTTGATGGTCTTGGTGCGACCCAGTTCAACCTGATTGTTCAAAGAAACAACGGCATACGGATCAGGGGTACCGGCAAACGCGTCAGGGTTCTTGAGCTGGCGAGCACCATGCAGAGTGACAGCAACGACACCAATGGCTTGATCCATCGCGTTGCCAGCCAGCATCTTGGCGATCTCAACCGGGAAGACATTCGGAGCGTACATCATCGGGCGCAGATTGCTGTGGATCTGATCCTTGATAAAAGTCTCCAGACCAGGAATGAAGTTGATATCGAAACCGAGGGTATCACCACCAAGCGGTTTGCAGACATAGTCGATCTCGGGGGGTTCCATGAAGCACACATCCACTCGCTCGATGTGAGGGAACGGGATTTGCAGCTTAACCTTAACGCGCATCAAACCGGTGCAAGCCATGTCTTCGACGATCACATCGAGACCCTTGCTAACGAGACCCTTACCCAATCTGACTTCCAGAACGACCTTGGGGTTGATCTTGTTCTTCAGCTGGCGGGCAGTCAAATCCATAGTGTCGTTGGGCGTGAAACTGAACTTCCAATCCATGATGACGGTGTCTACCTCGGTCTTGGGGTACGTCTTGACATGCTCCAAGCGCGGCGGCTTAGAACCGAGCACGAAAGTCTTCAGGCGCAGGTTGTCGATCATTGCTGGGGTGGAGGTACTCAGGACCTGGTCGACCGAGTTGATAATCGTATCACAAAGGACGGGGGCGTAGATGGGCCAGAACTTGACCAAAAAGCTGTTGATCCATTCCAGACTCTCGGTATCAGTTTCCAGGCGCTGCTTGGCCATTTCACGGTTCACATCGTCTCGGAAGTTGCGGCGGACCCGGCGAATGGACGTCCGGTAGTAGGTACTACAGGCGGCCATGACAATGAAGATCCAGGCCAGTCCTCCGCCTAGAACTGCGATGACCCATGACGAGAGACAGGCAAACAC